GGGGAGAGGAACGAAAAGTGAATTCTTCCACAGGAAAGTACAGATGTTCTGATTAAGCCTCCCTGGCTTGTAAAAAAAAAAAAAAGGCAATTAATTCATAACAGCCAAAATTCAATAAAGATTTTAAATAGAGGCTAAGCCACCATTTTTAAGGGCCCGAAGCATCCTGACTTATCCTGGCATCATGGCGAAGAGAGAGAAATTAACTAAATATTTTTATTTCCAAAAGAACTGGATTTAAAATTTAAAACATGTCGGAGAAATATTTCGAGAAGGGTTCCTGATTCAATAAAGAGTAGATACGGTTCCCAAACTGCTTTAATAGTTGTGTTGCTTGTTATCGTTTTCGCGTTTTGACAGTTATCTTTCTGTAAAAGCAGCCCAGGGTCACCGCGGTGAAACGGGCGGCTGTACGAATTTAAACAATAAAATTTCACCAGCCACCCAACCAATCAGCGGAAGTAGAATTCAGTTTCTCTTGAATATTGTGCAGTTTCACAGAGTAAGATCCGGGTTTGTGGATGCTATGGAGTCAGTAAAAGCACATGCCTGTTGGAGGCAGATCAGAAAATGTAATATTTTTGGTATCTCTGAAAAGAAATCTGTTCCAGGAACTAGTGGAAAAGACCTCCCCACTTTCTCCTTTGCTTCTTATTCCATTATCTATCTATTATCTTTATTATCTATTATCTGTTATTTATGTATTTATTACCTATCATCTATTATGTAAGCTGTAAACCAGGACAGATTCTAGTCAATTGTGGTTAAAGAAAGGTGGTTTAGTTGTTGTATGGATCAGGTCATCCCCCGAGGGTTGGGCGGTAAGAAGATGATACCAATGCAACTTAATAAAAATCAATAAAAATTTCATATTAGCTCTCAATAGATCTATTTTCCACAGATGTATTAGTCCTTTTTAAAAACCGCTACCTTGCAAGGATCACACTGCATTTTATGACAAGCAACAACATGAATTAATCATACAGGTTCTCAGGAAATGAGATTTCTTCCCTCCACAAATACAAACTTAATTTTTCAAAAAAAAGAAAAGAATTAATAATAATTCACAGAAGGGAATAAGGCTGCACCTCTTTCGCCCATGGCGATTAGTCTGAATAAAGCCCAAAGGCTAAAAGGTAAAAAAAAAAAGCATCTCACCAGCTTAATCCTTGTCCACAAATTTAGATCTAAATTATTATTACTGCTTTTGTGAAGAATTGAGAAGGGGTATCTCCCTTTCCTACACTTCGCTTTAGAATTTATGACTAATTAAAATCATTTTTGACTTCATGACAGGAATACTTTTTTTCTTTTAATTCCCCCCCCCTTTTTTTTGCCTCTACATCTCTGCTTGAAATCTCCTCCTGGGTGAAAACTGACTTGCGAGCAGAAATCATGAAAATTCATAGCTTTGCTGATGACTTTAATAAAGGGAAGGGGAGGATAACCCTCCTTCCCAAACAGCCAGCTCCTTCTTCAAAATGAAGAAAAAGAAAATGCTATTAAATCAGACTTAACAGAAATTCCTCTTCTTCCTTGCCTCCCGGCTCTTAATTTTTATTTGACATGGATGGAGTTGCATCTTCACTTATTTATAAGAAGGGTTCTAAACAACGAGACAAGCTGGGGAATTCTGGGAACTGAAGTCCAAGCCTCTTGAAGCCCGCTGGTTGGGGAATTCTGGGAGTTGCATTCCACACATTTTAAAGTTGCCAAGTGTGAACAAACCTCTTCTGTACCCTTCTTGCCCATCTGGAATCCTACAGATGTTTGGGAACGAGACAACCTTCGCAATCCTCAGGCCACAACCATCAATTCTGAAAGACGTAACCACTCACTCCGGTTTGGGGAAAACTGCTCAGAATTTCAGCAAATCATTTCAAATACAGGCCCTGCTTTACTCACCGTCACAGTTGCTGAATTTTAACTGCCTTATCAAGAAGTCCAGGGGGTTCTCCGGCCGGTGGATTAGCAAATTTCCCAGCAAATCCTAGAAAAGAATCAAATGGGCTAAGTCACCAGGAAGAAATTTCTGGTCCCTGTTCAAAACATTTTCCACCGATCCAAAAGTTTGCCAAGTCAGAATTAACTAGGAAAAGCCCTCCAATGAAAAGCGGCTGCATTTATGAGCCCGTTTTTATAAACAGGTACAACGCCACATGAGAGATAAATGCTAGACTATTAATTACATGTTTACACTACCAGACTCTTGCTATCTTGCAGACATTTTGTGGCCCAATTGTGTAACATCATCAGTGTGACTTGCTCTCTGTTTATTTGAGTAGCTCTGACCTTGACTGTTTTCTTGCAGGCATTTCATGACCCAACTAGGTAACATCATCAGTGTTAGAAGGGAGGGCAGAATGGAGGAGGAGGAAGATTGTGGGCTCTTGGTGCTTCCTGAGCTTGGTTGGTTTTCTTGAAGATGTTTCATTACCCAACTAGGTAACATCATCAGTGCTAGAAGGGAGTGGGGTTTGCTCTCTGTTTATATACAGGAGTTGCCTTGCTAGTGTTGGTAGGGATGTTATTTTCTTCTTGGTAATTCCTTGATTAGATTGTGGTTTCATTGTTTGGTAGTTCCTTGATTTAGCTGCATATATTTGATTTATATAGAATAGCTCTTGCAATCACAGAATATCTGTCCGTCAGAAACACTTAGTTTTAATCTTGTTTTGTGGGGCTGTTGTTTTTTTTTGCAACTTAGCAAGCTACTTGCTTCTCTTAAAGTTGTGTAAATCCAGAAGAGAAATTGCTAAGCATGTTTTTTGAATAGTCTTACACTTTGAAACAATGCTTTATGACAGGGGGTCTTCAAACTCGGCCCTTTTATGACTCATGGACGTCAACTCCCAGAATTCCTCAGCCAGCGTGCCTGGCTGAGGAATTCTGGGAGTTGACGTCCATGAGTCATAAAAGGGCCGAGTTTGAAGACCCCCTGCTTTATGGCCTTTATTCATTTTTTCCAGTCCCCTCAATGGAACTTCTGAATGTCCAGCTTTGCAAAAGAAACCATTTTTTTTTCTTCCTCATCTACAAGGCAAAATCTATCCACACAATCCTCTCCATTTACCTGCTTCTTAACAAACAAATTATTAGCAACTCTGCTCATGTTATTGACTTAGGGAGAAAAGCTTCCTGGTTTATATTACACAAGGACTGCTAACAATAAAAAAAAAAAATCAGAAGCCTAGGGCATTAGTAGGTCTGCAATTGGAAAGTCTTGTATCTAACAATAACAAAAAGCTGCAACAAAAACAGAAGCTTTGTGATGTTTTTAACTCACTCTTTAAAATGTTACTTTCTCAGCCCAATGTTGCTTTCAGGTTTGTCAACATTTTGAAAAACTACCTTGCAATTAATTTCTTTCTTTACTGGACTTCTGTCAGCAGAAGAACCCACAATTATTTATATGGGAACGAGATTGTTTGACGCCGTTGTTCAGCGTTGTGATCCTGAGTTCTAATCCTGCCTTAGGCAAGAAAGCCGGCTGGGTGACTTTGAGCCTGTCGTTTTACCTCAGCTCAGCCCATCTCACCGGGTTGTTGTTGTGGGGAAAATAAGAGCAAGAAGGAATATTGGGTAGATTTGTTACTTTGGGTTTAATTATAAAGATAATAAAGGCAAGCTAAAAAAAAAAAGATCTTTAAAAAGTATAAAAATAAATTAAGAAAAAGATTCTAGGTAGGACCAAACTTCTTAGCTGCACCTAAAGCAGTTTCCCGCTTTTTCAATCATGTTTGCACCCTCTTCCTGTTAGGACTGAGAGAATTTTCAATAAAATCAACTGGAGCAAAAAACAAAATGGAGCAAAAAAACAAAAAAAAAGCCTTCTCCAGCACTCATCCACGCCTTTTTAAAATCCGTGATATCTGCAGGATTAAATTGCAAAAATCATGTTTTTTTTTTCCAAAGCACCACCTCCCCGACTTCAAGCCCCATAATCCTCAGCCTGCATGGGAACTAGAGTCCTGCAACTTTGCAAAGAGACCCACGTTCTCCCTACAGGTCTAGGGCATGCTGGGAAATGGGGTTTCCCAACAAGCCAGCCGGCCAGTTGGCCGCGGTGGCTGCTGGGAGTTCTCACCAATTTTCCCTCGGAAGAATACAGCCGTTGTCCGGACCGCGAAGGGAGGCGGGCGGCCCGTTCTTGGCCAACGAGCCGGCGAGGCCCGGCTTCCCCTCACCTGCATCATATCGAAAAGACGGTGCTTCTCCGCGTAGAGCCCCATCTGCGGGGGGATGTACAGAGGCCTCTTGGTAGCGTCCATGGCGCCCTTAGCAACCGCGCGTCGCTATGCTGCGAGCTTCGCCCACGGTGGCGTCATCACCGAGCGACAGGCCTCACGCCGCCCGCTGGCTAGGTAAAGAGACTGGGTTGCGGCGACGGGGGTGGCCGCTAGAGGGCGACCGAGAGGCAAAACAAAAAAAATCATCGCTGGAGCGCTTTTTTTTTTTTTTTTGCACGTGTTCAATGCAGGACTGGCTTTTCCCTCGCCGGCACGGGTTTCTCCCGGCTTGTGAGAACGCAGTCACATTTTTTCAGCTTGCACGAGCGACTCTCCACCCCCACCCCACCCCCAGCTTCTATTGCACCTCTCCCCCCCCCGTTAAAACCTTGCGCACGAGCAAGAGGCAGCACAGCAGCAACCGACTACATGCCTCGTGGGAGCCCTCCCCACCCACCCACCCAGCCAGCAAGGCAAAGGGAACAAGACAAAGAGAGTTACGGAGAACTCCTGGGCAGCAGACCTGCCAACCTTCCGCTTTGAGCTCCAGGAACGGCCAAAGCCCTGGTTGGCGGATAGACTGCTCCTGATTTTGGAGGCTCTGCGGAACTTTTTTTTTTTTTTTTTTTGCAAAAAGCCGGGCGCTCTTTTCAGCCTCCCCCGGGCTTTCCTCGGCTAGTCCCCACGTGTAAGGGGGTGGGTGGGTGGGGGGCGTGGCGGCTGAGCAAGGGTCCCGCCCCTCGGTTGCCCGGGAGACGCGTGTAACAATTGCCGGGCTCGCCTCGGGATTGCAAGGAGGCGGGCGGGGTAGTAAAGAAGCCGCTGGATCCATCCGGATGGTCGCCGGCAGCAGCAGCAGCAGCGACTCCGGGACATGCAGAAGAATCGGGGGGAAGAATAAAGGTGAGCCGAGCCTACCTGGCAGGGCTCTTAGGGGGAGGTGGAACGCCGAAGGAACGCTGGATGGTGCCCTTTCCGCGGGGGGATCGGGGGGATTTCCATGCAGCCGATCCTGAGTTCCGATCCTGTGAACATTCCAGCTTCAGAGTCTTTGCTTTCGCTTCCATGCCTGTGTTTTCTTCCTGAATCCTCAGCTCATCAACCGGATCCCTTTTGCTCTGGGTTCAAATCAATGGAGAAGATATATTTTAATGAGAGAGAATGTCCTTCTCACAGGACATTCAAGTCTGTACTTTCCCTGGGGAGAACCGAAATAATTTTAGGCGCATTACACCTAGAGTCACGCATGTTAGACGGATGGCTATATAAATCAAAATAATTATAATAAAAGGTAAACCGGGCGGGCCTTTCCAAAAAGTCATGAATGGCGCTTAAAAATAAATAAATCTCCCCACTGACAATATTTCGATCCGTGAATTGTATTTTAAGATGAGCTTGGACGACCCCTTGTCTGAAATGATACAGGGGGCTGGATTAGAAGACCTCCAAGGTCTGTTATTCTCCTAAACGGGGTGGGTTCACGCGTGCAGCATGTTAGTGGACGATTCTCAATCATCCAGGTCGGTGCTTTTTCCAAAAAGCAACCAGACTTTCTTGTTTGTTTTCTTTCCTTGAGAACATTTCGCTTCTTGCTCAAGAAGCTTCTTCAGTTCTGACTAAATGAATGGAAGGATTTATATTCGGATGACTGCAAAGAATATCAATCCTTCATTCCCCAACAGCAGTGACTCTCTTAACAATCGGCAACAAGTTTGTAAAATCGGCGCAAATCAAGGACTGCCGCTACTTGCTTGCTTATTTATTTACAAAATTTATTTGCTGCGCATCTCATATCCAACATCCGGGGGTGGCTTACAACATAAAAACACTGAGAACATGAATGTCATCCATTATGAAAACACGGCAGATAAAAACCTTATCGGAGGAAAGCTGTTTTGTCGTCATACACGTGGCGCTTGATTTACCGCCACAAAATGAGCCCCAAATTTGTTAAGTGAGACATTTGTTAAGTACGTTGTGTCCCATTTTACGACCTTTCCGCCACGGTTGTTAAGTGAATGACTGCAGGGGATAAGTTAGAAACCTTGGTTGCTGGGAATCCGGCTTTGACTCTGCTGGTCAGAACGTCCCAAAAGGGGATCACGCGTGACACCCCCCCCCCGGGACTCTGCAACCATCATAAATATGAGTCGGTTGCCAAGCATCTGAATTTTGATCCCGTGTCGAGGAGGGTGCTGGAAAGGTCGTAAGTGTGAAAAACGGTCCTTTTTTCCAGTGCCGCTGTAATGAACGGTCAACTAAGTGAATTGTCGTAACGTTGAGGACTGCCTGCTTTGCAAGTTTACTCCTGGCTGCTTCTCTCTCCCTTCTAGGAGGGGGGAAAAATGAATGAAATCAAGGAAAGCCTTCGGAGCATTGAACAGACGTATAAAATCTTCCAGCAGCAGCAGTTCACCTTCATCGCTGCCCTGGAACACGTCCGAGAGAACGCCCATGATAAAATTAAACCCGTGTCCAGCATCGGGCAGGTAAGGAGGACGTCCGCCTGCCGCCCCTTTGGGACCTAAGGCTGGGGTGATAGAACTGAGGGGGGAGATGGGGAGATGAGCAAAGTCCTTGGAGAAAGGGGTCAATCTGTTCTCCGAAGCACCGGAGGGCAGTCGCTTTTTCCAAAGGCCACTGGACTTTCTGCTTTTGCTAGAAGAGGTTTTGCTTCTCATCCAGAGAACCTGCTTCAGTTCTGGTTACAGGATTCGTCTCTCCCCCCTCCCAGCGAGGGTACAGATAAACCTCTCTGAAGGAGTGCCAACGACCAGAGGACTGCAAGGAATAGACATCCTTCCGTTCTCCACCATTAAGTCAGAACTGGAGAAACTTCTCAGAGAAGAAGTGAAACGTTTTCGGAGATTAAAAAAAAACAAAGAAAGTCCAGTTGCCTTTTGAAAGGGGGGGGAAGCAGCTTTGGGACAGCCATGACCTGGATGATAGAGAATCTCCAGAGAGATTTACTAGGATAAGAAGGAATGGATGGAAACTAAAAAAGGAGAGAAGCAACCTAGAAATAAGAAGAAATTTCCTGATGTTTCTTTCTTTTTTTCTTTCTTTCTTTCCTTCCTTTTTCTTTCTTCTTTCTTTCCTTCTTTCCTTCCTTCCTTTCTTACCTTCCTTCCTTTTTCTTTCTCTTTCTTTCTTTTCTTTCTTTCCTTCCTTTTTCTTTCTTTCTTCCTTTTCTTTTTTTTCTTTCTTTCCTTCCTTCTTCTTTCTTTCTCCCTTCTTTCCTTCCTTCTCAAAATTTACATAACCGCCCAACTCACTCTCAGTGACTCCGGCAGCTTACCAAGCTAGAAACCTAATACAATACAATTAAAAAGCCATTTTTTTCTTTGTGGTTCGTTGCCTTTGGATCGTTTTGACCTAATTAACAAAAACAAAAAAACAAGAACAGAATAAATACTCCCAAACAAAAGCAGGCATGCGAAGACTGGACTCATCTCCTTTCCTTGACTTCCTGAAAACTTTCTCTCTCTCTCTCTCCTCCCAAACTGAAATGGAGAGCATGGCAGTGTCCCTCTCGCCCCAGCGTGCGTTCCCACAGGGCAGAGATAGCATTTGAAAGTGCCTATTAAAAGTAATGGCTCTGTAGCCGAGGGGGCTGTGATGGATGGAGAAGTGTCTGCTAAGGCAACATGATGAATGGAGGCAGGTGGGTTTTTTAATTTTATTTCTCAGACTTTGGGGACTCACGTTAAAAAGAAATGTCAACTCTTAAGTGGAGCAGAATCGGATTCTCTCTCTTTAGGAGGGAGGGAGGGAGGGAGGGAGGGAAGGAGGAAGGAAGGAAGGAAAAAAGGAGAAGGAGATGAAGATGATGAAGGAGCAGGAGAAGACACCTTATGTGGATTATCTTTGAAGTAACTATTTAAAAAGAAGAAAAAAGAAAATGAAGAATGTCTCATTGAGTCAACCTTCTCTACCTATTGTAGGTGGGGCTGGACTATGACTCAACCAGTCATATCTGTTATCCATCCATCCACTCACTTCCTCTGTCTTTCTTTCTATCATCTATGTCTGCCTGCCTACCTACCTACCTACCTAATATCTATCTATCTATCTATCTACCTACCTACCTAATATCTATCTATCTATCTATCTCTATCTATATCTTTCTCTCATCTACCTCTCTAATCCTCTGTCTACATAGCTATCCATTTCATCTATCTCTTTATCCATCCATTTCCTCTCATCCATCCATCCATTCATCCATCGCCTAAATTTTGACCAGGGGATCCTCACGAAAAAAAAGCCCCCCTCCAAAAGACACAAATAATAATCACAGCAGCTGAATTATCATAACCCAAGGCTTAACAACATGGCAATATACAAACTGTTGGACCGAGCTGAGGGGGTAGGCCCACCTCACCTTCTCCCCCCCCCCCCGTCTTCCAGGAACCCCAAACCTTGGAGGTGTGTCTATCAGCACAACCGCTTTCTTTTTCCAAAGACACCCATACACACACACACAAAGAGAGAGGAAGAGAGAGAAAGAGGTTTTATTTGATCTACTACATTCCCCCATCAGGGTTGGGAGCACTGAGGAGGCAGGAGGAAGAGTTTGAATCTGATGGGGCCACTTAAAAAGGAGGTCTCTTCCCTCTGTCTTTTTTTCTTTTCTTTCTTGCTGAGCTGGTCACCCCGGGATCCAATTAAGCTCAGGAACTACCAGGAATTGCTCTGGTGCAAGAACCAGCCTGCCTGTTAACAGCTGACCTGAGACCCATCCAGCAGCCAGCTGAGGATTGCGGTTTGCAACACAATGCCGGCCAGTCTCGGATTGGAGTCAGCTGCAACCTCTGCACCCCATTATGTTCCCTGGAAACTTTTTTCTCTTCCTAACTTTTCACGCAGGGAGGGAGAGAGGGAGGAAGAAGGGGATAGCAGGGAGCAAAACTCGCTAGATAATGACCAGGGGTTTTTTTTGTGTGGGTTTTTATTTATTTATTTTCTTGCAAAAGTTGCGGTTTTTCGAAGCGCAAACCATAAACTGCAAAGCCAGCTTGGAGACGGGCTGCCTTAATTCGACAGGCTTAACCTGGTTAATGAATTTCTCTCTGGTTCTGGGTGACAAAGTGACAAAGAAAGGGGGGGCACAGCACGCTTAGTGAAGCCCCCCCCCTTGATAGAAGCCAGGTGAAGCATGCCTTCCGCTGCCTGCCAGATTGTGACATGTAAACATGGTCTGAAAATAGAGGTAGTCCTCAGCTAACCGGCCAGTAACAGCCCCAAAATTTCCGTCACTCAGCAAAACGGTTGTTCAGTGAATTTTGCCCCGTTTTACGACTTCTCTTGCCACGGTTCTTAAGCGAATCGCTGCAGATGTTAAGTTAGTAGCGCGGTTGTCCAATGAATCCGGATTCCCCGTGGAAAGTCGCAAAAAGGGATCGCGTGATCTCCTTGGGACGCTGCGACTGTCGTAAATATGATGGTTTCAATTTCCAATTTTGATCCCATGACCCTATTTTCAGTGCCGTCGTAACTTTGAACGGTCGCTAAATGAAGCCGAGGACCCACCTGTATTACCCATCCTCGCCCTGCTTGTCCAACAGGTGCAGACGTACATGGACCACTACTGCAACAACACCACTGACAAGCGCATCCTCCTGATGTTTCTCAACATCTGCTGTGAACTGCACAAGCTTTGCCAAAGGCTGGAGTCCCTGCACCCTGGAAACAGCACCACCAATGCCATCTTGGAGAAGTGCAAGATGTACGTCAGCCACAGCAACGACCTCAGTGGCCTCCGGGCTAAGTAAGTTTCTAGTCCCTCTGGTCCACTCCACGCCCCAGCCTTGCGGAAAGCCTTAAGTTAGCTTCCTTAGAGATTTAACTAGCATTGATGGAGTCGTGCATCTCAAATCCGTGACTCTGAACAGCTTAACGATTTGAGAATGAGTAAAAACGTAGTTTGGGGGAAAACACACACACAAGATCCACAATAGCTTCCATCCGCACAACTCTGAAAGGAGCTGCATCACACTCCCAGGGTTGAGCACAGTTCTTTCCAGGACCTAATCTAGGTTGATCACCTAAGACCAGAGGTTTAATCTTCCGAGCTTTCAGTCTTCCACAAACACAAAACGGAGACCTGGGAACCGTGGCTTACAAGCCACAAAATGTGAGTGTTTGTGGAGGATTGGTTGACTATGTTCCTTCGAGTCACTTGCAACTTCTGGGGACCCCAAAGAACTAGGAGGATCTGTCCTTAACCTGGTCTTTCAGGTCTTCCGGGGATGGCCCCATCCAGTACTGTAACTGCATCCATCCAGCCATGATCCTGGTTGTTCTCTTCTTCTTCCAATTCTGGTCACCATAATATAAAAAAAATGTTGAGGTTCTGGAAAGAGTGCAGAGAAGAGAAACAAGAATGATTAGTGGGCTGGAGGCTAAAACATACGAAGAACGGTTATAGCCATTGGGTATGTCTATGACAGTGAAGACAACCAGTGGAACAGCTTGCCTCCAGAAATTGTGGAGATTTTTAAGAAGAGGCCAGATAGTCACTTGTCTGAGATGGTATAGGTTCTGCTGCTTAAGTGGAGGGCTGGACTAGAAGACCTTCAAGGTGTTGACTGTTGGTGGTTGATCCCCAAAGCCAGAAGCTCTCAATCACCAGGACAGTTTGTGGAAGAGCATGGTGAAGGTGCCAGGGCATAGCATGGTGTGTCCAAGTTGGATCAGCTGATTGGAAAGTTGAATTTTCATCATTCTTCTCCTTCTCCTCATCCACATAATTGTTTCCCCTTTTCCTTCTCCATATAATTTCTTCTCCGTCTCCTTTTCTCTATATAATTTCTTCTCCTTCTCTGCTTCTCTATATAATTCCTTCTTCTCCTCCTTTCTCCGCTTTTCCTTCTCCTTCTTTTTCCTTCTCCTTTCTTCATATAATTCCTTCTCCGCTTCTCTATATAATTCATTCTCCGCTTCTCCTTCTCCTAATTTCTTTTCCTTCTCTTCCCCTTCTCCATATAAATCCTTCTCCTTTTCCCCTTCGCCCTGTAATTTCTTCGCCTCTGTCTAATTCTTTTTCCTCTATATTTCTTTCCTCCTCCTCCACACACCGCAGGTACCCTCATGACGTGGTGAACCATCTCAGCTGCGACGAAGCCCGGAACCATTACGGCGGGGTGGTGAGCCTCATCCCCATCATCCTGGACTGCATGAAGGAGTGGGTGGCCCACACGGAGAAGCTGCCGCGCAACATGCTCCAGAGCGTGAGTGCCCGCAAAGCGGCCATCCTCCAGCAGATAAACTTGCCAACCCGGACCAAGAAGGGCTTCGATCTGTCAGGCCGGCCCACCTTCGTCACCGAGGCTTGCCAGACCAAGCTCAGCTTGGTGGATAAGGCTCAGAAGCGGGAGAATAGGCGGGCGGCTAAAATAAAACAGATGGGCGGCCTGGGGCGAGCCATTCAAAAATTTCTCGACGGTCCCTGGAAACCGCCCGGTAAAAATGCTTTTTGAACCCAACCAAACCCAACTAAATAGAGGCGTTGTGTGAGCTGGAGGGGGTAGGAAAGCGGCACGACCCACACACTTGCATGGTGTCTAGAAATTAAAATTAGTCTCCCTGGAACTGCTTCAGCTTTTCTGAGAACGGTGCAGAAAAGACAGGCCATGCTCGGTTGGGTCAATCAGCCGTGGCCCTTCCCTTCATAGGATCATTTTTCACAGCCCTGTGCCCCGGTTGTAGATCACGGGATGACCTGGCTGGATGTGGATCACAACCCGACTCCGATTTGCATTTTTTTGTTGGTGTAAAGGCAGGAGCCCAAGCAGCGATGAACGGAATCACCACTTAAGCCAACTAGCTTGAACTCAAGATTGCGTTGGCCAACGGGTCAATAGAGACGTAGGTTGGGGAGTTAGGAAGACCTTTTCCCATGGATGATTCTGTTTTTTTTGGGGGGGGGGAGATCAGAAATAAGATTTCACCTGTCAAAAACCTGTTGAATTTTGTGGTCTGATTCTCAGTTGACTCGGGGGAAGTCCCCATCAAGTCAATCTTGTTGACTTTAGAAGCCTGTCCATACTTGGGCAAGTTATCAGGCCGTCTTCCATAAGGCAATCCACTTGGATCGCTCGGTTCCAAGGGCAACTAGATCAAATTCTACCTTCCAGCCAAATCTCCGCCATGCTCCTGGTCAAAACCACGTGCAGCCCTAGAGCCCGTTCCCTTGTGTAGGTCCCCACTGGCTTTCCAAACCTGATCCCAGAGCAGATGTACTTAAATCAGGACCTCAGTGATCAGGGAGCAGAAGATAAGCAGATTGCAAGATTCAATCTGAGTCGGTCCCCGGGATGCAAAGGTTTATTCTTCCAAGGTTTCTGCCTTGTCTGGAGCCCATCCTCAGGGAATGTGTGCACTGGGCACCGCAAATACAACAGGTAGAACAGCCCAGTGCACACATTCTGGAGATAGCAACACGAGTCCAAAAGCTTGGAAGAATAAACCTTTGGTCCCAGCGACCAACTCAGATTGGATCCTGCAACATTTATCCTGGAAGACGTAAATTGCAGATTGTTAATATTTGAGAAGCCACCTTATAACCAGGTTATGCATTTTGCAAACCAAAACCAACATGTGTTGGAAAGCTGGAACTTCGCTATTGGAAAACTCCATTCTCTTCCTTCTCGATGTCCACAGGGGCAGAAAACTTTTTTTTTAAAAAAAAGATGCATGCAATATTCGATCTCCCAGTTCTGCTCTTTGGGTCTGATTGTGGTTTTGTGTTTTTTTCTTCCACCTTCTCACAGGCTTCTTAAAACTACCTCTGCCTTTTTTTTGCTTCCAACCCGAAGACGCTTCTGAATAAAGCCATTTCCCTTGCATTTAATACTCTTTGCTAAAATGTTCACCAAAGGTGGTTCGTGGCCAGTAGATAAAACCCTGTAGGGACCCCCGCCAGCCCGCATTTTGCATTGGGTGTGAGATGCTGAACCACAAACTAACCACGTGGGGGTGGGTTTGCTGGAGCGACCCGTGGTTTGGTTGACCGAAAGCTTAGAGCAGTTTGGGAAAAAAATCCAGATTTTCCTTGTACAGGTAGCCCTCAACTTGACAATGAAAAATCCTTCTTGTTAAGCTTAATAAGGATGGGTGTTTTCTAGACCACTGTGGTTTTTCTCCCAAAAGGTCATCTTTGTCTCATTCAAGCCATCCTGGATGTTTATTTCTGGGATCTTCTAAACCAGAAAAGTCCTCGACTTACGAAAATTGAGCCCAATTGGTTGTTAAGTGAGTTTTGCCCCATTTTAAGACCTCCCTTGCCAGTTAAGAGGATCACTGCAGTTATTTATTTTTAAATCTGGCTTGCCCCCCCCCCCTCCGACTTTGCCTGTCAGAAAGTCGCAAAAAAGCAGAGTCACGTGACTTCGTGAAACCGCGAACGTCCTAAACCGGAGTCAGTTGCCAAGCGTCCAAATATTGATCACGTAACCATCAAGGATGCTACGACTGTTAGGTGTAAAAAACGGTCTCAAGTCATTTTTTCCAGTGCCTTTTTAACTCTGAGCCGTCGCTAAACGAAGGGTCGTTGAGCTGAGGACTATCTGGAAGAGCCAGAGGTGTTTTAATGGTGGGACCGCTGTCTCTGCAGACGGGACTCACCCTTATCGGAGCTGTGTAGAGTTTAGGCGAGTATCTGCCAAGAACATTGTAGGCACTGAGAAAGGATTGGGACTAGATCAAGGCTTCAATATTCAGGCATTTTGGGGGGTTCAGCAAAGAGGGAACGTGTGGGGTTTTTTTGTGGCGTTGGTGAAAGCAAGTATTAAAAACCCTACTTTCCCATGGAGGTGCTTGGGAATGCTTCTTGTAGCATCACGGTCTTCCCACCGATCAGAGGGTACAGGTAATCCACAGCTGATGACAAATCGGGAATGGAACGTCCATTGCTACGGGAGGCCGTGCTTAAATGAGCCGCATCCTTTTTGCCATGGTGAAGTGAGCCACGTGGTCACAAAGCAAATCCAGCTTCTCTTGCTGGAAGCTATCTGGGAAGGATCGCGCAAAGGGTGAGCACGTGGCCCTCCCGGGACGCCGCAACAGGTAGCAAAACACGCCAGTTGCCAAGCCCAATTTTCATCCCATCGTTGTGGAGATGCCCTAACAGCTGTTAAGTGTTAAGGCCGGTTTTTTCCGTGTCCTGGTAACTTTGAACAGTCACTAAACAAATGGTTGTAACTTGAGAACTACCTGTATGGTACCAGTCTTAAAAGATTCCCCCCCCCCCTTTAAAAGCAAAAACACGTTTCCTTTTCCTAGAAAGCCAAAGCGCACCAAAGATAGTTGAGCGTTTCTTCTCTTCGAAATCAATAAATAATTGAGCTCTTCCAACTCACACCTCCAGGTCCTGTGGCGTAAAAAAATGTTTATTATTTATGGTTCTGTTTATAAAACTACTCTGGCTATTCTGCTTAGCACAAGAAAGCAAGGGTGGCAATTTATTTTTCCTTTTGTATCTTGCTGGCTCTCTCTCTCCTCCGTAATACATATTTAATCAGTTTGATCCAGGTGAGACAGACTCTTTGAATATTAAACTAGCGTGGAGACTTTTTTTTCCTTTTTTTTTCTTTCCAAAAAGAAGGTATGTGTTTAGTGTCAGGGTTTCTTCAGCTGCCGATAAACAACTCTCCTTTTAGGCGAGAAGTCCAGCTTTGAAACGGGATCTTTTTAACCGCCCTGTTTTTAAGGTTTGCAAACCAGAGACGGCTGGCGTCCCTTTGAATCCCTTCAAACGCTGAACTTAAGGAGGTAAAGTCACGTCTTCGCAGCAAAACTGGAATATGGGGGAAATGGCCTGAAGATGCTTTAGAGCAGTTTCAATATAGGGGGATTAGCAGAAATACAACAGAAGAGGGTAACAGAGTTGGAAGGGACCTTGGGGGTCTTCTAGTCCAGCCCCCTGCTCAAGCAGGAGACCCTAACCAATTTCAGACAAATGGCTGTCCAATCTCTTCTTAAAAACGTCCAGTGTTGGAGCACCCATAACTTCTGGAGGCAAGTCGTTCCACTGATTGTTCTCCCTGTCAGGAAATTTCTCCTTAGTTCCAGGTTGCTTCTCTTCTTTAGTTTCCATCCGTTGCTTCTTGTCCTGCCTTCAGGGGCTTTGGAGAATAGCTTGACTCCCTCTTCTTTGGGGCAGCCCCTGAGAGATTGGAAGACTGCTATCATGTCTCTCCTAGTTCTCCTCTTCATTAAACTACAGATATCCAGTTCCTGCAACCGTTCTTTATATGTTTTAGTCTTCCAGACACCAGTTGCTAACTTACATTTCTCTAGATCCACCTCCCCAGAAAATTTGAAGACACAGGAAAAAATAATTCTATTTCCTCTCTCCATCCAGTATAACCCACTGGCCTGCTGAAGTTTTTGTTCTGGTGACCATTTAACAGTTTTGTGATGGGTCTTGTGAAAAAGAATGTCGAACACATAGGGAACCCCAGAGGTCTTCTAGTCCAACTGCCTGCTTTAGGCAGGAGACCTTACTATCCTGGTCAAACGGTTGTTTAATTCTCTTATTTTTTGGAAGCTCTTTTCTTTCCCACTGGCCATCTGGAACAGAGCAGTTTTCAATCCTGTTGAATTTTTTTTTTTTTTCCCCAAAATGGTTATTTACACAAGCCAGCCAAGGTGGCTTCCAACTCGATTTATTCTGAAAGGTGGAGCAAAAAAAGACACCTCTCAACCCTAAGATGAATGAAAAACAATATATATATATTTTAATTTGTTCACAGTTAAACACAAGCAACTGCCTTGATGTATTAGAACATTCTAGTAACGTCAGCGAAACGCCCTCAGTTTGGTTTTGCTTGTGAAATATTTAGTTCCGATTGTACCATTTCATAGCATCACTTCATTATCGCTGTGGCTTTTTTTCCCCTCCCTTCCCCCCCCTTTTAAAAAAAGTCATTTATTTATTTATTTATTTAAATCATGCTTACAAAGAGAGCGAGGCAGGAAACATTCACTCTTTAGACAGCTTGGTTTCGTTCTCTCTCTCTCTCTCTCTTTTTAAAAGATTTAACTAAAAGCAGTCAGGTTTTTTTTTTCTCTTTTTTCTCTTAAAGGGGAAAAAAAAAACAAGGATTATTTTTTTCAGCTTCGCTAACGAGAAGTTTTCTCCCCTCTCCCCAAAATTGCAAAAAAAACCAAACACCCCAAAACAAGAACTTCATTATGTACGCTACATCCATGATTCAAAGAGTTGCTCTGATAAGGATACCCAGAGTGATTCCGCCGTCTTTCCAGTGGTCTGCTGGGAAAAATGAGATAGGATAATTCCACTAATTCATCGCTAATTCATTGCATCTTTCCCAAAAGCAGATAGAGGAGCCGGTTTCTAACATTTGGGGGGGGGGGGAAATATTATTTTGACCACTGAAAACAAAGAGATCCTTTCCATTAAAACTAGGACTGCCTGCATTGAAAAAAGCAGAACTTTCCTGATAGACTCCCATGAAGGTATTTCCAAATCTAGCTAGCTAAAATGAGAAATCAGGTTGGGTCCCTTTAAAAGGTGGGTGGAAAGACAATGCCCCCCCCCCAACAAGTGAGAGGGAAGCAAAACTCAACCCCTATCAGTGAGCCGGATGGGATCTGCAAATCCGTCTATGCACCAGAGAGAGATGGTGTGGAACAGGGCTCTCTCCAAACTCGGCAACTTGTGGACTTCCAACATCCAGAAATTCTGCTGAGGAATTCTAACCGCTGAAGTCCACAAGTCTTCCAAGTGGCCAAGTTTGAAAGCCCCAGGTGTGAAGGGCTCTACCAGTGTCCACAAAGATGGGGGCTGTCCCAGCTGGAATACCCCTGTGGAATAAAGAGAGGTTGAAAAACGATCCTGGTTGGGCTGAAAAAGGCCAGCATTAGCTTTGCACACGGTTCAAATTAAATCATTTTTAGGAGTAGAATTGGGGGGGGGGGAAATGAACGTCTCTTCCTTTAGAGTAGGGGGTCTCCAAACCTGGGCAATGTTTGTGGACTTCCAACTCCCCAGAATGGCTGGCTGGGGAATTCTGGAAGTTGAAGTCCACAAGTTTTAAAAAGTGGCCAAGTTTGGAGAACTCTGCTTTAGGGGACAGGAGCTTCAACCTCAGAAAACAGCATTCCCTAAAGCAACTACCATTCAAGTCTCTGAGCTCGTATCTGGACAGCACTACAGCCCCCATCAGCCACGCGTCTTCAGCCCATCCATTTAAAAAAAAAAAAAAAGGAGCTTGGAAAGGATAAAACAAGGCAGCAGCTCACAATTTCTCCTGGCACTCTGCCAGCCTGGCCTCGCATCGCTCACCTGAACACAGCATCCCTAAATCCCATCGCAGGCTTACCGTGTTTTTCTGCTCAAACCACAGCTATTTAAACTCACCATCTGTTTAGGGAAACCTCAAGGAAGGGTTGGAGAGAGAGAGAAGTCTCTCTTTTTTTAATAATAATAATAAAAATAAAAAAGGTTTGGTTTAAGAAGTGTATGAAGGCCCACTGGAGGCAAAAGCAAGAGACGGCATTTTGGGGGTACATTAGCAGCTTTTTCTGACGAGAAGAGCCTCCCCAGGCTGGCTTTGTGACAAAGGGGGCAGAAGATGTTTGGAAATGGAAGGGGCAGAGAGGATGCCCTGTGTGGTTTTAAGAATCAAGGTGTCGTGCTCTCCACCCAAAGTGACACACATCCTTGTGAAAGATAGACACCATGCAAACGGGGGAGAAAAAAAAAGCATTTAAGCATCCGAAGGGCCACGTTAGTATCCAAAAACCATGATGCTGGGTTTTGAGGATGGAGGGGGTGGGTGGAAATTGTCACAGGTCTAATCCATGTATGTGCGTGCGTGCACACACCCAGTCCCAATGGAGGCAAATCCCCATAAGTGCTTCAGACTGATGGGTTTTGGTGGCAGCCACCAGCAAGAGATCATAAGCCTCTTAGAAGAAACCAGAGACTGGATTATAAAAAAAAAAAAAGGAAGGATAAAACCTCATTTTTGGTTCAGGTGGAACACAAAACCAGCGGAGAGTCTTCTCGTTTTTGAGGAGACACGGGAAAAGGGGAGCAGGACGGACGATGGGGAGAGAACTGATTTTTTTTTCCCCATAATTTTTTGTGCGCTACTGGTATAAAACACTCACCGATCGAGAAGGCTGCTGTCTTCCTTTCCATTTAAACAAAGCTCAAGTCAGGTCATATCAGCTTATCAGACTAGAGAGAAACACAGCTAAAGAGAATAAAGTATAAAGAGAAATAGTGTTTCCAGAATATTGGGGGGGGGGGGAACTATGCTGGGCAGCTTCCAAAATGATTCATAAGGAAACCAAAACATATATATATATTCCAGCAGAGAAAATGTGCAGGGCAGGGGAGATAAACCCCGTTTTTTTTGGGGGGGGGGGAAGGTTGTTGTTTTAAAAGGCAGGAGGGGAATGTAGATCGAAATAAGGTAGGATTTAAAAACCACATCATCATCAGAGCAAAGTCCGGCGGTACTCATGATGAGCAAGGTTGAGGAAAATCAAAACTCTTTTTTAAAAATCTTACTTTGGCGGAGAACCGTCACCCCAGTCCCTGGCGAAAAAGGGGGGTGGGTGGGCTGGGTGGGAGCAAGATGGCTACCAGCCCTGATTGAGGACTGGTGGGGCACAGTCCTTCAGATTAAGCACACAAACACCCCCACCCCCATTCGCTCAGAGAGGCCTGCTAACCTATTGCACAAAAGTTCGTTCGGCGGGAAGGCGAAAGGGCAAAATGAGGAGTCACCATCCCAAGTGAAGGAACAAGTATAAGGGGGGGGGAGGCATCAAAGATGGCACAGGGGGGAGGGAGGACGACCGAGTTCTTTGGCCCTTCCAGACCTGGCATCCGTTCTGCATTCACTCAGCCAAGGTCCACCTGCCCCCAAACGAAAACAAACCGGTCCGTGTTGCCGCGGCAGGAGTCCCACGGGTCTAGAACGAAACGTGAAAGCTTTTAGTTAAAAAACACACGCGCTCCGTCGCTCTCTCCAAGGCTGAGATTATGAAAAAGTTAACACTGATTTGTTTGTTTTTTTTGTTTCCCCCCCGCGGGCTTCCCGGCTTAGCTATGACCGTGATGGGATTCGTTGTAGTCCATTATATGAAGCGATTCGATGCTGCTTTCTTGATTTGAGGGAGAGGAAGTGGGTTCCGCGGGACCCGGGGAAGGGGGCAAGGCTCTCCGGGCTTCTAGGCCAGGCCCTTTGCACAATTCAGTCTTCAACGTGCCGCAGAGGCTCTGGAGGGCCGCCCCGTCTTCATCACACTGGCTTTCGCTTTTGTTGCGGAAGAGTTCGCGAGCTTTCATGCCCAGGAAGCTCTCTGAACTCGGGAAGGAGCCCACGGTCAGCCGGCTGCGGGCGGAAGGAGGTTCCTGTCGCGCAGAGGCCTCCCAGCAGCTGTTGAAGGGCCCGGCTCGGTCGGCGAGGGGCTTCTCCGGACTGGATCCACCGCTGTTGCCTTTGCTGCTGCTGCTGCTGCTGCTATGACGAGTCTGGACGACGGAAGAGTCGGCCTCCCCGTTCCTGCCCCGCATTTCTTCACCGCATCGGGCAACTGGGTGGGACAGGCCCTCATTTGCCCCCGAGAGCCTGTGGGGAAGGACGAGCAATGGGTGAGGAGGAGGAGGCGGAGGAGGGAGGGTGCAGGGGTGAGAAATTCCAGCCTTGCAGGCAAACTCTGCAGTCTCGCCGCAGCCTTCCATCCTTCCGAGGTCGGTAAAAATGAGGACCCCAATTATTTCGCCCAAGCTATCTTCTTTTCAGTTAAATCTACCAAACGGGACACTTTAGAACAGGGAGGGTTTCTAAATCTTGGCCCACTTTTAAGACGGGTGGATTTTAACTCCCAGAATTCCCCCTGGCAGGGGGAATTCTGGGGGGTTGAAGTCCACCCATCTTTAAAGAGGCCCATTTTCAGAAGCACAGCTTTAGAAGGAGGAGAGAGGTGAATTCAGCCAACACCCGTTGGGCAAATTCAACGCATCAGATCACGGCTTCACTTCGGAAGCGGGCACGTTTCGAGTTTCTCGTAAGAAGCCAGAAAGAGAGGCAGGCTGTGTTTTTTTTTTACCTTTCTTCGGCCATTTCTGCCGTCTCCATTTTGTCCTCCTCCTCCTCCTGTTTCTTCTGCAACCGGTCGCTATCCAGGCAACTGTACAAGCGTAGTATCTCCAGTTCAAAGGTCCGCGTGATCTGCTTTTGCGCTTTGTGCTGCTGTTCGACCGCCTGGAGCTGGTCCCTGAAACGGACAAGAAGCCACCTTGAGCTCAATCGAATCGAATACTTTATTGGGCCAAAACTCACAACTGCCTCACTTAGCAACATAAATTTGGGGGCTCAATTGTGGTCGTAAGGCCTCCTCTTCTCTGCTCCATGCACCTTCCCTCTGGCGCTGATGATGTTAGCTAGTTTGGCCATGAAACGCCTGCAGGAAAAGCACCCAGCTCAGAGAGCACCCAGGAACCCCACACCGCCATACTTTCTAAGTCAGCTTAGGGCTCCCTACAGTGCAAGGCAAAAGAGGGCATCGTCAAGGCAACCTGGCTTGGACTTTGACGTCCTCCAAATATTTCTTCTGCTCCAGCAAGAGGTGATCCTTCTTGGTCAGCTGAGATTCCAGTTCTGCAACCCGGTTCTGAGACGCTTCCACTTGCTGACTCTGGAGGAGGAGGCAGGACTTGGCTCTCTCCAGCTCCTTCCGGAAGGCCGTCTGCATGATCCCCACTTCCTGAAGAGGAGAAGGAGGAGGAGGAGGAGGAGAAGAGAGAAACGCAGCATTGGAGGGACCTTCCACGTAGCTAGGCTCAAAATACAGAATAGCTTGGAAGGGACCTTGGAGGTCTTGTAGTCCAACCCCCTGCTTAAGCAGGAGAACCTATATCATTGTGGGTAATTGGCTGTCCAGTCTCTTCTGGAAAGCCTCCAGTGTTGGAGCAGCCACAACTTCTGGAGGCAAGCTGTTCCACTGGTTAATTGTTCTCCCTGTCAGGAAATTTCTCCTTAATTCTAGGTTGCTTCTCTCTTTGGTTAGTTTCCATCCGTTGCTTCTTATCCTGCCTTCAGGTGCTTTGGGGAACAGGTTGACACCCCTCTTCTCTGGGACAGCCCCTCAAATATTGGAAGACAGTTGTCCTGGCACCCCCAGTCCTGCTTTTCATCAGGCTAGACACAGCCCATCCCTGCAACCTTCCTTATGTTTTAGCCTCCAGCCCCCTTGTCATCTTAGCTGCTCTTTTCTGCCCTCTCGGAGTCTTTCTTTCGTCATCAATTGTGAACTGGCTTCGCTGAAGACATTAAAAATGGCCAAATTTTACACCAGGGGCCGAAAGGAAAGCAAGCCAGCTGTGATTGGCAGCGCGGCCACCCCACACGAACCAGGGTCCAAGGAGGCTACCTTGGTGGTGTCGGCGTGCTTGTTCTGCAGCTGCTCCAGGTACAGTTCATTCACCTCCCCCAGCACCAGCAGCTGCCTGTTCAAGAACTCCATCTGCTGTTGGACCGACTCGCTGTTGGAAAGCTGGAGGAGGAAATATTTAAGGCTCTTTTGGAAGCTGATAATCGGGGTCGTGTTTTCAAGGGTGTGTAGAGGGCAATTAATTACCCACCCTCTCGTCTTCCCTCCCCGGCCCTGGCGATTACGCTGCCTTGAGCAGAAAGCAGGAAACCACGGAAGTTCCCCCGAGCAATTTTACCTTTTGTGAAACTTGGCTCAGCTGCAGTTCTGTGTGGCACACCTTGTGGTTTGATTTTTTCAGCTCGGACCGCAAGTCTCGGATGACATTGGAACAGTCTTCCAGTTTGGTCTAGTTAAGGGGGGGGGGAAGGCATCCATTTGTCCAGTTTATGCCAGGATCCCCGTCGTAATTTTATTTATATCCAGCCTTTATTATTTTTATAAATAATTCAAGGAGGCAAACAGACACTACTAGACTCCTTCCTCCTGTTTTCCCCATAACAACAACTGGGTGGGCTGAGAGAGACTGGCCCAAAGTCAGCCAGCTGGCTTTCGTGCCTAAGGTGGGACTAGAACTCACCGTCTCCTGGGGATTGGCCCAAAGTCACCCAGCTGGCTTTCCTAGCTGAGGAGACACTTGAACTCACAATCTCTTGATTTCTGGCTTGGCGCCCTAAGCATTAGAGCGAACTTGGGGGAATCTAATGGGGAGAGTCTGTTTTCTACAATACCCTGATTTTGGGGAGAGTTTTTTGGTGGGGGGGGGGGGAATGGTAAAGGCAGAAGGAATCCAGCCCCTCCTCTGAGAAAACCACCCTGGGAAGGTCCCGCGTGGGATCGCTACCTTCAGCTCCTGACTCTGGCTGTAATACTCCTCCCGCTGGTGCTGCAGCTGGCGGAGCCGGCTGTGCAGCTGAGCCACCATGCCCTCGTATTCTTCCTGGAAGAGGCGATGTTTGGCCTGCTCCTTCTGAAGGCTGAGCTTCAAGGCCTGGATGTCCTTCTCCTGGAGCCGCAGCTGGTCTTTCTGCCCAGAGGAAGAAGTCAGAAGTCAGAGGCCGGGCCCTGCCTTTGCCCGCTCTTGGGCTTGCTCAAAGGGGAATCATTTGTTTGGTTATTCGGAGCAGGACTTCGCAAGACCATGGTTTGTTTAATTGTTTATCGAATTTATCTGTTGCCCCCCTTCGAGACAGATGGATAGAGATGAATAGATAAAAGACATGGATGGATAGATGATAGATAGACAGAAGATATAGATAGATAGATAGATAGATAGATAGATAGATAGATAGATATAGACAGATAGACAGAGAGATAGATGATGGATGGATATAGTCAGATAGATATAGTTAGATAGACAGACAGATAGATAGGCAGACAGATATAGATAGATATAAACAGAAGAGATGAATGGATAAAGACATGATGGATGGATAGATGATAGATAGATGTAGTTAGGCAGGCAGGCAGGCAGATATAGATAGATATAAACAGAAGAGATTGATGGATAAAGACATGATGGATGGATAGATGATAGATAGATGTAGATAGACAGGCAGGCAGATATAGATATAAACAGAAGAGATGAATGGATAAAGACATGATGGATGGATGGATGGATGTAGAAAGTGATAGAAGAGATGAATAGATGAAAAACATGATCTAGATGGATGACAGAAGAAACAGGTAGATGGGTAAAAGACATGGATGGATGGATGGATGGATCTAAATCTTTTCACTGCCAGGAACTGCACAAGGGAACAGCTGAGCCTCAGAGGCCACCCAGGCAATTGCATCAAAGATCCAGAGGTTGAACATCTGCTGGGCAGGAGATGCCCCGCCGCCGGCTCACCATGGCTGCGTTGTGTTCCTCCAGGGCAGCAGCTTTGATCACTTTCCGCAGGAGGCGCCTGTTCCGGACAGCGTGTTGCTGCCTTTTGAAGCGCTCGTACAACAGCTGGTTATGCAGCAGGCGCAGCTGATTCTGGAGGGTGTGAATCTCGTCGGAAGGAGGAGAACCTGCAGGGGAGACACACCAGGGAAAGATGGCGCTGTGTCTCAGGGTGTCTCTCTGTGTGTGTTTGTGGGTGCGTGCGGGTTCCCTGCCTAAGGTAGGACTAGAACTCCCTGGACACCCAGATCCCGAGGGGAAAAATTGGCTCACCTCCAAAGTGAGTCCAGTCGGCGGATCGGCTTGGCAACGACAACCTGGAAATGAGAAAAACAAAAAAACAAAAAAATTCAGTGTCATCGGAACTGCTGCTCTCTAAAGTCTCGCAAGATTGGTAGTAATTGGGGGGGGGAGGGTCCACAGATAAGGTGTAGGTTCACTACCTGGCATGAGGCCTGGTTATTTGAGAGTCCTGCCATGCCCCCCCCCCAAAATAACTGCCTGGCCAGATCAATTCTCCAGGATTAAGCAGACCAATACAGGTAATCTTTGACTTTAGGGTCACGGCTGACCCCAGCCTTTCTGTTAAGTGAGACCTCGAAGCCAAATTTGCCCCAGGTTACGGCCTTTCTTGCTAACTTGGACGCTTGGTAACTGACTCATATTTATGACGGTCGTAGCGTCCACGGGGGGGTCTCGCGGTCCCCTTTGGCAACCTTCAGACGAGCAAGGTCAATGGGGAATCCAGGTTCACTTAAGGACTTGGTTAACTAGCTTATCAGCCGCCGTGGCTGCCTTAACAACTGTGGCGAGAAAGGTGATCAAATAGGGGCACAACGCACTTAACCAGTGTCTCGCTTAACAACAGGAATTCTAGGCTCCCTTGCAGTCATAAAGCGAGGACTTCCTGGATTTGCCAGAAACTGGGAGCGAAGGCGAAAGAGAGGATAAGTGGTGACCACGTGACTGTAGGACACTGCAAACGGCCGTAAAGGCAGGCAGGTCAGCTGCTAACCTTGTTGTGTTGTCTGGATCGGGTTCAGGGTGTGTGCGCACAGCCACTTACTTGCTCAGTTCCCTGCCGTGTGCATCGGCCCCGTGTTGAAGCAGCCTGTCTAAGACATCCAGCGGGGAAGCAGCCAGGAAGCCATCATCCTCCGCTCCTCCCTTGCTCTTTCTCAGCAGCTCTTCCGTCTTCCGGCTGACAAACAGGTAGGCGGTCTTCGGCAAGGCCACCTCGAACAGGTGCTCGTAGCCCGGAAGCCGCTGGCCCCCAAGGCCGGGCCTCTGGCGGGCAGGGATTTTGCAAGGACTGGGGGTCAAAATGCCCGTTTCTTGAAGCCCCGCAGGAATTTCCTCGGCGTCACGACAAGGCCGGTCGATGGGCGTGAAGGCTTCCTTCGGAGTGTCCCGTGAGCCTTCGAGTTGGTCCAGAAAAGACGCCAAGGGCTCCGTGTTTGAAAGCTGCCCTGCGGCGTTCGAAGCGGCCGACTGAGACTTCCGAGAGCCGGAGAGATTCTCGCTGGATTGGTAGAAGGGAGAATCGAATCCTCCCCGAGGCACGACGGGCTCGGCCTCCGTGGCGGTGATGGCGGAGATTTCGTTCGAGATGGCATCTGGGGAAAGGGGCGGGGGGGAGGGAGGGGGAAATTCCATGTATTGAGGCCTAATCCTGCCTGTCTAATCGGAAGTTCAGGCGGCGCAGCTGATGTTCCAAGCAGCCACGTTCTCACCTTCTTCTCTGTCTTTCTCTCCGCTGTCTTCACAAGAGGCCTCCAGGTCTCCTAGGACGTTGGGCAGGTCGTTTAAAGTTACAGAATTTTTGCTGCCTTGCGAGTCTGGATAACCAAGGTCAAAATAATAATAAGAAGATGAAGATGAAGCAGGAGGAGGAGGAGGAGGAGAAGAGGAAGAAGAAGAAGAGGAAGAGGAAGAGGAAGAGGAAGAAGAAGAAGAAGAAGAAGAAGAAGAAGAAGAAGAAGAAGAAGAAGAAGAAGAAGAAGAAGAAGAAGAAGAAGAAGAAGAAGAAGAAGAAGAGGAAGGAGAAAACATAAAAGGAAATTCAAGATTACCTTACTAACATAAATATGTTCCATCAGCTCTTTTCCGCCTAGCCAAATTCTGCTGGCTTGCCCCAAACTTGATCAATAGTAGGTCAACTCAATTAGAACTAGTCAACTTATGGAGCATAATAGGAAGGCTCTCATTACGGTCACTAATCAAGGATTCTCTGTATGGAAGACCCGGAAGAGCTCAGACAAAAAGCTCAGAGTTGTTCTATTCTCAAGGAATGCCACACAAAAAGAGACAACAGGTTAAGTGTCAACTCTACAACGAACCTGGCTGTTTGAGGGGCTCTCCTGCTTGAGCAGGGGGTTGGACTAGAAGACCTCCAAGGTCCCTTCCAACTCTGTTAAGACTGTTATTGAATCAAGTGTTCCTACATCAAGCTTCGTTGGAGGTGTTCAAGCCTCTCCACTTCAAAGAAAGAAGGGGGCAAAGGAACCATCCGGTTCTGAAGACGTTTAACCATGCAAATTTGGTCAATATAACTGGAAGAAGTGAGGAAAAGGCATTTATTTAAGCATGAAAGCTCACCTAAAGTTCTGTTTGTGATATTTTGCTGGCGGGACGGGAAAGACTTGGCAGAATCTGCTTTTTCCTCCTGGGGGGGGGGGAGAAAAAAAGAGAGGATTCAATTCAAATTGAACTGCAGAAGCATTGAACTGCAATAAACCCTCCAAGAAGTGGGGTTCAACTCCCAGAAGCCCCCAGCCAGCGTGGCAACTGCAGAGAATTCTGGGACTGAAAATCTGCACACCTGGAGGACAGTCCACAAATCAACCCGGATTGCTTATCCTAAAGGCAACTGATGGAGCAAAATTGCCAACAGCCCACGTAGGTTCCACTAAGAATTTTCTAGTTAGCCCAAATCAACTCAACCCAGCTTATTTCAGACATTCTTCTACCCCCGGGTCAAAGACGGGGGGGGGGCTGCTAGAAACATTAATCTCTACCTTCTTTGAAGATGCAGCGGTCGTTGCAGGAACCGAACTCGGACCCAAATCATCTGAAATGCAGAAGAGAAGAGAGATGGCTGGCACCGCTGGGAAGTTCCTTTCCCAACGGCTCAACAGTAGATAACAGGGGATGCCCAACGAAGTTTAGCAAACTTTAGCACAAGAGGAACCGACATGCTTCACTTTATTATTTGTTCTTTTTAAAGAAAAGGAGAATGGCCCACGAAGCCAACAGCCAGCAAAGCAGAGCATCCCATTCTAGAAAAGCATTTTCTTTGCAAGGGAGATCTCTGACCGACACCAAAATTCTCCCCTGGAACGACAGAACGTGTGGAAGCCTCTACGCTCGCTGGTTAAGCGAGCACGTCGCAACGGGGCTGTTTTGCGGCAGCCCCCATCCCACCACCTCGACGCTCCGAAGGGCACCCCTCCTTCCTTAAAAGGGCCCTCGACATACGACCAGAATTGAGCCCGTTTCTGCTGCTAAGGGAGACAGACACCTGTTAAGTGATTTTTGCCCCTTTTGACGACCTTTCTTGCCTCAGGTGTGAAACGAATCACTACAGTTAGTAAGTTAGTCACCTGGTTGTTAATCTGGCTTCCCCATTGTCAGGTCACAAAAGGGGATCACGTGATCCCGGGGATGCTGCGTCCGTCATAAATACAAGCCAGTTGCCAAACGTCTGAATTTGGATAAGGTGACCACGGTTGTTAAGTGTGAAAAAGGGTCGTAAGTCACCTTTTTTCAGTGCTGTGCGAACCTCCAACAGTCACTAAATGAATGCTTGTTCAGTTGGGCACTGCCTGTATTAGGCTCACTCAGCTTCAGCTTCTTAAGCCCATTCCCCCCCCCCTTGAGAATAAATGTCTGGGTAGACCACAGGGGGTAAAGTAGTGATGGAGTAAACCCCTCACAAACCCAAGATTTCAGGTCTGGGGTGAGTGGAAGGAATGGGGAGAAGCGGGCGTCGTACCGGCGGTGCTGAAGAACTTGGTGTAAGGCTGGGAAGAGGTCTGCGAAGACTCCAGAACAAGGCCGGGAGAAGTTGGGGGGGTGGTCATGCCACAAATAGCGGAGGGGCTCCAGATAGACGCCTGAAAAAAATAAAGGAGAGAGTTTCTGGTTACTACGGGGGAAGAGGAGGAGGAAAAACTGGCTTCTTGGCCCAATCTGAGCTTCTCCACGTGCTCCCTGTCCAAAATGCACCATGGAGAAAGAGAGAGAGAGAGAGAGAGAGAGAGAGAGAGAGAGAGAGAGAGAGAGAGAGAGAGAGAGAGAACAAATCCACCTTTGGAGAGCCTCTCTTTTTTTTTTTCCTTTCAATATTTTATTAATTTTTTACAGTCACAAATCCTCAATATTTTATCAGCAACGTATTGTCTGGGTTCCAATATTTAGCTTACTAATCCATGTTAAACTCCTTTCTCTCCGTTTTTCTAGCCATTGATTAAAAGGTATCCCCCCTGTTCTCAACTATTCTGAATCTTCTTTTCTCTTTCGTTTTCAGAGTCAGTCTGTCCATTTCTACACACACAAACTAGAATTGTCTTAATTGTCTCATCCTCCACTGGTAATTCCTCCATCTTTCCTTTGGAAATCCTTAACACTTTCACGCAAAAGAAGGCAGGTTAAGACCACTCTTTGGTCCCTTACAAGACATGCAGGGGACCCCCCCCCTCCAAAAGGAAAGATTTCAACTTTGTCCTCCCAAGGCTATAAATCCCAGCCCGTTACCTGCTGAGGCTCAGTGGACAAGCTTGAGGATTGGGGGTTCAGGATGTGAGGTAGCTGCCCTGGTATCTGGGAGAGGACCAGCCGAGAAGCAGAGTACGGGGTCGACGTCATGGCTCCTGCAGTGAAAAGGACAGGAAAGAAAACCAGGTGGTCTTTGGCTTGCAACCACAATTGGGATCAGAACTTGTTGCTAAACGATGCAGGGTTTTTTTTTTCAGCATCAAGAGATAGAGTCGTTGGCCTAATGGAAGAAAGATTCGACAGAAGAGAATCTTTGTAGCTCCGGGGTTGAACTGCATTCTAACCACTGTGCCACCACGGCTCTGGAAGAGTTTTGCCAGAGGTGGAAATAAGGATTCTTGATGCTCTCTGAGCTTGGTGGTTTTCTTGCAGACGTCTCCTCACCCAACTAGGGAACATCATCAATATTTAGTGAGTGTGGTGTTTGCCCGCTTTTTATATACAGATATGTATAGATATTCTGGCACCAGAAAAAACATCCAGCAGAAAACATCACCCTAATCAAGGAACCACAAAGAAGAAAATCATACAGCTCTCCCCTAACAGGAAACAAACCCCAAATACATTATCACTGATGATGTTACCTAGTTGGGTCATGAAACATCTGCAAGAAAACCACCAAGCTCAGAGAGCATAAAGGATCCTTATTTCCACCCCTGGCAAAACTGTACCAGAGCCGTGGTGGCGCAGTGGTTAGAATGCAGTATCGCAGGCAAACTCTACCCACTGTCAGCGGTTCGATCCCGACAGGCTCAAGATTGACTCAGCCTCTCATCCTTCCGCGGTCGGTAAAACGAGGACCCGGATTGTTGGGGGGCAAAAGGCTGACTCAGTAAATGGCTTAGTGAGTGCTGTAAAGTCCAGGTGCTATTGCTATTATACATTGGGGAGGATTAAAGCGTCTTACCCAGACTATTGTGGGGAATCATGTAAGGGCTGGCGTCAACGTCTACGGGGCGAAGCGATAGGTGTGCGCTGGCTTGTAGGGAGGTTGAGCAGTAGCCCTCTTCATAGGAGGCTTCTGCCGGATCCAGGGAGATTTTGGCACATTCAATCACAACGTCGTGCGTTTCTAACCTCTTCCACCTGTTGGAGGCACAAGGACCTGTCAGCTTCCACCTATTCCGAGGCTTGCCGCTTCAGATTTGGAAGGGAAACCGTTCCTTTATCCGAAGAACGGGCAATCCTAATGACAAGGAGGCAGATTCCCAAGCTTCCGTGGTCAGGGAAAGAAGCGTTATGTACCTCCGAGGGTCCAGTTCGTGATCCTTGGAACCGGTCACCAGCTCCGGATGGATACGCACGTGGCCCATCATTGGCTGGAAGGACAGCAAAGAGATCTCATAATGGGGACAAAGGCAAGCACACAGCTCAGCACTGTGAGACATGGAGAAGGGCAACGTTTTGGTTGGGTAGAACATTTCATTCAGGATTGAAGGATCCAACCCAAGAATCCAGACTTCTAGAGATCTGACCCAAGTAGGACAATCCTGAGACAAACTCAGCTCCAAAATTGGCCCATTTCGCTCTAGATTGGTCCTGACTGATACTGAAAAGGAGTCCATCCCTGTTCCACTCAGAGAGGTTTAGATCTTCTGCAGGTAACATCTCACGATTTTCCTTAAATTAATTTAATCCAATGGACGGGATGGGCCGCTGCTCTGTTCTCTCCTGGCCCCTTTTAAGAAGCTTCTCATCCTAAGCTGGCTAGCAGGCTTCAACCCGGTGAAGTCAGCGTGGCAAATAACCATCTCCAAGTTCTTCCAACAGGGAGACCATCAACCTCCATTTGGTTACCTTGACCACCTCTTCAAAGGTCTCCAGGTTTTCCTTCATGCTGTAGTGGGAGCGCAGAAAGGAGACGAAATTGCATGGGTACATTCCATAAAGGCGGTGAAAGAGGGCATACACGCTGGCGTGGAGGTGGACCAGGTAGATCTCTGCCACGTGGCCTGAGGAGAAAGCCAACACAAAACATATCAACCCATCCCTCTTTGGACAACTCCACACGAATCCGATTCTCTTTGGCTATCACCCTCTCCGACGCCCAATTCTGAAAAAAGCAAGACCCCCCCTTGCTCAAAATGAAATTTGACGGTCTCCATAAAGGTTCTTGATAGGTTCCCCTTGAACTTCTTCCTCGTCCACAATTATGGCCACAGAGAAGACGCTACTTCAACTTTCTCCCATGAAACAGGATCTCAACCACCCGTGTTACTAACTTATTAACTGCGGTGATTCACTTAACAATTGTGGCAATGGGCAAAATTCACTTAACAAAATGTCTCACTTAGCAACATAAATTTTGGGGCTCAGTGGTGGTCCTAAGTCCTCCTCCCCCCCTTCTCCTCCACGCCATGCACCTTCTCTCTAGCTCTGATGTTACCTAGTTTACCTTGTACCCCTACATGCCATACCTGTGACAATACCCCAAGGAAGCATTTAACGATACTCCGTCGGAAACAAGAGGAGTGATGGCCTTGAGAAAGCACCCAGATTTCAACCAGGGCCAGCATTCTATCTAAAACCAGAGATTATTTCCCCCCCCCGCCCACCCCAAGTGGGACCAGCAGAATCGGAAGCAACTGAGCTTCTCACCTGGGTTCTTCAAGTACCAAGATGAAAGACGGCCAAAGATGCCAAAGAAGTCGTGAAGGTACTGCTTCCCAGATTGAGGGATCATGGGTAGCAAGGTGATTAACACTAGCACCCCCGTAGTGAGGACCACGACGTCGGTGTCAGTCTGCCATAGAAAGGAAAACGAGATTTTCTTTTGAGAGTTAGGCTGTCTCCAACTCCGATGGATAAAGTGCCTGGTTGAGCCAGTCAGGATCAAATTCCTAGCTGTGGACAGAGTTTGCCTATAATGCTGCATGCTAACCACCGAGCCACCATAGAAGGGAGAGGGAAGGAGATGGGAATGACGGAAGAAGAAAGGAAGGAAGGAGGGTGATGAGAGGGAGGGAGGAAGAAAGGAAGGAAGGAAGGGCAATAACAGACTTATACACTGCTTCACAGTGCTTTACAGCCCTCTCTAAGCAGTTTACAGAATCAGTATCTTGCCTCCAATAATCTCAGTCTTCGTTTTACCTTGGAAGGATGGACAGCTGAGACAACCTTGAGCCGGTTAGGATCGCACTGTTGGCAGTAGGCAGTTAGCCTGCAATGCTGCATTCAAACCACCACACCAGGGCTCGCTCACTCGCTCTATCTACCTACCTACCTACCTACCTACCTACTTACCTACCTACCTAATCTATCTAATCTAATCTATCCTCTATCTATCTATCTATCTATCTATCTATCTATCTATGCATCCACCAAGAGTCAACACTGACTTGGTAATCAATAAATGAAGCCCCTAGTTCCAAAAACGCACTCATGACATTCCCTTGGCAGACCTCCCTCTCGGTGGAAAGCCACAGAACTTCCCTCCCTTATCCCAACCCCTATCCCCATCTGCCAAACACGATAAATGAGATTTTTATCAGCATCAGGCCCTTACCTTGAGACACTTGAGGAGGGAAAGGAGAACGGGGGCCTGGGGGAGCTTATGTTTCCAGGAGGGCTGGCATCTAATCACATGGCCAAGTAGCGAAAGAGTAGCCAGGCGGGTAGCAGGTTTGCTCATGTATTCGTTGATTTTATCAAGAAGGTGCTGGGGAGGGAAAGATTTTAAAAGGGGAGAAATTAGAAATGTTGGCCACAGACAAAAACAGGGGACACTAGAAGATCATTCTGAACAGGAAATGAGGTGGGCTGTTGTGGATGTGAGCTGACCCCAAAATGTGAACTAGCCCTCTAAGCGCCTTCATGTAAACCGTTCTTCTGGTTTTACCTTGTCGTGTGGCTCTTGAACAGTCGTCAGGATGTGCAATGCTTGATGGGAGCTGGTTTCCAAGTAGTAATCCACCAAAGAATTCACCAGCATGGGCCCACGGTCTGTTGCGATCCACCATCGGGACGGGGAAAAACAAAACAACCTACAAATCAACTCGCACAAAATGACTTGGTTCTTTCAGCAGTTGCGTAGAAGTTTGACTAAGGCAGGGGTCTCCAGACTTGGCCCTTTTATGACTTGAGGACTTCAATCTCCTGGAGATTGGCTGGCTTTCATAGCTAAGGCGGGACTAGAACTCCCCGTCGCCTGGTGAGTGGCCCAAAGTCACTCATTGCTAACTCCCATTTTCTGCTTGTGATTTAGGCCACCCAGGACCAAAGGCAAGAGACCTCCCCCCATCAAAACCTACCCGTGGCTAGGTTGTCTCTAAATACAGCCATTATATCTTCCAGAGCAGCCAGGACTGGAGAATCCAGCATGGGGAGTAGATCCCCAATACTTGCTTGTTGAGACATCCTGCTTCACGCTAGGCGCTGACGTGCATGACAGTGTGATCATGCAAGGCACGGTTGCTTCCAGTTCTACATGGGTGCTCCTGTCAAATTAGGTAAAGAGAACATATAGATTTTTTTTGGGAAAATGTCCCCATGGCTCTCCAGCCACCAGGGATACTGAATTCCAGGCTTCTCATCCAATATAGGTCACGTTTGACTTACGGTCCACAACTGAGCCCAAAATTTATCTTGCTCAGTGAGACATTTGTTAAGTACGTTTTGCTCCCTTTTACGACCTGTCTTGCCACAGGTGTTAAGTCAGCCACATGGCCGTTAAGTGAATCTGGCCTTCCCCATTGACTTTCTCATGAGGAGGTCACAAAAGGGGGTCACGCGACCCCGGGAGAGTGCAACCGTCATAAATGCAAACCAGTTGCCAAGAGTCTGAATTTCAATCGCGTGACCACAGGGACGCCCGCAACGGTCGTACGTGTGAAAACGTTTGTGAGTCACGTTCTTTAGTGACGTTGCAACTTTGAACGGTGACTAAACAAACTCTCGTTAAGTCGAGGATTACCTGCAGTCATAAGGACAAATCTGGACAACAAAAAAAAAAACAACCCCTCAGTTGATGCACGAAGAACAGAAGTTACAAATGTACCTGCTACACTTCCAAGTCGTTTCTTCCTTTCCACCCCTTTACAATCTGGTTTTTTCATGATCACAGAACTAGGAAGGAAAAAAGAAGAAAAAGAGAAAAAGCTAGTGAGTATGTATCTCTCAAAAGAGGAAAGGCCAAAGAAAGCTGCAATCATGGTTCAACTGGCACGTTTTGATTTTAAAATAAGATTCGGAAGTCGTCAGGGATGTCCAGGTGTTTGCTGTGACAATTCATCAGTATTTTCCCCAGGAGAAAAATATAAAACACGAGGTACTACTATTACTGTTGCATTTCTGAAACATACAACAAGCCTCTCCTGACAATGTTTAGAGAAGCAAACTGGAACTAAGGAGAAACTTCCTGACAGTGAGGACAATCAAACCAGCTTACCCCCAGAAATCGTGGGCAGCTCCATCAATGGAGATTTTCAAGAAGAGACTGGACAGTCACCTGTCTGAGATGGTATAGGTTCTCCTGCTTGAGCAGGGGGCTGGACTAGAATAATTATCTTGCTCAGCAATGGAAAGTTTGGGATCCATTCAGGTCTATCTGTGCTGTCACAAAGGTTTGCTGATAGCTAAGAAAATTACGCGTTTATATACTGTAGATACGCATAGCTCTTAAATCTTTCCTCCCGCAGCGCTTCCAAGAGAAGGGAAGCTGGGAAGTCAATATCAAAACCGATAAACGTGATTTATCTGATTTATTCTGAAAGGAGTTCTTCGCTTGTTCCCATCTGCCATTTTCAGCTTTTAGAAGTCAATAAAACTTCTGATATTGTTTGTCTGGGGGAAAAGATGGGTTTGCAACGTGTCTAAAAAAGAATGGCACGGCAGATTGGCAGTTGGGAGAGGAATGTGTTTTCAACTCCAGATATAAAACTACCTTTGGCTGATTACACAATTCGACAGTATCTATTTCCAGGCCTGTTTATTTTTTTCTCCTCCCCAATTTGCAAACACAGTCTAGATGCAGTCACTTGCTACTCTGTTTCTAACACAAGGTGCATTTATAAAAGGTAGCTTTTTTAAAAAAAAAATAAATAAACCCAAAAGTATCTTTCTCCGCAAACTTTATACAAAACGGGAAAAATCTTAGGGCAAAGATGGCTCTATTTCCACCAAATGGTTCAACAAACCAAACAAGGACCCAGCATCTGAACTCACATGCACACAAAGATTGGAAGAGGCTAATTGTGGTTAACATTAATCTTGGTTAGGGCGGTGGTGTCTTTTGTGTGTGTGTGTGTGTGTGTGTGTGTGTGTGTGTGTGTGTGTGTATGAGATAAAGCATGTTGTACAAATGCAACCTGATTTATTTGTTCAGGGTACAGGGTTCACATAGATTAATTTAGCAATTAAGTTAATGATCTCTAATTCATCTTTTTTTTATTTTTTTTTAAAAGTCTGGCAGTAATCGTGACACTATAATGGAAGAAGCAACTGAAGGCCGGCTAGAGAGATTTTGGAACTAGTACTGTAGTTCAAATCCATGAATTTACATAGGGAAAGAATGATAACATGCAATGCTTAAATCTACTGCTTTACTATATACTATTTTCTTTTTATTTTTCTACTTCTGCAGAAAGATAACAAGGCCGATTCCTGCCAACTTGCTCGCATGGCAGACAAAAACAGGTCAGGGCTTTTAAAGTTAGTAATATTATTGCCCATCACTTAAAATGAGATTTATTTATTTTTTCTCGGCTGAGGGGGTGGAAGGATTGGGTTGGTTAGGCATAATATAAGATAAATGAATAACATAAATGGAAATTATTCCGTTTCAAAACAACACTTTCGACTGAATTTGGATCTTAAAAATGAGTCCGTACTCTTGAGGAGCTTAAGAATGTAGAGAGCTTTGTAAGCTCAAGGTCTTAGAGGTTTTTCTGCCAAATCTAAATCAGACAGGCACACAAGCTGTAGATAACTAGACCATTTCACCTAGAAGCCGTAGCATGTGCTAAAGAAAGAATCCAAATGAAAATTAAAATAAAATAGCCCTTTTAAAAAAAGCCTCCACGAATCTACCCCTCCTACGTCAGCCAACATGATTTTTCAAAAGAGAGTTTTTTAGAAAAAGAAAAAAAGGATTCTATATTAACCAACTGTTTTCAAAGTTCTATTTCAGCAAAACCATTCATCTTTTCCTTTTAAATAAGATGCCAGACAAACAACACAGAGGCAGGAAGAAATGGAGTTGGAAATTAGACCACCAAATTAAAACAATCTTGATAGATATCCATCCATAGCTGGCAGAAGAGGAGTGAAAAAATCATATTATTATTGGACTTTCAGTGGCTTAAATGTGGCTACTAACGCCACTCCAGGTTTACATCAAGACAACATTTGAATAGCCAATTTCCAGGAAAAAAAAATAGCATATAATCAAAGAGTGGGATTAATTTGTTAAGCATAACTGGCTGGCCCTTTTTTCCTGTTTTAGGGTTAAAGAGTTCCTCTTTAAGTTCTTCCTTCTTATTCACTCCCCCTACCATGTCCACCTCACGTGCTGTTTATTGTAACAAAGATGAATAAAACATAGGGCCGTTTGTATTTACTTATAGCTTTTTAATGACACAGATCTATTTAGCTCACCTACTGCATTCCGAAACAACCATCACCCAAATCATTTTACCTACTTATCCTGCAATAGCTGGAAGACACCAGCGTGGGGACTCAGACAAGCCTGAAGCTCAGAGCTTCACAAAGACAACCCCCCCCCAAGCTCCATTTTGAATGTATTGAATTAAAAAAAATCCTTTATATGCAATGAAACCCAATAAACACCTTTTTTCTCCTTTCTTCCCAACTTTGATTGCATACCACTCCTCTCTTTCGAATGAAAAGGGAAGATATTCTACCACTCAAAGGGGAATTGTTCTGCCATTTACTGGGGGGGGGGTGTCCTTTTCTTCCCCAGGTCCTGCATCCCTCCCAGCCTCCTCCTTTGCCCCCTCCCCAAACCTGACCTTTGCCCCCTCTCCATTTCACCTAGCTCATCCCAAATATACCTCCCAGATTTGTTTCTTTCTCTTTTAAAAGATAATCTTGGTATATAATCCCTTGCACCCATTCAGATGCCTAAAAATGCAAGTTTCAAGAATTGGACTACTCTCCCGAATTGGACTACAGCCCCCCCATTAGTGGTTTATGAAAAGGGGTCCATTCCTTCCCCCCAACTTCACCCATCCAGCCCCTTGGATTACATACATTACTCAGCCCCTTTCATTAACTCTGCACATAATTCTAATACGGTGATCCTAGAGAATATATATCATAATGTATATAAATGTATACAGCATATCACAATATATAATAACCCACTTTCATTAACTCTGCATATTCTATTAAGGTAATGACTGATCCTAGATAATACATATCAATATATATATCGTATCTTAATATATAATATATAATAACCCACTCAACCCTTTTCATTAACTCTGCATATAATTCTATTAAGATGACTGAACCTAGATAATACATATCAATGTATATCAATGTATGTCATATCTTAATATATAATATATAATAACCCACTCAGCTCCTTTCATTAACTCTGCATATAATTCTATTAAGGTAATGACTGATCCTAGATTATATACGTGTCTATAATATAAATGCTATTCAATACATACATACATACACACACACTTTTATATTATAGACATTATTAGATGTATTATCTAGAATCACCCGTTACCTTAATAGAATTATATGCAGAGTTAATGGGGCCGGGTGGGGGAGGGGGGATTGGACCAGCCCAATGAATACATAAACAGTTATTAATTAAAAGGACACCCCCCCCCCCAAGATCCAGCGGGCCTTTCTTGCCAGGGAGCCTCTTCCACCACGACCCTGTGAGGGAGGCCAGGCCGGGCAGCCCCCCCAAGCAGCGTCCCTGCCCGGGGGTCCCACGGCGAGCCCCCCCCCTCACCGCCCCGCCCCACAGCTCCCCAGCCGCGCCGCCCTGCCTCAGCTAGGGGCCCTTCTCCTCAGTTTCTCCGCCGCGCAGGGGCCCTCCCCCGGGCCCCCTCCCGCCACGGGGGCTCACCCCGTCCTCTTCCTCGTCCTCCTTCTCCGCCCCTCAGCTGTTTACCGCTCAAGCCTCTTCTAGCCCACAGGGCGCCGCCATCTTGGCTCCGCCACCCTCCGAGCGCCGCGCGCGGATCCCTCCGCGGCCGCCCCGCCCCGCTCGGGGGGAGCAAAATAGTCCCCCCTATTCCAAGCCGGGTGACTGCCCCCCCCTCCCCCTCGCCGCGACTCTTCCTCCACTCTCCACACGGGTCCGGGAGAGGGGTCTCCTCACCCTTCTTCCGGCGCCCGAGGAAGCGGCTTCGTGGGGGGGGGCTCCCGTGGCGGAAGGATCAGGCGGGGGGAATGGTCTCGTGATGCCGAGGGGAGACCGAGAAGGAGTCCCGGCAGGGAAGAGGGAGGCGGAGGGGAATCACGTGACGCGGAGGAGAGGCTGGCGAGGGCGCTTGCGGGATGGTAAACAAGGAGCGGGGCGGGGCGGAAAGGCTCCCGAGCCACGCCCACCCAGTTGCTCGTGGCAACCGGGCTGGAACCTGCTTGAATGATGCAAAGCGTCCGCGCGGACGTTCTTTGGGGAAAGGTCGCAGAACTACAACCCCCATCAGCCGCAGCCCCTGGTCCATGGGGAAGAATGCAAGGGGAAAATGACCACAACGTTTACAATGCAACCTCTCCTTGGATAAAGGACTGCTCCCTGCCCCTCTTTCCACCCCCCTCCCCATGTAAAAGCATTATGCCTGGTCCTGAGTTCAAATTCAGCACATCAGCATTCTCCTACCTACCTACCTTAAATAAACAGGGCTATAACCTTTGATGGCCACAAGAGGGCAGCAGAACGTTTGCTTCGCTTTCTGCCTCTGCTGCCCCCTGGAGGCCACTTGAAGCAATGCTAGACTGTTTTGAATTCCCAGAATTCCCCAGCCAGCATGCTTACCCATCTCAAAAATTGCCAAGATTTGAGAAACGCCTATTTAGGGGTTTTGCAATCCTCATATGATGATCGTCCAGTCACAGTGCTAAACTCTAAACCTGCATTAACCTAATGGCTGGGTTCACACAACGTCTAATGCCCTGTCTAAAGAAATTACAGATAGTCCTCGATTAATGACCATTTCAAGTTACGATGGCTCTCCCCAAAAGCTACTTACCACCCATGTCTGACGTCACGACGGCTGCACATATCCCTGTGGTCACGTGGTCACATTTTCATAAATAAGAGAAAAGATAAGATAACCTTTATTGTCATTTTTTTTACAATAACACAACGGCACATATCAAAAATGCAATTTAGTTGCCCACTCTCAAAGTGAAACACATACATGACACACACCTCAACATACTATGTCCAGCATATGTATAGACCCACACCTCTACATATACATAACAAATGAATATTAAATACTGTCCATCTTGGATATATAATGGAAGGAATGCAAGGACTTGTCCTAAGCCACTTGTTAAAATTGCCGTTGCAACTACACACGAGTCGTCCAAATTTTGATAGCGGGGAAGCCTGGTTTGCTTAACAATCGTGTGACTGACTTAAAAACGGCAGTGACTCGCTTTACTGCGGTGGCAAGAAAGGTCATAAAACAGAGACAAAACTCACTTAGCATCCGTCTCGCTTAGCGACAGAAACGTTGGGCTCAACTGTCGTCAAAAGTCGAGGAGCATCTGTATTAACAGGTTGGAAGAGACGGAAATGGGGCTTCGGTAAGAACTGTCCCCCCTTAAGAGGAAGAGGCAGCCTAGAAACACGAAAAATATAAATGAAAAACCAGTTAAAACGTTACGTAGGGTGATAAAAAATAAATAAACGCAGCAGTTTTGTTCCTTGTTGCATCTTACCGCTAGATCAACAACGAGGCACCATTTGGCAAGCAACAAGCATTCAAAGTTTACTTTTTTTTTCCAGCCTTTGCAAATTGTCTGTATGATTATTTTGCTTTTCTCTCTCTCTCTCTCTCTTTTTTTTTAAAAAAAAATCAGTATCTGAAAAGAACACTCTACCGACAAAAAAAAAAACAGCCAAGCACCGAATAATCTGCGGAAGGCAACTCACTACTTCTGGGTTTGTACAATTGAGCAATGCACAAATGTTCGAAGTCTGGCTTGTTTTGATAAGCAAATGCTGTCAAGGGTTTGGCCCTCCCATTGGCTGGGGCCAGATTTTGACACGAATAATCTGATTGAAAAATCAGGGAGGGGAAGGCAAGGGCCCGGTGGGGAAGGGAGAGGGAGAGAAAACAAGCAGGGGTGAAATATAAAGGGATCTATCTACCCTTGCTAGATAACAGGAGTGTGGAAAACTTAAGGGACACACACACACACACCAGCTAAGGGAACCCAGAACCATCACATCCCTCCGTGGGAGAGAACTTTTGAGGCTAACCTTCTACAGCCATCCTTTTAGCAGGTGATTTCCCTTTTCCAAAACAAGTTTTTGTTTTGTTTTTTAAGAAAAAAAAATCTAAATTTTCCTGCAATTACCTCTTCTTGCAAATTTTGATCGCTTAAAAGAAATAAGCATGCAGGAATATTTTGTGAAAATTAGGCAATGGGGGTTTATTTTTCCTGGATACTTTAATTTCTCTCTCTCTCTCTCTCTCTCTCTCTCTCTCTCTCTCTCTCTCTCTCTCTCTCTCCCTCTCCCTCCCTCCCTCCCTCATTCTTTCTCTCTCTCTCACATACACACACACACTCTCCCTCTTTTTTCTCTCTCATTCTTTCTTAACACACACACTTTCTCATTCTTTCTCTCTCATTCTCTGTCTGTCTGTTTCTCCCTCTCACTCTTTCTCTCCCTCCAATTAAAAAAAAAATTTTTTTTTTTAAGAAGTTCTATGAGAATCCCTTGCAAAGAAGATTGCATTAAGGTAAAAGTCACCCGCTTGGAAATTAGGAAGGTAGCTGTGTCATAGGTAGATTTCTTTGGGTGCTACTGTAAATGAATGTCCTCGGTTTGGGTGGAGATGGGAAGCAAATTAATTTTCATTATTTTGTAAATAGCTTTGGGAGCCTTTGGGAGGAAGGAACGGAAGAAGGAAAAATGCTCTGAGAGAACAAATGAATTAAGGAATATTGTGCTGTTGATAGCTTGGCTAACATTTGCTGATCGCTGCAAAGACAGAATTGAGCCTAAGCGGGTGTGTAGCAAAGAAACCTGGCTTGTAAATTAATTTTTGGATTTTAAAAAAAGCCTTAAATCTGGTATCATATGCCAGGAACTGGGAAAATTTGCAACTACTAAGAGAGATAGCTAAGGAGTCAAGTTTTCCATAGCATATCTGGATTTCTGCAGCTCAAAATCTGATAGCTTCACCTTAGATTATTATTTCTGGTTTAGATTTTTCTGAGAGAGAGAGATAAATCTTTTAGGAGTTTATTTACATCTGTGTTATCATGTGTATGTTTAAAAGCATGTCATATTGCCAAGAGGCTAAACTTGTAAAGTTACTTTTGCTACCCTTAGTAGTTTTGCAGTTAATTTTGCTACATCCAACCATTGCATTAATCCCCAGGACCTAGAATTAATTTTATTCCTGATCCTTTGTTTTAAACGCTTAGCATAAAATGTTGACCTCTGTCATGGATATATATATATATATATATATATATATATATATATATATATATATATATATATATATATACAGAAGGGTTCATGAAAGCTGTTTTTTAAAGTGTGCTTGTGCAAGGCAGTTGAAATCTGATAAATGTTGCCACTTTGGGTGGGGTTAATTTCTGCATCTCCGTATTTTTGATTTCTGTGTGCTTTGCATGTCACACAGCCACCAAGGTGGTGGATGAAAAATTCTTGAAGCGTTCATTAGGAATGAACAGGATAATGCAAAAATAAAGAAAAAAAATCTTAGAGCATCGCTACCGCAAAGAATCCAAAATGCAGAAGCGAAAGTCAGAACTGTTGCAAACACCAAATTCAGGCTAATAAAATCTAGCAAATGAATGAATAAAGAGTGAAGAAAGAGGAAGAGTTTTCTAACAAGTATCCGCTTTAAGAAGTTTCAATAACATTTGGAATAAGACTTAAGGAGCTAAGGCCCTACGTTAAGTAAATATGAGTTAAGAAGAAAAACAATCAACATTCAGTGTTACGGAAACAAATCTCTTTATACACAGTTGAGTAAAAGTGAAACCTGAATTATTTGCACCAAACTGCACTCATATGTTATACGAAAAGTTTGGTTTGTATGTAAATGTTTGGAAATATCTTAGTGTTGTATGAAGGGAGCTTTGTAGAAAACTGGCTTTCATTGCACAGAATTTATATCCTTGCAAACTTGCCTTCCATTTCTGCAGTTCTGCAGTGCAACATCTTGAATTTTCCTAAATTCCAGCGTCACTTCCAGAAAACTCTTGCCTTCCTATCTTAGAGGAATTAGACTATCTACTTAAACCAAGAATGAGCTGGTTTGATTGAAGCCTACCATGTTATGCTGATGTCCCCCATTGCTTAACTGTTTAATTAAACGTGGTTAATCTTGAGTGAAAACACTTCCTGATGCCTTGTATAGCTTCACTGCATGCACACAAAGCAAGGAGAATAAACTAACCAAGGTCTTTCATATGTTTCAACTTAAAAAGGGATGCAATTCGACCAAAGACCAAACGGCTCTTACTTCTAAGTAAATCTTAATAAGAATGCAGTCTCATCAGCCGAAGTTTCATTACCAAGCTAGGTAACATCATCAGTGCTGGAAGGGAGTGGGGTTGTGGAGTGGAGGACCGTGGGGTCCTTGTTGCTCTCTGTGCTTGGTGATTTCTTTTTGCAGACGGTTCATTACCAAATGCACTGATGATGTTACCTAGTTTGGTAATGAAACGTCTGCAAGCTCAGAGAGCACCAAGGATGCCTCTTACGTTTTCCTAGCTAGCTTCAAGTTTGGCCAAGATGCAGTTTTGCTCGGAAATGAAAAGCATGCAAGAACTGACTCTAATTTAAAGTTTGTTGGGTTGGGGGGAAGGGAAGGAAAAGCAGAGATAAGCATATGGAGAAGGAGAGATAAAACATTTCTGTGTCCTGAGGACATGAAGTTGAAGCCTTCACCAACAGTGCAAAATGGGACTTTGGTTAGAAGAGTAGAGTATTTTTTGAGTATTGGAGGCTGGAATTGGAAAATTGCAAACAGAATGCCTCACAAAATGACACGACGGGTTGATTGGGCCCCCGAATCGTCTCTTTTGTAGCGGCAAATATTTTTCAAAACTATCTCTGTGTAATTTTTGCCTCTTTTTTCAATTTAGAAAGGGAGAAAGTAGAAGGATTTGAATCTTTGCTTCCAATTCTCATTCAACGGGAGAAGTTTTTTTTGTCTCTGCCCATTCTCCCATGCTTGAAGATTGCTGTAATCTCTTAAAACAGGCCCAAATTCAACAGGAGAAGCTTCTTTGCTCATTCTCCCAGGCTTGAAGCTTGTTGTAATCTGGTAAAATAAGCCCACGTTCAACAGGTGTAGCTTTCTGTCTTTGACCATTCTCCCAGGCTTGGCGTTTGCTGTAATCTGGAAGACAGGCCCAAATTCAACAGGAGAAGTTTTCTCTTTCCCAGGACAGGAACAAGACACACCTGCTGAATGTTTGCCTGGTTCAGAAATCCTATCCAAGGGACAACCTTAGTCTGTATTGCATGGATCAGTTGAAGCAGCTCACCTCCGGATGCTACTGGGAGCTAAACCCCCAAGGCGATATTCAAATGCTCCAAATTTGGATAAATCTCTCCAAATCTGCAAGAGATCTTTGACCTTATTGCAAATATATATACACATATATATCTTCCAAAGGAGGGTAGGAATCCATTTAATTAATTTCATTGCTTATCAGACCGTGGTTGACCGCTTCTCAGAGATAAATTTCTACTCACCCAAGTTGGGTGCTAGCCTATTCTTCCCACGCTGCTTCTCACTTTCAGATCTGGCTGGGATTGCCTCTTTAAATCATGGTTTCTTTTAGGGTTTCTTCAAAAAGGGCTACCTTCAGTCACTCGCGCTGCGTGGCCTTGTGGACTGTAACTCGTCACTGAGTTGGCAAGCTTCCCCAGGGTAATTTCCTTATCCAGCATGATTTAATAAGGCATACAAACTAGTCCTAAAGGTGTTTTTTCAAAAGGTGACTGGATTTGCTTGTTTTTCTTTGAAGACGTTTCGCTTCTCCTGCAAGGAGCTTCTTCAGCTCTTCTTTAGAACTGAAGAAGCTTCTTGGAAGAGAAGCGAAACATCTTCAAAGAAAAACAAAAAAGTCCAGTCGCCTTTTGAAAAAACACCAGACCTGTGTGATTAAGAAGGCATACAAACTAAGTTTTTTTTTTCTAAATTAACCCCCACAGCAACTGTCCTTTCACTTGACTGGGAAGAAAAATATATATATCCCGAAAGCTAAGATTTTCCTGGGCCACAAACACTAGAATTGTATCTGAGTTGTTTCTGCAGAGAGCAGAAAATGCAAACATCCATGCAAATCAGCGGACGCTTCATTACCTTCCAGCTCATTAGGGTTTTGCATAGATTGTGCCAAAACGTTCGGAGGAAGTAGAGGTAGTTCTCGACTTACAGCCACAACTGACAGTTATTAAGTCAGTTTTGGCCCGTTTTACGACCTCCCTTGCCACCGTTGTTAAGTGAGTCATTGCAGCAACATGGCCGTTAAGCAAACATGGCTTCCCCCGGGGAAGCTTGTCAGAAGGTCGCAAAAGGGCCGCTATGACCCTCATAAATGTGAGTCGGTTGCCAAGCGTCCGAACTTGGCTCCCGTGAGCGAGGGGACGCCGCAACGCTGCAGGAGTGAAAAACGGTCTTAAGTCAGTTTCTTTCAGTGCCGTTGTAATTTTGATCGCTAAATGAACCGTCGTAAGCTGGGCACTACCTGTAAAGATATTAAATCAGAGGAACGTGCAAAGATTTAGAGGAGGGTTGGAGAGAAAAAGATGGAAGACAGGTTTATAATTCTCCTCCATTCCTCCTCTCTCGTTTACAGACTACCTTTTTTCCGTCTCTGATCCCCAGGTGAACGGGAGATGCCCCGCTCGTTCTTAGTGAAAAATAGGAAGGTTCACTCCCACCATGATCGTGCGGTGGATGACAGCATCCTGCTGCCCAGGTGGGACACAGGACCCTCAACAGCCTTTCCTGCCGGTAAGTTGGATGGTTTAACCGCCGAGAATCTGGAAATGGTCCTGGCCGTACACAGAGAGAAATTATTTGGGGGTTTTTTCTCCATCTCTTCTGGTTTTGTGCAAATGTCTGCACTTTGGCTGGTCCTTCTTCCTCAGTCAACAAGTGCAAAGGAAGCCCAGTCCCCAAATATTCTGTTGGAATGGCACTTTTCTTAAGCCGCTACTAAACCATGGATCTCAGTTTTTGTGAGAAATGCACTTATCTCCGCAATTGTTCCTGTTTTGGTACACTTTAAGGACATTGTCTTCTCTTTTTCTTTTCTTTTCTCTTCCTCTTCCTTCTCCTCCCCTTCTTCTTCTTCTTCTTCTTCTTCTTCTTCTTCTTCTTCTTCTTCTTCTTCTTCTTCTTCTTCTTCTTTTTCTTCTTCTTCTTTTCTTCTTCTGCTTCTTCTTCTTCTTCTTCACCTTCACTTTCTTCCACTCCTCCTCCTCCTCCTCCTCCTCCTCTTCCTCTTCTTCTTCTTCTTCTTCTTCTTCTTCTTCTTCTTCTTCTTCTTCACCTTCACTTTCTTCCACTCCTACTCCTACTCCTGCTTCTCCTCCTACTCCTCCTCCTCTTCTTCTTCTCTTCTTCTTCTTCTTCTTCACCTTCTCCTTCCTCTTCTCCTCCTCCTCCTATGCCTTGGTTTGGAAAGTGAGGTACAAATAGCATATCTGCAAGGCTGGACAAATTGTGATGAGAAGATTTCACTGAACATCCAAATAATATTTGGAAATGGCTGAAATAGAAATGGTATCCCAACATAGGAAGAAGGGAGAGAATGTCCAGCACAATCAGACTTAGAAAATGCTGTAATTGGAGCCCAACTCAACCCCAAGTACCTTTGGTCTCCCTGTAGACTTGATATCTTAATCTAGTCTACCTGACGGGGTTGACTGTCTAGTTTTATCACTAGGGATGTTTGTCCTGCCCCCATCACTCCCTGGTGATTATCTGGACCGGTCTTGATCTGGAAGTTTCATTTCTGGACCATTTTTGATACTACAGTTATTTCCGAGGACAGCGTCCCCGAAGATAGCAAAGCCTTCCAGGCAGAGAGTCCACCCTGCTGTTCTCCAAAAGAAGACCAGGACCTCCAGAGAGACAAGGAGGAACATTTTCCCGTTCAGAATATAACACTGACGGCACCACAGCAGCCAAATCAAGGTGAGCAATTCTGGCTGGGTTTTCATGCAGCCCCTCACATCCAATAAAAGAATATTTGTTGTTGACACCCAGTGAAACAGCCTTCATTGCAATGCACACCAACCATATTCCTCGCAACAGACACCAATGAAACAATAGGAAAAAGGGTCATCAATAGAAGAATTGATCATTGATCATTGTGGGTGCTAAGCTTGGCTGTTTTGTTGCAGACGTTTCATGATCCAACTAGGGAACTTCATCAGTACTACAAAGGAGTGCAGTGTGTGGAGAGGAGGAGGACGACGACGATGACTGTGGGGTCCTTGGTGCTCTCTGAGCTTGGTGGTTTTCTTGCAGACATTTCATTACCAAATTTGGTAACTTTTTCACTATGTCCCACATTTATCGAGAGTCGGCAGGAAGAATTGGTAGAAACCCCACTCCCTTCTAGCACTGATGATATTACCTAGTTTGGCAATGAAACGTCTGCAAAATAAAAAAAAAACCACCAAGCTCAGAGAGCACCAAGGACTCCGCAGAAAAAGGTTAGATTGATCCAGAAAAAAAGATGCTGAGTCAAGTAACATTCTACAGGGGTGGGGTTCAACTCTACCCCAAGGCTGTTCCAGACTTGGCAACACAGAAAGGTCTCATCCTACGTCCTGATAGATGCCATGGCCTAATCAATAGATTCCCCCCTCCCCTCCGCTTAGAACTGAGGCTTAGACACCACTTTAATGCTCTCTGATGCTCCAGTGTTCTCTGGTGTTCCTTTTCTGTTGACTCAGAGATGCCCATCCCGGCTTTAAAACCCCAAGAGGAGAACGCTTCCACTTACTACAGCCCCAGTTTTGCCTGGAACACCTTCCGCCCTCCGTTCGGCTACAGATCCATGACTTCCACCATGCTGGAGCACTCCATTCATCTGTATGGCAGCCCAATCCTTCCTGCCTCGGACCTCCCTCTCGATTACAGCATGCCCTTCTCGGCCGAGATGGAGACCTACCACTGTGTCATCTGCAACAAAGTGAGTTACTCAGAGGCTAGAACAGAAAGTCCCAAGTCCCTTTTTTTCGGCGCCCTTGTTAACTTTGAACAGTCCCTAAATGAATTAAGCTGAGGACTGCCTGGACCCCTTTGCTTTCTAGATGTTTTCTACCCCACACGGCCTGGAGGTCCACGTGCGGCGGACCCACAGCGGCACCCGGCCTTTTGCTTGCAGCGTTTGTGGGAAAACCTTTGGCCACGCGGTCAGCTTGGAGCAACACACTAACATCCACTCTCAGGTCAGTCTGGAAGCCGGAGAATCGAGAAAAGCGTCTGGTGGGTAAAACTGTGGTTGGTGCCCAGATCCCTTGTAGAATAAATACAGCCATTAAAAGATCTTATAAGCCTTACCGATTAAGGAGACTCTTCATAGCTCAGGGTTGCAATGAGGAGTCCTGGGTGCTCTCTGAGCTGGGTGGTTTCCTTGCAGACCAAGTTTCATGATCCAAACTAGTTGACTTCATCAGTGCTAGGAGGGAGTGGGGTTTGTGAGGAGGAAGAGGAGGGGGAGGAGGAGGAGGAGGAGGGGGAGGAGGAGGAGGAGGAAAAAGAAGAAGACTGTAGGGTCCTTGACGCCCTCTGAACCTGGTCATATTTTTGCAGACATTTCGTGACCAAACTAGGGAATAACATCAATGCCAGAAGGGTGTGGGGTTTGTGGAGTGGAAGAAAAGAAGGGGGGGAGGAGGAGGAGGAGGAGGAGGAGGAGGAGGAGGAGGAGGAGGAGGAAAAAGAAGAGGACTGTAGGGTCCTTGACGCTCTCTGAACTTGGTCATTTTTTTGCAGACATTCCATGACCAAACTAGGGAATATCATCAGTGCCAGAAGGGTGTGGGGTTTGTGGAGTGGAAGAAAAGAAGGGGGGGGGAGGAGGAGGAGGAGGAGGAAGAGAAGGAAGAGGAGGACTAGGACTGTAGTGGTTTTCTTGCAGATGTTTCATTACCCAAACTAGGTAAATAATAACTAGATCCCAGAATAGCATCCTCATCATCTGGGAAGGAGTAAAAGCAGAGGTGGAACTAATACGCAGGAGACCTTCATTCTGAATGGACATTTAAGGAAGGAAAGAAGCAGGAAGGATGTTACCCGGTGTGGGTGATGAAACGTCTCCAGGAAAACAAAAAAGCCCAGAGAGCACCAAGGTCCCCCTCGTTATAAGGTCTAAGGTTTAGAAGCAACTTTTTCAGGGGTCGCAAACGGCTTCCTGATCTGAAGAACTTGGTTCCCAGATCCCGCAACGGTTCGCGATATCTTTCAGCCTCCATTCCCCTCCTGTAAAATTCGTTGCGGTCTCCATAGTTGGATTCTTCCCTCGAAGGGGACGCGAGGGGGGGGGTCTTTCTGTTGCAATGTTCTCTTCCTCACACCTCCCCCCCCCCATTGCTGTCCTGATTGCCAGGAGAAAAGCTTTGAGTGCAAAATGTGCGGCAAGACGTTCAAGCGGTCGTCCACCTTGTCTACTCATCTGCTGATCCACTCGGACACCCGGCCGTATCCCTGCCAATACTGTGGGAAGCGCTTCCATCAGAAGTCGGATATGAAGAAGCACACCTACATTCACACAGGTGGGCAGGGAAAGCGTGTGTGTGTGTGTGTGTGTGCAATCGATGGGGCTCCGACGCGCCTTGCCATTAAGGGGTGCCTTTCTTCCGAGTAAAACGAATGCTTCGCAGATAGTCCTCAACTTACAACCATAATCGGGACCAAAACCTGTTAAGGCAGAGATCCCCAACCTTTGGGGCACCAAGGACCAGTTCCGTGGAGAGAGGTTTTTCCGCAGACCGGAAAGTGTGTGGTTTTGTCTGTTGCCCGCATCCCACGGATGGGGCTTTGCTTGTTTGTGTGGACCGGTTGCTGGCATGCCGTGGCCCGGTATCGGTCCACCACTGACCAGAAGGTGCTAGGATCGGTTGTGATCTAGAAAAGCGAGACCGGCTTTTTAGTTTCTTAATGCTCCTTTTCTCTGTTCTCGCCAGGGGAAAAGCCGCACAAATGCCAGGTCTGCGGCAAAGCCTTCAGCCAAAGCTCTAACCTCATTACACACAGCCGCAAGCACACCGGCTTCAAACCATTCACCTGCGACCTCTGCGGGAGAGGTTTCCAGCGCAAGGTGGATCTTCGGCGTCACCGGGAGAGCCAGCACAGCCTCAAGTGAAAGGGGATTCCCGTCTTGGCATTCGCTGTGGCAGAGGGTCGGGAGCGTGCGGCCCAAGAGCTGTAGGCAGTCCTTGGCCCAGATTGTCAATCCCAACCACTTTGGCTCCACCCGTTTTGCTTCTGACCCCGCCTGCTTTGGGCCTTGGTGCCACTCACCGATGGAAGGTAGATCTCAGATTGCATCTACAGCCGGGAAGCCTTCAGCCCATATTAAAAGCCCCGTTGGGTTAAGAGTGGTAGAAAAATAAGAAATAAAATTCCCCTCAAGCTGAGATGTGGAGAACAAAAGAGCAAGGATGTGAATTGGTTTGTGAAGTCAGAGAGAGAGAGATAGAAAGAGGGCAAAAGAATCTGGATTTGCCATGTTTCTTTGGGTTTCGCAACGCAACAAAGTTCAGATTAGAAGACTACGTTAACAGGAAGTGTTTAGTAGATGTAACTAGGTTGAATAGGTAAGGCAAATCTGCAAAACTACCCATAAAAAAAAACAAATCAGACACCAGGTTTCCGGGGTGGAAGACAAAGGATCTGGTGTTCAGGATATTTCCATCGCTATCCATGGTTTACATGATCCATTGTGCAAAGATTTTGCCTCTGTTTGAATCTCTGTTTCCTAAGAAAAAAAAAAACTTGAAATCAATAAATGCTGTTAACAAACTGTTTGAGTCTTTTGGCATTGGCGAAAGAGATCCTTCTCAGTGTTTCACACCCCAGGACATATTGAGACAACACACTGAACCCTAATCCAGGTTAACACGACCTAATAGATGTGTTCACACCATAGACGTGTGCGAAGAACGAAGTCAGCTTGCAGCTTAATATTTCAGGCTGGGTCACACTGTAAATTAGGACGTGGTTTTGTTCCCACAAACACAGCAAACTCAGGTTAACCAAACAGATTCAATCAATGAACGTGGTATTCGCTTAGCAACGGCAATGATTCATTTAACAAACGCCTCGCTGACCAATGGAAATTCAACCAGGTTTGTAAAATAAGCCAGGACTCTCTTGGACATCCGCCAACTTTGGAGAAGAAAGCCCAGGGCGATGCCATGGCGGCATCTGATGATGTCATCAATGTGCACAACATCACCCTGTCATTTGTCTCCCCGCTTTCCCCCCCCCCTTGAGGTTGGGAACCTGCCAGTTTTTTGAGGGAGGAAAAACAGACATAAATACAAGTCAGTTGCCAAGCGTCTGAATTTTGAACATGTGACCATGGGGGTGCTGCAACGGTCATAAGTATGAAAAATGGTCAAAAGTGCCTTTTCTCCCTTCTCGTTGTGACGTCAAATAGTCACTGAGTGAGCTGTTGTAACCTGAGGACTATCTACCACTAATCTACAGCTTGTTAGGGGAAAACAGCGGAGAGGAGTAACAGTAAATACACAAAGACACACACATAGTTTTTCCTGGAAGGGCCCTCCAGCCATCACTTTGCATGACCCTGATTTGCTAACCAAAGCAGGCCATCCACAGATCAGGGAGGTGTTGTGCAAGACAAGCAAGAATTTGGAGAACTGGTTTCTCTGCGGCTCCCGGCTTGGATGAGATTTTGGCATCAGCTCCTACCTTAGCTAATTCTCAGTCAAATGTTCCGGTGTTGTGGGGGGGGGGGAATTGTTAAGGGAGGCGAACAACAAAAGAAGTGTTGATGGAGGTGGGATTCGAATTTGCATGCTTACTTCTGAGAAAGAAGAAGTGTGTTGATTCTCATTCATGAGCCTTTGGGTCCGGGTCGAAGATTTTGAGGGTGGAGAAGGACAGGGGCCGCTGAAATACAGGTCTCTCTTTTAAAAAAAAAAGAAAGAAAGAAAGAAAGAAAGAAAGAAAGAAAGAAAGAAAGAAAGAAAGAAAGAAAGAAAGAAAGAAAAAAAAGAAAGAAAGAAAAATAACTTTCATAGATTTTAAAATAATGAAAACTCAGAAAAACTTATAATGAAGAAAGAAGACAGAGAAGAGAAAAACTAAAGAGAAGAAAGAAAGAAAGAAAGAGGAGAGAGGAAGAAAGAAGAGGAGAGAGAGGAAGAGAGAAAAGAGAAAGAAAAAGAAAGAAAAGAAAGGAGAGAGGAAGAGAATGAGAAAGAAAGAGAAGAGAGGAAGAGCGAAGAGATGAGAGAGAAAGAAAGAAAGAGGAGAAAGAGAGGAAGAGAGAAGAGATCAGAGAGAGAGAGAAAGGAAGGAAGGAGAGGAAGAGAGATGAGAGAGAGAGAGAAGGAAAGAAAGAAAGAAAGAAAGAAAGAAAGAAAGAAAGAAAGAAAGGGGGAGAGAGGAAGAGAGGAGATGAGAGAGAGAGAGAAAGGAGAGGAAGAGAGAAGAGATGAAAGAGAAAGAAGAAAGAAGAAAAGAAAGAAAGAAGGAAGGAAGGAGGGAAGGAAGGAAGGAAGGTAGAAAGGAAGGAAGGAAAGCAAATGACTTTACATATACATACTTGCAAATACATATTCCTGTAGAAAAAGCTTGCAAAGCAAACAGGATTGATGTGGGAAAGTGCAGCTTGGAAATCTGAAGCGGTGGAGGGGTTGGGTTGACGACCCGTGTTTGGAGTGATAAGTTTATCGGGCCTCGCCGGCTGTCAACGGTCAGACCGCCTGTTTGGGAGGAGAGGGACCATCTCCCAGGGTGAGATAGGTCAGCCTTGGTCTTATCAACCCCGGTCTGAATGAGAGTCCCCCAACACCTCTCCTTCCCCTCCACACAGGCAGATTGACAGCAATGGGGAGAGTGAAAGACAAACGCCAAATCTCTCCCAGACTCTTTTCTTCTCCCTCCCCGCCCAGCCCCCATGCTTCTCATTTTAATTAAGAATTTTGATGACAATAGTAACATCTCATACAAGTCTTCTTCCTCTTCCTCCCTCTCTCTAATTTTTATTAAGAATTTAAGAGTAAAATCTAATATAAACACTGCTTGACAGGAGGGGAGGGGAGGGAAAGGAAAGGAAAGGAAGAAGGGGAAGGGAAGGGATGGGATGGGAAGGAAAGGAAAGGAAAGGAAAGGAAAGGAAAGGAAAGGAGGGAAGGGAAGGAAAGAAGGAAAGGAAAGGAAAGAGAAAGGGAAAAAAAAGATTCTTATTTACAATATATCTTTTTCCCCTCTGGAATACTCCAGGGGACTAACAATCTAATATAAGAAATCACAATTTAAAAAAGCAAACAAAAAATGACTTATGTAAGGACAACTGTGTTCCACAGTGACAGAACGATTATTTGCTGCCTGCTGGATTGAAATGGCAAGGAGGGAGAGATTAGATGGAAGAGCAGTGGATGATGGATTTAGCCAACTAAGTGTGCTTCAATGATATTGGGGGGGGGTGTTTGTATGTGAGACCCTCAATACGTGATGTATAAACAGCTTACAAGAAAGCTTTTTTTCTCCCCCGTTTTTCCAGATCATTTCCGAACAAGTTCACTTATCTCCTGTCCCAAATTTGCAGCTTTCATTTCATTTTTGGCCACGGCTAAAAAAACTGGCAGGCTTCTTCCTTTCCGTCTAAAGCAAACTATCTTTCAGGAGCAGGAAGTTTTAAAAAATAGCAAGAAAACCGCCGGGAAACCACAGCTGAATAAAGCTGTCCATCAAATGATTGTATCCCCAAGCATCCTATGGGTTCAACCTGTCAGTCACCCGCTCCCAAGGCCACTGATCAATCCTTTGTATTCGGGAAACTGGAGTGTGCAGTTAACATATCATAGTATTTGAGTTTTAGTCCAGATAGTTGGGTTATTAGAAGATGTCCAAGGGGCTGCCCCAAAGAAGAGGGAATCAAGCTGTTCTCCAAAGCATCAGAAGGCAGGACAAGAAGCAACGGATGGAAACTAACCAAGGAGAGAACCAACCTAGAACTAAGGAGAAATTTCCTGACAGTTAGGACAATTAATCAGTGGAACAACTTGTCTCCAGAAGCTGTGAATGCTCCAACACTGGAGGATTTTCAGAAGAAGAGATTGGATAACTATTTGTCTGAAATGATATGGGGGTCTCCTGCAAATCAAGAACCACCCTGAAAAACCAAACTAAAACCGGCCACTACAATCCTGAATTGCATTTTTTTTTTCTAGAGAGTCTGTGAAGGAAAAAACAACAACGCTGTTTTTTTTCCTTCGCACGTGTCTAAAAGGTTGAGCTGAAATCTTCTGCCATCCCATTGCCTCTTTTCTCCTCCTTCTCCTCCTCAGCCTGCAGAAATGAAATCCCTGGGAAAGGCGCTGTTTTATCACTTCTCACCAGCCGCTGCCATTGTCCTTCACTTTCTCCGCCTGTGGGTGATTCAGCAAAATCTTCGGGGGGGGGGGGGAAACAGGCTTGCAAATGACATGGCAGATGACCAAGAGGAAGCAGAAGAATATTGCCACAGGGAGACTGGATCACAGACTAACGTTCTTCGGTGGTTAAAAAGGAAGAGAGAAAAGGAAGAGAGAGATAAGGACAATGGTGGGAAAGGGAGGAGAGAAATTACGAAACAGAATAGGAAAGGAGGGAGAAAGAGAGAAAAGAGGGAGGGAGGGAGGGAGAGAAAGAAGGAGAAGGAGGGAGGGAGGAGGGGAAAAGAGACTAAAGGAAGAAAAAAGACGAGGGAACAATGAAAAAGAAGGGAAAGAGATTAAAGAAAGAAAATAAAGGAAAATGGTGAGATATATAGAGAATAAAGAAAAAAGAGAGATTCGTTATAGAAAAAAGAAAAGGAAGAAAAAGGGAGAAAGGGAGGGAAGGAAGGACAGGAAAGAAAGAAAGAGAGAGAGAGAGAAAGAGAAAAAGACAGAAAGGAAAGAAAGAAAAAGAAAGGAAGGAAGGAAGGAAGGAAGGAAAGAAAGAGAGAGAGAGAGAGAGGGAAAGAAAGAAGAAAAGAGAAAGAAAGAAAGAAAGAAAATAAGAAAAAGATAGAAAGAAAAGAAAAGAAAAAAGAGGCAGGGCTGAGCTGACCCAGCGAGCGCCGCCCGCCTCTGGCTTCGAGCATCATAGGAACTCTCCTTCCCCGGAACCTTAGTTGGCGTGGCTCCGGGGGCCCAGAGGGACACTTTTAAGGAACGGACCGAGCTGTTCTCCTTCGCGTCGGCACCGAACTCGCCATGGCAGCCTCCTCAATGGAAGGGGGCGGGCAGGAGCAGAGCAGCGGCGCGGTGCTTTCGGAGCTGCAGCGGGAGAAGCGGCTGGTGTGCGTGGAGTTCCCCGGCGTGGTGCAGGACGTGGGCAAGACGCTGCAGACCCTAGGGGGAGAAGAGGGGGTCTCCCGGGTAAGAGTTCCCCACCCACCCGCAGCCTCGCCTGTCCCTCCTATCATAACCCTGTCTAACTGCAGGAGCAAAGGGACGGGGAGGCACTTTGTTCATGCTCAGAGGAATTACGATTATCCTAGTCTTATCCAAAATTCAGCCCTGGCATTTGGATATGCACGCAATTTACGATATAAATGATCTAATTAGGACACAGAATAGGATGTACACAATTTTATATATACAAACATACATACATATATACATAAACACACAGACACACACACAGCTACGTACTGAAGGCCATGTAATACTTGGCAATATGACACTAGCTGTCTTCTTCACAACTGAAGAAGCTTCTTGGATGAGAAGCGAAACGTCTTCAAGGGAAAAAAAAAACAAAGTCCAGTTGTCTTTTGAAAAAGCACTTTTGGGAATGACCTGGAATGACTGAGAATCTCCATATTTAAGTTGCAATATGAGTTTGTGGTACTGTTTTCTTGCATTTGAAATTTGCCATGTTCAAAGATAAGGCTAATGATTTGCTGCAAATATCCAAGAAGAATGTAAACATTCTTTCAGAAAGTAGGACTGGCCGAAGTACAGGTAGGTCTCAACTTACAACCATTGGTTTAGTGACTGAAGTTACAGTGGCGTGGAAAAGTGGGACTTATGACCATTTTTCATGCTTACGACCATTACAGCATTCCCCATGGTCACCTGATCAAAATTTGGGTGCTTGGCAACTGGCTCGTATTTATGACTTTGTATCTATCTCAAGAAAGGAAATTTGGAGTTTGGGGGCAAAGTTCTAATTTTAGATAAATAATTCTGTCTCCTTTCCTATGCCTCTGTAGTCATTGGGATTGGAACCTGACCTATTTATTGGCTGTTGCATCCTTGTTAGATCTATGCCGATCCCAGCAAAAGACTGGAGCTGTATTTCCGTCCCAAAGACCCCTATTGTCACCCAGTGTGTGCAAATCGCTTCCCTACCTCTTCCATGCTGCTTAAAGTGAAAAAGAAAACGAGGCAGAAAAGGACAGAAGAAGGAGGCCTAGAAGAACAAACCAAGTTTGAAGTGGAGATACTTGGTGTCATTTCCACCCTTTATAAATTTCAAGGTAATTCATTCTAAAACACTTGTGTGTAAGTAAGCCCTTACATCTGCTTGCTGTACAATATATATATGAACATATATATATAGGTCTTTGGTTATTAACGTATATATACATATATATACAATAATATGTATACAATAACGTATATATACATATATATACAATAATAATAATAATAATAGTAAAGTTGGAAGGGACCTTGGAACTTATGTACAAAATCTGTTATTTTTATTCTTATCCATTCTGGCTAGTTAATTGGATAACTTTCCAATTTGCCTATTTCCTTAGCATGTTTCTATGCACAGTCCTAATATGTGATGGGCAATTTATCCATAGGTAATTATGAGTTACATATCTGATTCTAAGAATGTCAAAGTAAGTTACTGTTTATATTTATCTGTTTTGTTATTGTGCTAGCTTCTTAATAATGCAGAGTGAGGGGAAAAGTCAGCTTACTAGGTGCCTTCATTTCATTCTACAGGTATGTCCGATTTCCAATACTTGGTAATGCATTCAGAGCCGGACAGTAAACAGACATCAATGTATGACAAAGTCTTGATGCTCAAGCCAGAAAAAGAAGATTTTTTTATGAAAGAGCTACCACTTTATATTCCTCCACCCATTTTCTCACGCCTGGACACTCCGATTGATTATTACTATCGGCCAGATGTGCATCATAGGTGAATGCCTCTCTTGTGATATACCTGAGTAGATATTTACTGAAATTGCCTTTCTCTGGAGATGTGGACTGATTACTTATAGTAAGGATCTAGCTTTCAGTAAAGTGAGTTATAATTACTGTAAATAAATGATAAGAGCCAGTAAAGTGGTTATAAGTATGGCAAATGATAAGAAATTTTTCAACAATAGGAATAGTTACACTGGGAAATTACTCTTTAAGTTGCTTTGCCCTTCACATCTTCAGAAGCCTCTTGGCTCCAGCAAGTAACAGTTACTAGTTTTGACAGTCGCAACAGGGCAGGTGTGATCTGTTTCAGAGTTGCTTCCTTGCCCTCCTGTGCCGTAACCACACAGCTGCTTAAATGACTTGTGCGCAACTGCATTAATCCAAATAATATTTGGAAGGGTTTTCCGATATGTGTAACCAAATGCCAGGATGTTTGGCATAATGTCCCTGTCCTCACTTGCTTTTCCATTCTTCGATATAACATCTGGGCAGTCTCCCAGGCCGACATCTGTGATTTTTTCCCACTCTTGTCCTTCATGCAAAAGGCTTATAAAACAATGTTGATGTTATAGCCTTCCGTTCCAAATTATCTTGCTTCATCTTAGACGCTGAATTAGGTCATCCAATTCTGCAATTTCTTCTATTCTAAGGTGATGAAAAAGTAGCAGCGGCTGTTGTGCAATGTTTAGGAAAGGCTCTGTGGTGTATTTTTTAAAATAAAAAGGATTGAAATTAAAAGACTTAAAGCAAAAGAAGGTCAGGCTAGAATACAGGGACTCCTCGACTTTGCGAGACATTTAAGTTGAGTTTTGCCTCATTTCACGACCTCCCTTCCACTGTTGTTAAGTGGATCTCTGCAGCTGTTGAACGGTCACTAAACGAACGGTTGTAAATCGAGGGCTATTGCCTCTACGTGACAACCAACGCATTATGTCCAGCTCGAGTTGACCTTCCTTTGTTTGTGTTGCCTTGTTCTCCAGGGAAGGCTATCGAAATCCTCCCCTGTCTAGCGAGAACCTGATTGGCCTCAGTCGGGCGCGCCGTCCTCACAACGCCATCTTTGTCAACTTTGAGGAAGAAGAGGTCCCCTCCAAGCCGCTGGAGGCGGCCGTGCAGACTTGGAAAAAAGTCTGCAGCAATGCGGTGGATCATCAAGTAGAAGGGGAACTGAAGAAAGTAATAATAATAATAATAAAGTTGGAAGGGACCTTGGAGGTCATCTAGTCCAACCCCCTGCTCAGGAAGCAGGCTTGCTTCAGCTTGAAACTTCTCCCTACCCCCACCCCAAAATAGCAATGTATTCTTCAAATTGAAGAATGAGATTTTGTAACGCGCTGGGCTGATTTGTTGAAGTGGCTTCTTTGAAGTAGATTGTGCAGGGTGGAAAGAGAAGGTAAATCCAGCAGGATTTCCCCTTTTTTGCTTTTTTTTTTAATGCCTGCATGAATTCTTTTTTTTTTCCAGCTTTTTGAACTGCGTCCTGTCTGGTCCCGCAACGCGGTGAAAGCCAACATCAGCGTTCACCCCGACAAGCTGAAACTGCTCCTACCCTATTTAGCTTATTACATGGTGAGTCCTTGTTTTATCAGCCTTAGAGTGCCTTCTTACAACCCCCCCCCCAAAAAGAATATAATTTAGATAAACATGCATTGTGTTTCTATGCCCATGTTTGAGAGCAAGTTTGGTCTAATGGTTAAGGGGCTGACCTGGAAATAAGGAGACTGGGAATTCTAGTCCTGCCTTAGGCATGAAAGCCAATTGGGTGACTTTGGGCCAATCACCAGGAGAGCAGGAGTTCTAGTCTGCCTTAGACATGAAAATTAGCTGGGTGACTTTGGGCCAATCGCCGGAAGACTGGCAATTCTAGTCCTGCCTTAGGCATGAAAGCCATGCCTAAGGCAGGTTTTCAACCAATCCCTCTCTTTTCAACCCAACCACCTCACAGGGCTGTTGTGGGGAAAATAGAGGGAGGAAGAAGCATTAGGTATGTTTGTGGCCTTGAGTTACTTACACAGGCAAGATAAAAATCTAACGATAAACAAAAATTTAAAAATGCGCTGCATATTCTTTCCTGCTTCAATGCATTTTACGGTTCAGAAATGACGAATTGCCGTGAAACTTCTTTGGGGGAGAAAAAAAATCACGTTAGGAGAGAAGGCCTCTGCTTCTATATCCTAACCATTTTTTTCCCCTCCGAGATTTAAATTTTTAGCAGTCCGTTTACTGCTTCTTTTATTTTTCTCACGATCCTTTTAGCTCACAGGACCCTGGAGAAGCCTCTGGGTTCGTTTTGGGTACGACCCCAGGAAACATCCGGAAGCAAAGATTTACCAGGTCCTGGATTTCAGAATTCGCTGCGGCATGAAATACGGTAAAAAAAAAATAAAAAAATTCTCAAACAGCAGCCAGAACGTTGCCCCAGCGTTCAGTTCTATTGTCAGCCTCTCTGTTTTTTTTTGGGGGGGGGGCTTTCTTGTGACTCACCAATTCATTCCAGGCTTCCCCTGAGAACTGTCCTGCCTTTGTCCTGTCCTCCCCAAGGCTTACAATCCATTGTTTTCTTCATGGATCATATTTCCTTCTCTTTAGGGTATGCCCCAAATGACATGCCGGTGAAGGCCAAACGTAGCACCTACAACTACAGTCTGCCTATTACTTTAAAAAAACCAGGTACGCCGTAGGATTTGGGACGTGGAAGAAACAGGAATGGAATCGCTTTGATTTCTGCTAGGAAATACTTGAGATAATTCGCCAAGGATCTGTTGCGAAACGCCTGCTGTTGGCAGCCTCTAAAGTTGGGGTGTCTGTTTTTGTCAGTTGGACCAATATTTTCTTTACAGGAGACCCCTTAACTGTTATCTGTGTCTCATAGCATTTCTCTGCTGCCCAAATCTGAGCATTTCACACGGATTAGAGGATCTGCAGCCCTCTGTCTCATCAGGGCTGAGAAAGGCTTGTTTGAAACCCATAAAAAGCTTCCACCGATCCACGTAGATGTTTCTTTTCCATCTTGAATGCCTTCTGGATGTGTGGACTTCAACTCCCAGAATTCCCTAGCCTGCATGCTTTTGCTGAACGTGATGAGAATGAGGACTGAATCGTTCCATCATCATTCAGCAACCTCTTGAGACATTGAGTTTCCCATCCGCCCCCCCACTTTGTTCTTGTTATCCCAAAGAAATTAAGATTATCTTATATCCCTTTCAGGAAATCACGGCCTGGGCATCCAAGACTTAAAACAGGGGCTCAGCACATCTGGAACATCTGGTACAAAATCAAACAAATACAAACTTAAGGTAAGTTCTCCTCCTCTTGGCCATACAAGGAAGATCAGTTACCCTAAGGTGTCCTGCCACTTTCCCAGATAATGACTTAGTCTAACCCTGCTTCTGATTCTCTGTCTTCTCTTCCTCGTAGGATTCCATTTACACCTTTGAGGAAGGGTCGCTGCCCCCTTATCGACAGATGTTCTACCAGCTGTGCGATTTGAAAGTGGAAAGGTGCAGTATTTGTATTGGCCTGTTCGTTTTAAAGCTGTTCAAATCCTCTTGCCTTTTAGTCAAGGATTACCTGCAATCCTCTTTCAATTTTTGAGGCTCTTTGGTGGTTGAAACGTTTGGATGCCCTCTGCTTTGCAACTCTAGAAAGCCAGCTTTGCCCACATGTCTGTAGGCATCTCAAGTCCCATCGCTTTCCAAGAAATTGGGCTAATAGTAGCCCTGGCTTGGTCTATCCAGGAGGCAAGTTTGTCTTGACCTCGGTTGCCAAAACAGGAGCAGCACTGGCTTCGTATTTTGGTTTGTCCGATTCTCTGCGCCCAGAAGAATCCTTCTGAAATTGGCTTCTGTTCAGCTTGCAGAAGATCATCCATCGAAATGACAACAGGGAGACGGCTTGCACAGAGCGGGATGGCTGGTGCCTTCCAAAGACCAACGATGAGTTGAGAGACACCATGTCACTGATGATAAGGCAGATAATCCGATCCCAAAGGCCAGGTAAGGGGGGGGGGGAAGAGACCTGGCAAGTCCAGGTGTGTTGGTCATGTGGATGACCCTGTACGACAACAATCACGAGTCGTGATTGTGATGGGCAGGCTCCATAACTCAAGGACTACCTGTCATAATGTCACCCAGGCAGCTTTTCTCTTTTTCTTCCTGTTTTAATTTTTTTAAAAGAAGATCTTGTGTTTCTTAGTGTTTACCCCCATAATTCTGGGATCCTGTCTTTGCCGCCCACGAGATTTTCCAAAGTGCCAGATCCTGTACTAAACTATCATGCGGGATTATTCTAACTGGGTCTTTTGAGCCTTCTGCTTCTCACTGATAATTCCCTTCTCTCTGGTCTGTTTCAGCTCTGTTCAGAAACCCTAGTTCCAGTGCCACGGAAGGCAAAGAGCAACTGACTTTTGAATCTGGAGAAGAGGAAGAGGAGGAGGAGGAGGAAGAGGTTTTCAAGCCTTCGGATGGGAGCGAAAATGAAATGGAGACTGAAATGCTTGACTACGTCTAATGCCACGGGGCTGGTGGGCTGGACTGGATCTTGGAGGGATTTGTTTTGCTCTTTTTTTGGGGGGGGAGGACAGAAGAAAGAAAGAAAGAAAGAAAGAAAGAAAGAAAGAAAGAAAGAAAGAAAGAAAGAAAGAAAGAAAGAGAAAGACCGACCCACCAATTGGCTGCATTGTATCTTTGATTTGATGGAGTTTGTGCAGAAGTATCATTTGTAAATTGCATCTTAACAGATGTTGCATGTTATTTTTCAAGCTCAGCAGTTGTTCCTTGATATAGCCTTCCTTCAATCGCTGCATTCAAATGTAAGATAAGAGACTCTACTTTGGGGAATTCCTTCAGCATCTCAGCATTGTTGCCATCCAGGGCCAAGCCCATCTACGTCCAACTTTGTCTGCTGGAGTCTCCTTCTCCATCGGCCTCGGTAGAACTTCCAAGCACGGCCTGATGCTATCTCAGACCTTCCACATCGGCAGGCAAAATTATCATTTCATTCCTGCTCTGACTTAATTGTTCCTATCCTTCTCAAACAAAAAGCCATTTGTAATTTCTTTCTCGTGAAGCCTTGAGAAAAATCTCTGTGATTCAATTGTCGGGGGCTTTGTGGGACATCAAATGGACAGTCTGAAGAGATTTCCACTGTTTTGTACAGATTTCCTTTTCAGCTTGAGTGCAAATAAAACCAAGAGTTTTGTGCCTTCAAAATTGTTTACATGAGATTTATTCCTAGGACACTTAGAAGCAACTCACAGAGAGAGACTTTATTTTAAAATCCCACTTGGAGCAAAGCTGCCTTTGAGAATGCCCGCACTCGCAGCTCAGCCTGTGAATGTAAGAACTGTACTGGCCTGATGTTTTGATCTCAGTTTAATAAGGAACTTAAAATGTTCCAGAATATTTCCATTCTGAATTTTGAATGAATTGCAGAAGAGCAACAAAGATGCTTAAGGGACTGGAGGCTAAAACATAAGATGAATGGTTGCAGGAATTGGGTATGTCTAGTCTAGTGAAGAGAAGGATTAGGGATGGTCTGATAACAGTGTTCCCATATTTGAGGGGCTGTCACCAAAAAGAGGGGGTCAACCTATTCTCCAAAATACCTGAGGGCAGGACAAGAAGCAATGGACGGAAACGAAGCAAGGAGAGAAACAACCTAGAATTAAGACGTTTCTTGATCGCGAGAACAATTAACCTCTGGAACAGCTTGCCTCCAGAGGTTGTGGGTGTTCAAACACTGGAAGATTTTAAGAAGAGATTGGACGGCCATTTGTTCAGAATTGTATAGGGTCTCCTGCTTGAGACCCTATACCATTTTGGACAAATGTTATTCCACATATTTGGCACGGCCGAGGCAGAAACATTCAAAATCAATTCTATATCCCTGTGGAGGGCTGATCGTTTTTAAAAAGGCCGTATTTTCCCGTAGTAGTTCTAATCTTTTCATCCCTCTCTAGGTGTGAGTTTTATTTATTATCTGTCAGGGCTGAGGGCCGAACTGTGTGAGAGCACCAGCTGGTGAATAGAAAAGGAAGATAAGATTTTCCACTTACTGGATATATCTTGGATATTTCCCTGCAAAACCTGGCAGGAGGCAAAGAACCCTGCCCAGTAGTTTTTCAGCTGTTGAGTGGGACCCCAGTGCCCTTGAGGTGCCATAGATTACTGGGCTGAACCTAAGGCTATAAAGCCGTCCGTCTGGAGCGTAGCAGCCCATTCGGACTTCACCATGAATTGCTGGACCGTTCTGGGCTTTGTGGTCCTCTGCCTGGAGGCAGCAGGAGCTGCAAAGGTAATCTTCAGCTAACTAAGGGGCACAGAGGTAGTCCTTGACTTATCACCGTTCATTTAGCGACCGTTCAAAGTGAACAACGGCACTGAAAAAAAGAGAGACTTGGGACCTTTTTGTCACACCAATGCCCTTTGTAGCATCACCCTGGTCAGGCGATCAAAATTCAGCCTCTTGGCAACTGATTCATACTTATGACCATTGCTGGGTCATGGGTTCCCCTTTTGGAACCTTTTGGCAAGCAAACTTGAGCAGGGGGCTGGACTAGAAGACCTCCAGGGTCCCTTCCAGCTTCTATTCTATTCTATTCTATTCTATTCTATTCTATTCTATTCTGTTCTGTTCTGTTCTGTTCTATGTTATTTTATTCCATATTCTATTCTATTCTATTCTGGGGCAAACTCACTTAGGAAGTGCCTTGCTTAGCGACAGATTTTGGGCTGAATTGTGATCGTAAGTTGAGGGCTACCTGTATGTAAAATATTTGGGGGGAAACCAAGCAGAATCTCCCTTTGGTTTGATCTCTTTGAAATCGGTATGAATGCTGAGGTTACTGTTGGTGTCTCATCAAAACTGCCATGTCTCTGTTGATGCAAGAATTAACGCACGCTTCCTCCCTTTTGTGGCATGTGTGTAGCTGGGCATCGTAAGCACAGAAGGTGGGCTTGTGGAAGGTGTTAACAAAAAACTGGGCCTCTTTGGAGATTATATGGATACCTTCAAAGGAATCCCTTTTGCTGCCCCCACCAAGACCTTGGAAGACCCCCAGCCTCACCCCGGCTGGCCAGGTAAGATGGAAAAGGCACCTTAAATTGAATTAAACTCTGTTTTTAACTGATAACAATTGTATTATAGGAAGTTCCTCAGGCATCTTAAATAAGAAGAATGAAAAGCCTTTGTTGGCCTAAACAATTTAAGTTATCTTTTCTATTTTGATGAATGTCGGCATGTGGTACAGAGTGACTTGGCATCCTTTCTCTAGCTTTGGTTTAACTGTGGGTGAGGAGGGAGCTTCTAAGGTTGGTAACTTTGAGGAATGAGGCAGAAAAAGAAATATATTTTTGGCATCTTGCTAGACGTTCTCCAGGGGCTTTTGAAGGCATCCCTTTGCATCCTTAAGGAGTAGAAAGTTGTGGGAGGGAGGGATTTATTATGAAAGTGTGTATTCTTCATTTCCTTCTGTCCTCTAGAATTGGGATGAGGTCATTGCTTGTCAAGAATAGGGTCTAAATATTAATGTGACTCAATAGTAGTAACGGCAAAAGGGATCTCGGAGTCCTAGTGGACAATCCCTTAAATAGGAGCCAGCCGTGTGCTGCAGCTGCCAAAAAAGCCAACACAGTGCTAGGCTGCATTAACAGAGGGATAGAATCAAGATCACGTAAAGTATTAATACCGCTTTACAACGCCTTGGTAAGGCCACACTTGGAATCCTGCATCCAGTTTTGGTCACCACGATGTAAAAAAGATGTTGAGACTCTAGAAAGAGTACAGAGGAGATTGGAATTTTGAGATTGCCCACAAAGCATACTTCACCTCAAGTGATACACAATCAATTCTGTGGTGTCCTTTGTTTCTCAGGCACACTGCAGGCTGACAAATTTCAAAAACGTTGCATGCAGTCCACCCTCACCCAGACAGATATACGTGGCTCTGAAGATTGCCTGTATCTAAACATCTGGGTCCCTCAAGGGAAGAAACAAGGTAAGGCTATGCTGGAACTCAGAATTCGCCCATCATTTTTATTTTTGACTCCTTATTTCACTGCTGCCTTTCCAAGAAATGAGGTAGCAAGGAACAAACTGTTTTTGAAAACCAGATTATGCCTGGAGCTCCACGGTCTTCCAGTTCTGGAAAACCTAGCACCAGCCCCACAGCAAATTGGGATGGAGAAAAAGAAGGCTGTAAGAAATTTTCACTGGAATTTTGTTTCAGGGAATAGATCGGTGTAATCTACCAAAAACGTTCGTTTTCCCAAAGGTCCTTTTCCAAAAGGCAACTGGACTTTGAGGGGGGTTTTTTGCCCTTGAAATCGTTTTGCTTCTCATCCAAGAAGCTTCTTCAGAACTTAAGAATTGAAGAAGCTTTCTGGACGAGAAGCAAAACAAAAAAATCCAGTTGCCTTTTGCAAAAGCACAACCATGTCCTGGATGATGGAGAATTTCCACGGGCAACACGTCCACCGGTTTTCGTGCCAAGTCCTAAATTCACACAAGATGTGATACCTCAAGAGATAAAGCCTATTTTGGCTCGACCTGGCCTCCAGTCAACGTTTGAAAACCAGGGTTGGCTTTTTCAAGTAGCCAGCTACATTGAGATTTCAGCCTATTATCTGGACATCCTCAGGATGGACAATCAAGGCTGAGTTGACAGCTGTCTCTTGCCCACTTCGTATTTCCTCTTTGCTTTGCCATCTCCCTGCGCTTCAGTTTCCACCAACTTGCCGGTGATGATCTGGATTTACGGAGGGGCCTTCGTCTGGGGAGGTGGACAAGGCGCCAACTTCCTGAACAATTATTTGTACGATGGGGAGGAAATCGCCAGCCGTGGGAAGGTGATTGTGGTGACTCTCAATTACCGGCTCGGACCGTTGGGTTTCCTAAGTACTGGTGACGCTGCTCTTCCAGGTAAGTTCAGCGTGGGAGAAATTTTGCTCTTCTCCATCCTTTGTTAAGACTAACCTCTTAATAACGATTTTGGGTCGTTTTAGTTTTCAGTTACTTTTCATTAGTTGTTTTTAGTAGCAAGGTTTCCATTTATTTGTCCATCGATCCAGCCTGGCTCCTGACAGTAGAAATACCTGCAGGTTTTTTTGGGGGGGGGGGTAGATCCTTAATTGAGGGAGGGACTGGCCCAAAATCTTCCAGGTAGGTTTCATGCCTCAGGTAGGACTAGAATTCACCAAGTCCTGATGATTAACCCAAAGTCACCCAGCCAGCTTCCATGCCTAAAGCGGGACTAGAACTTCCAATCTTCTGGTTTGTAACCTGGCGCCTTCACCACTGGGCCAAATGCTCTCTCTTTCCTGGATTAAGAAAGCATGAATAATTTCACAAAATAGGGAGAACAATAGTTGCTTAATGCTTCACGTTTTCTTCTTCTTCTTCTTCTTCTTCTTCTTCTTCTTCTTCTTCTTCTTCTTCTTCTTCTTCTTCTTCTTCTTCTTCTTCTTGTTCTTCTTCTTCTTCTTCTTCTTCTTCTTCTTCTTCTTCTTCTTCTTCTAGGCAACTACGGCCTCAAAGATCAACACATGGCCATCGCTTGGGTGAAGAGGAACATCAAAAATTTCGGGGGAGACCCTGACAACATCACAATCTTTGGGGAATCTGCTGGTGCTGTCAGCGTCTCCTTACAGGTGAGGGGGCTTGGAAGTCTCTCGGCTTCCTAGTGGGTGTTTGTGAGGACTATCTTGAAAATGGGTGAGATGTTCTTGATGGCAGGTCTTTAGTAATGACCAAGACAAATAGGGCAACCTTTTTAGAAAAACAAAAAAGGATGTTTGTTTCATTGTCTCATTGGATCCTCCGGATCCCGCCTGGCCTGCTAAATCTCCCCAAAGCAAACCACCATTGGCGTAATCCTAATTTTGCGTTGCCTGTGCCAGCCCAGCTAGTACGCTTCTTTGGAACGAAGCTAATTACAAAGTCCCTATTTTAATTCAGTTCTGGGATACGGGTGTCGTGTGAATGTGTCTCACTTTGACTGTTGGGGAATGAAGTCATGATTCCTGGAAGGAACAGGTAGGTTTATGAGGGCTTCTTGGTGCTATCTGAGCTTGGTGGTTTTGCTTGCAGACATTTCATTACCCAAACTAGGTAACATCATCAGTGCTAGAAGGGAGTGGGGATTGTGGGAGGAGGAAGAGGAGGATTATGATTGCTAGATCCTTGGTGCTCTCTGAGCCTGCTTGTTCACTTACAGACGTTTCATGATCCAACTAGGTAACATCATCAGTGCCATCTGCAAGACATCACCATCTCACACATCCCCCTCATTTCATCCCTGAGCTACAAATATTCTCCTTTATGAGTTAGGTTTATTTCTCCAGCATTCTCAAGCAGATTTGTTTGGAATTCACTCCCTAGGGATTCTAATTCCGCTAAGGTTGAAATCCTAGGTTTCCTAAGCTTCCTCTGTTTCCTGCATGTAGACGCTGTCACCGTACAACAAAGGCTTGATCCGACGGGCCCTCAGCCAGAGTGGAGTCGGCCTGTGCCCGTGGGCCATCCAAAAGGACCCCCTTTACTGGGCTATCAAGGTAACGTAGAACCCACCCGTTAACGTTCCTGGGAGTCCCTCCTTCTGCGTTGCGTCCTGTCTTGGTCTCAGGGTCTATCTGAGATGCTGGTGGGGGTCCAGTGGGGCTTCCCTAAAGTTCTCACCAAAGTGGGTTGGAGAAGATAGAAGGCGGGCGTGGAGCAGCCGCCCTCCGTGTGATCTCGAAAGGCTGGCCCTAGAGACCACAGCTGGCCAACATGGATGCAGACTGGGATCTTCTTGAGTCAAGAGCGAGACAGTTCATCCAGCGGTGTCCCATTTTATGTTGTTAAGCAAATTGCTGCAATTGTTAAGGTTGTTAAGTGAATCCGGCTTCCCCAATGGACTTTGCTCGTCAGGTCGCAAAAGGGGATTGTGTGACCTGCCCTCGGGACACTGCGACCGTCGTAAATATGAGTCAGTGGCCAAGCGTCCAGATTATGATCCGTTTTGAATGGGGATACTGCAACAGCCGTTAACGGTGAAAAATGGTTCTTAAGTCCCTTTTTTTTCCCCCGGGGCCGTTGTAACTTTGAAGGGTCAGTAAATGAACTGTTGTAAATCGAGGATCTCCTGTTCAGGAGGATGGTTCCCTCCTGCAGCCAAATAAACAACAGATTCCACCTTCCAGATTGCGCACAAAGTGGGCTGCCCGGCAGACAACACCACCGTGATGGCCAGCTGCCTCCGAGGGACCGATCCGAAGACCTTGACCCTGGCTTATCACCTGGAAGTCACCAACTTACGCTGTAAGCCAGAGGGGGGGGGGTTGGGCTGGGGGTGTCCAGGGAGGGGGAGGGTTTCATAAGCCCACCCAAAGGGACAGTTGAGCTTCTAATAAAGGAGAATATTTCTAGCTCAGGGTTGAAATGAGGGGGGGGGCCTTCGGTGCTCTCTGAGCTTCGCTATTTTTAGGCAGACGTTTCATGACCCAACTAGGTAACCGCATCAGTGTTAGCATGATGTTATCCAGATGGGTAATGAAACATCTGCAAGAAAACAACCAAGCTCAGAGACCACTAAGGACCCCACAGTTCTCCTCTTCTCCATAAACTCCACTCCCTTCTAGCACTGATGAGGTTACCTAGTTGGGTAATGAAACGTCTTCAAGAAAGCAATCAAGGTCAGGGAGCACCAAGGACCCCACAATCCTTCTCCTCCAAGGCTGGGAGGGTGGCCAGCTACTCAACTTTCCTCTGACGGTGCTTTTGATACCGTGACACTTTTATCCCGCCTCGCTGGCCCTTTTCTTCCCGAGATTTCCCTCCTGCCGTCTCTCTGAACTCGAGGGGCTGAGCGGGCTGTCTTCCCCTGCAGACCCCTTGGTCCATTATCTGGCCTTCACTCCCGTGGTGGATGGAGATTTCATCCCCGATCACCCGAAGAACCTCTTCGCCAACACGGCCGACATTGACTATCTTGTTGGGGTCAACAATATGGACGGGCATTTCTTTGCCGGCATCGACCTGCCAAGCATCAACCGCCCCTTGGCGAAGATCACCCCGTAAGGAGAGAAGGCGAATGGATGGTGGGCACTGGGGGGTGGGGAGAGGGAGGAGGCTGGTGGAACATCTGGAGATGTTTGGCTGGGCTGACCTGCTGCCTGTTGCCTTGCGGTCTTTAAGGCCACTGCGCGTGCTTGGATTTGCTGTCAAAAGGGGAAGATGTACATTTACGCTGGGAAGGGCAAGGTTCCCATAAATGACAATCCTGAAAATGTGATAATATCTTGCCTGGGTTATTTAACAGAATAGCAGAATGATCAGAGCTGGGAGGGAACTTCTGGTCCCACCCCCTGCTCAGGCAAGAAACCGTACACCATTGCACACAAATGGTTGACCGGCCTCTTCTTGAAAACCTGCAGGGATGGAGCACCCACAACCTCTGGTGGCAAGCCGTTCCACTGGTTAATTGTTCTAGCTGCTGGGAAATGTCTCTCCTTAGTTCGAGGTTGCAACAGTCCGCAGGGAAACAACCACATAGCCAAGCGTAAACAAAGATTAAACCGTAGGATGAGTGATTCAGGGAACTAGATATGTCAAGCCTAACCAGGGGAGGATTAGGGGTGACATGCTAGTCTTCCAGTACTTGAGGGCGCCCCATAGGAGAAGGGATTGACTTATTCTCCAAAGCACCAAGGTCAGGGGTAGGGTTAGCGTTAGAAGAAGTAACGGATGGAAGATCATTGAAGAGAAATCCAGTCTAGAGCTAAGAAGAAATTCCCTGACTGTAGGAACAATTAATCAGTGGAACGACCTGCCTCCAGAAGTTGTGGGTGCTCCATCGCTGGAGGTTTTCAAAACCAGACTGGACAACCAGTTGTCTGGAATGGGATATAGGGCCTTGGATGTATTCTCCAAAGCGCCTGAAGGCAGGACAAGAAGCAACGGATGGAAACTCATCAAGGAGAGAAGCAACTAAGGAGAAAATTCCTGACAGGGAGAACAATTGTTCCCCAAATGGGATGGAAACGCCATGTTTCTTTTTCAGGGAACAGGTCTACCGATTAATTCAGGGGCTGACGGTAGAGAAGGGGCCAGCAGGAGCTGACGCGGCCTACGCGTTGTACACCCAGATGTGGAGCAACACGGAAGACCAAGAAGTCATAAAGAGGACAGTGGTGGACGTGGAGACTGACTACATCTTCCTGGTTCCCACCCAGCAAACTCTTCAGCTGCACCGAGAGAACGCCAAGTGAGCAACGAAGGATTTGGGAGGGGGTCCTTGCTAGTGGGGAAGGATATCTTGCTTTCGCCTGGCCCCCGTAGGGCTGGGAGGGACCTCAGCTGAATTAACCAAGGCAGGAATTGTTATAAACCAGGTTCAGGAAAATTGCCTAGAATCCTAGGTCTGGAAGAGAGCTCAGAGATCTTCTAGTCCAACCCCCTGCTCAAGCAGGAGGCCCTGCACCATTCTAATAGTTGTCCAATCTTTTTTTTGACAACCTCCAGCGATGGGAGCACCCGAGGCAAACTATTCCACCAATTAACCATGCTTACTGTCCTCTTTCTCCCTTGCTTATTCCAGAACGGCCAAAACCTACAGCTACCTCTTCTCCGAGCCCTCGCGAATGCCGGTCTACCCTGGCTGGGTGGGGGCGGATCACGCCGACGAAATTCAGTACGTCTTCGGCAAACCGTTTGCTACGCCCTTGGGTTACAAGCCCAGACACAGGAAGCTCTCCAAAGCCATGATTGCTTATTGGACCAACTTCGCCAGGACTGGGTGAGAACCTGGGGGGCAGAGGGGAGCACGCAGCCATGGGGCAGTTTAGGGCCCTGAAAGCCTTCACTTCCCCCCCCCACTACCACCTATTAAGCAATTTTTAACATCCCTCTTTTAAATGTTACATACTGCTTTTTAAAATGCTTTTTATGCTTTACTGTAGACTGCCCAGAGAGCCTCTGTGAGTGAGATGAGCAGTTCTTAAATATGATAGAGATAGATAGATAGATAGATGGATTGATAGATATATGGATGATGGATGGATGGACGGACAGATGCATAAATAGGAGATAGACGGATAGATAGACGGATAGGAGATAGATAGATAGATAGATAGATAGATAGATAGATAGATAGATAGATAGATAGATAGACGGACAGATAGATGATATAGATGATAGAGATAGAGATAAGATGATAGATAGATAGATGATAGTCAGACAGACAGATAGAACGAAAAGATAATAGAGAAGGTAGAGTAGGATGGATGGACAGACAGACCGAATGAGCGCCCTAGAAAGTTCCCAGTGTCCCCCCTTGGAAGGTTTTTCCAGGGCCCTTCTGGCAACAGGTTACCCCAAAAAACCTAACCGTCTTGTATCCTCAATCTACAAAACACCTGCTTCTGTCTGAAGGAGGTTCAATTTCCTCTCCTGCGTCCCACACAGGAACTAAGCTAGTGTGTGTGTGTGTGTGTGTGTTTTCCCTTCCTCCCCTCCAGTGACCCTAATCAAGGAGAGTCGGAAGTCCCCATTGCCTGGGTGCCTTACAACAACGAAAGCGCCTTCTACCTAGACATCAATCACGACATCAACTACCAGTCGGTGAAACAAGGCCTGCGTGCCCTTTACGTCAAATTTTGGAACGTGGATTTCCGCAAACTCCCCGATGTCCGAAGCTCAGCCAAGCAGGAATAAAAAAAAAAAAAACACCACGAACTGCACCTCTGCTGTTTGTACACAAAACGAGAATCCAATAAACAGATCTTGCTCACGGGCTTTCTTTCATCTCTTCCCTCATTGGTTCTGCCAGCAAAAGTCCCAAATTCCAGCCTCTCTGTTGGACATTAAATCCGGTTAAATCTTGCCCATGAATGGGCTGTCCGGCAGTTCAGACCTGGAAGAAGGGACCTGGAGCTTTGCAGCATGCTGGCTGCTCTCGACCACCCTTTAAAGCACCCGCGTCTTTATCTCTACATTAAGTTCAATTTCTCAATTTCTCACATTGTTGGTGCAAGGGTTTCTTGTGCCCAACGCCGTTCTTTCGGGCAAAACACAGGGAATTAAAATCCCTGACTCTTCAAGGGAGGCACCCAAACAAGACACTGGCATCTCTAGTTTCTCTTTTAATCGAAAAGGCTACTGACATTGCCGTACACACATTGCCCAGCATTAGTCTGCTACTTCCACGGAAATCGGTACAAAAACAGACCTCGCCTACAGAGTTCACTCAGCCACCCAGACACACACACACACACACACACACACACACACCCTTACGGCTGCGGAATCTGCTGGAGGCTGTCTCCTGACGCCAATCTCCAGCAGGGACAAAATAAAAAGGTAAAAATACTTTAAAAAACAGCAAGCTTGCCTCCCCTTTAATAGCATCTTGGTATCGCCAAGGGACGTAGCGTGTTGTCGCAAGGAAGGCAGACCCTTGCCAATTTTTTTTTGGGGGGGGGAAGGAAGTGCTCACCTGGCTGATCAACAGAGAGAAGGTAGCCTCCAGGTAGAAATAGCCCCTTAGCGCCTTCCTTCCTCCCAGCCAAGTTGCCCTGAACAGGAGGCCACAAAACCCCCTTAAGGCAAGGAAAGTAAACAAGCGAGACTTGGGGAAAAAAATTAAGCCTTGTCTTTTCAGGGTGCCTAAATTCCTAACAGCGACAGATCCCAGAAAACTCGGGAAGGAGGAGAGATGGCAAAAAAAATGAGGGATGAGGGATTTCCTCTCCGCCTTCCGGATGACGATGCTTTCCTTCATAGGCAGAGGGGAAAAAAACCAAACTCTTAAGCATCTTCCTGTTAAACAGGCTAGAAAAAGCATCCTTTTTTTTTTTGGCATCCTAACACTGAGAAGTTGCCCGTCCAGGCAGATGATGGCTTGGAAACTCAGAGATTTTTCATTTGCGTTTGCATTGACACCGCTTTTAGATTCAAATTGGGCCAGAGGATGCTTGCCGAGAAACCCGGATCGTCGGGTATCGGCAAGGGATAAAAAGCCTTGCATTTGTTTTCCTCGCAAAATCCAGATTTCTCTGCGTGGATTCGAGGCGTCGGGACGAAGGGGTGAGCCATGCTCTCCCCCTCTCTTAGAATACTCCTCGCCTCCTAGTTGCCTCTTGGCACAGAGTGCAAAAAAAGCCCTTTTGAAAAACAGCGGCTTATCCCTGTGGGGTTGTGTGTTTTGTTGTTGTTGTTTTGTAGTTTTAAGGATGAATCTATCAAGCCTGGAAGCCTCCACGGGTTTTTAAAAAAACGAAAGCAGGGGTATTTCTCTATGCCTCCGTGCCTGAATTCCTCACCTCCAGCTCTTGGCACTCGAACCAAGAAACTCTCTCTCGAAACAACCCACGTGTGAAAAACACCTTCCTTGCACACCTACATGCCCCCCTCCCTCAAAAGCCTTTTTAAAACGGAAAAAAAAGGGAACTTGATGGATTTTTTTTTTTTAGACGGGGTTAGTAAAATGTATAAATCCAGCTGGGCTATTTACAAACAATAAATATCGAGGGAATTAGTAAATTCAGAAGGATGGGTCGATTCTTGTGGCGGCTTTTTTTTTACAAAAAAAAAAAAAATATCTGAGCATCCTCAGTCACAGAAGCCACTTCGTAGTCAGGCTGAAGTCCGCGAAAACGCAAAAGTGGCATTTGTCCGTCCGGGTTAGGATCGTCAATTGAAGGGCGAGGAGTGGCCCCCACACTTTACCGCTATCCCTGTGTCCAATCCACAAATTTTATTTACACGTGTCTGTACAAAAGCGAAGTGTCTTTTACTTCTAGTGTGTCGGCAGAAGGTCTGACGACCAAATAAAATAAAATAAAATAAACAGTGCTGTTAGATCTTTGGTGCAGGTTCTTGTTAAAGGAAATAAAAAAGGCCAGGTAATAAAAACAAAAAAACAAAAACAAAATGGAGAAGTTAATTGTCTGGTGGCTTGGTCTGGCACCCCAAAGTCCATCTTCAGCCACCCCTTTTTGCCCCAAAGCATGGGAAATCCCTCTTTCCTAGACCACAAAAGTGCACTTCAATCCCTCTGGAGCATCTCAAAGGATGAGTCTTTGCACCATCGGCAAAAGGGGACCTGATCCCACATCCCTCGCTCTTCTGGTACGTCACGGCGGGAGGAGAGCACCACCCTCGTTGGTCAATAGAACGATAAGGCAGAACGGTGGGTGGGGAAGTCAACGCAGCCGGAGGCTAAGCAGTCCTTAGACCTTGAGAGGTGGAATTCTTTGTTTTGTTTTTGAAAAAAAAAAAGCTAAAAATCCTTCCCAGATCGGAGGGCAAAAAAGAAAACAGCAATACACATCTTTTTAAAGGCAAGAACCAGCTTCTGCCAACACATCCCGCACACGCTCAGAAGTCTGCAGAAGCTTGGCTCTGAAGAAGCCGTCAACCTCTTGAGTGACCTCAACGGTGTTCCTAAGTTCCCGGGCGAAAATCCGAGGCTACGCAACTAGAGGCAGCGTCATCCTCACATTCCCACGTGGCTTAAGACAGGAGGGACTGCAACCTGGAGAGTCAGTGGCAGAGGGAGACACCCTCCCTACACACACACACACACGCACGATGTTAGAAGATGCCTTTGGCGATTTTCAAGCCTTTCTGTTTCACCCTGGGTAGAGTTGAGCTGGATCCGTGCTTGATTTTGATCACCTTGGAGAAGCCGCGCTTCTTGAGCACGAAGTCGTAGTTGGCAGCTGAGTTCATGGCATAAAAGACGTTGGCGTTGTTGGGAATTTTGAGCTCTGCAGGGGAAGGGGTGGGGTGGAGAGAGAGAGAAAGAAATTAAGGTTCTGGGTTGAGCCGAGTCTCGTTCTAATTATCTTATTTTGGCTAGTGCAGCAATAAATAATAATCAATTTTTTTTTTAAAAAAAATCCCGAGTTAATAAGGTTTAGGGAAAGTTAGCAATGCAGCAAATAAAAAAAATAGCATAAATAAACTGGAGAGCTCAAAAGGCCATCTTCTGCACCTCTTTCTTCTGAGATGATCTGGATGAGTTCATAATCTTCCGGCCGATCCCCGTCCAGATTGTGTTTGGCCATAGCTTTGCGGATCACCACCGGGGTTTTATCCTGGCTCGTCACCTGGAAGAGGGTATTTAAAAGAGGTACACCTTTAGGTCAACAGTGACATGAAACCAAGTTCCCTTCATTGCATGGCTAAGGTAATTGATGTTCTCCAGATGTTGCACTAATGATGTTCCCTGGTTGGGTATTGAAATGTCTGCAAGAAAACCACCAAGCTCAGAGCTACAAATACTTTCTTGAGAATGCCAAGGCTGTGTCTTTGTGAGTGTGCAAGAAGGTGTAAACCCACGATCTTCACCAACTCTGGTTCCAAAGCCATGTCCATCAGCTCAAGTCTCATCAGCGTACAGACCGTTTCAATGCATGCTAGATTGTTATCCCAACCTCGTCACCCCTCCTCGCCTCCGGCCAAAGACGGGGTACCTACCAAAATACTTTTATACATGTTTCCGTTATCCACCGCCAAGCTGACCCGGATGATACAACAATCGTCGATCTGCTGGTTATAAAGAGGTAACGAGAGAGAGGAATAGCTCGAAATGCCAGAGACGCTGCGTTTGTGCGTACGGGACACTGTCACCGGCGTGGAGGAGACGGACGATGATGAAGCGCTGCTTGAACTTGACCCAACACCCGATGTATCCAAGGAGGACAACGAGGTAGATTCCCAAAACTGAGTAGACCAGAAAAAAGGAAGGAGAATGTTGATTGTCTAATCAAGGAGATCTGCCTATCTATCCTCTGTCCTTGTTTGGAGAGGTCTCCATGGTGCCTACATCACAAGCCTCCGTGGTCCAGGAGGACAAAAACGTTGTGGAGAAGGTAGTTTTGGAGATGGACTCTCCGAACCACCTCTAAACGTCTTCTATTATCTTCTTCCATCCTATGTCTTTCTTGGCCATCGTCTCTCTCTCCAAGGCCTCAAGAAGAATCTCTCTGGATCTCAGCTGATCTCCTCCCAAGCTTCTCCGTTCCCTGGTTGCTCCGAACCACCTCCTCCCCCCCCCGAAGCGGGGCGCACCTGCTGCTTGACCCCCTGGGCAGGAGTGGATCCCAGCGAGCCGTGGTCCTGTACCTTCTTCTCTTGAACCTCGGGCGAATCGGGAACGAAGCTGATGTTGATTTCTTCCACGTCGGAGCTGCTGGAGCCCGCCGAGGTGATGCTGGCCGAATCCGCCCCGTCGCTGCTGCAGAGGTAGGGGCCGCACTTCAGCTGGTCAAAGGACTTGGAGTGAGAGCTGCCGCTGGCACAGGAATCAGTACTGGGGGCCTGTCGGCTGTGGGGAGAAGAGGGTCAGGAAAAGGGCTGGGGGGATTGGACGGGGCTGGCTCCCACCTTGAGTGGGAAGAGTGGCCCTGTAATGGATTGTGTGGGTGATCTTGGGAAGGAAGGAAGGAAGGAAGGGAGGGAGAGAGGGAGGGAGGGAGGGAAGGAGAAGGAGGGAAGGAAGGAAGGAAGGAAGGAAGGAAGGAAGGAAGGAAGGAAGGAAGGAAGGAAGGAAGGAAGGAAGGAGCAAGAGGGGAGTGCCAAGCTAGACAACTTGAATCCCTTGGGCTTTTGACACACACACACACACACACACACCCCAATGTAGCCAGCTCCATTACAACAAGTCCCGTGTTTCAAGGAGGGCCGGCTGGGTGGGTGACTGCTACCATTTTGCCCTGAAGACCCTCTGGCCCCTCCCTTGCGACTTACTCGCTCCACCGCTTAATGATGCCGGTGTTCTTCTTGGCCTTCAGCGTGTTGCTGGCTGATTCCGACAAGGGTTCGATCTCACACGAAAGGCTGTAGCTGAGAGCAAAGGGAGGGCTGTGAGCATTTGGCCCCAATTGTAGGAGATTTGGTCTGATGGCTGGAAAGCAGCAGGCGCTGAGTTCTAGTCCTGCCTTAGGCATGAAAGCCGGCTGGGTGACATTGGGCCAATCACCAGGAGATTGGGAGTTCTAGTTCCACCTTAGACATGAAAGCTGGTTGGGTGACTTTGGGCCAATCACCAGGGGACGGTGAGTTCTAGTCCTGCCTTAAGCATAAAAGCTGGTTGAGTGACTTTGGGGCCAATCACTAGGAGACGGTGAGTTCTAGTCCTGCTTTAGGAACGAACCCAGAATAATCTTCCCTTACAGCCCTGAAGAAGACAGCCGCCACTGACCTCTCGGCTTCGCTAAGCCGTTCCACGCCGTGAAACCAAGACCCAAACCGCTCGTCCTTCTTGAAGCTGTAATTATTGCAAGCCGACTGAAGCAACTTGATCTGGGCGATGACTTCGAACTCCTGCAAGGAAGAAGTGTGTGTGTGTGTTTACGTTTAGACAAAACAAGAAGGGGGGGGGGAAAGCCTCCCAGAAATGTGACTTTAAAAGCAGCGGCTGCGGTAAAGCGAGGAGGGTGGATTTAACCAAACTCTCTCGAAAAGGTTTTTGTGTGTGAAAATGACGGCTGGTCAACCAGGACCTCTTCCGGGTGATTCCGGATTTCCAAGTTTTCCTCCCACACGTCCACGTCTGAGCCGTGGCCTCCCCTTTTCTGACGATAATAAGGTAGTTCTCGGCTTATAGCTATTTGTTTAGTGGCCGTTCAAATTGCAACGGCATTGACAAAAAGGAACCTACGGCTGTTTTCCCCGTTACAGGGACTGTTACAGCCTCCCCACAGTCAAGGGATCAAAATTTGACAACTGGCTCCTATATACGACGGTTGCAGTGTCCTGGGGTCATGGGGTCCCCGTTTACGACCTTCCGACAAGCAAAATCCTAACAACTAACAGTGATCCACTTAAGAACGGTGGTGAGAAAGGTCGCAACCACCCAACTGTCTCACTTGGCCACAAAAACTTTGAGCTCAACTGCAGTCTTCAGTTGAGGATTAACTGCAGTGGCCCTCAAGTCTGGACAATGGTAACAGCCACAACCACAATCACACAGAGCTCTCACCTTCCTCCTTTTCTCAAAGTTGATCAGGCCTCCCTAAAAAAAGAAAGAAAGAAAAAACATAGATCCTTAATATCCCAACTCAGCCTGGTTTTCACTTTCTAAACATCCAAGAGATGAGAAAGGTTTTTTTAAAAAAACACACATGTGTTCTGTAGCAAAGCAGAAACAGCAACCGTACCATGGATCGTGATGTATTTATTTGCATCTGGAGGCTAGATTTTTTTTTTCTTAAGGGGTTCGAGAGAAATAAAATACATTTAAAAAGACAAGGAGGCAGATGGGATATGGCTGTAATGATGGATATAAAAGCCATAAGTCAGTAACTGAGATTAGAGATCCCAGAATTCTCCCCTCGTGTTATGGAAGCCATCTCCCATTGCTCAGCTTGCAGGGAACAAAATTGGGGGGACGTAGCTCTGGATAAAAAAGGGAGTTGATCAATTGAAATGTTCCTTTGTTGTTTTTCATGGATGAAGGCAAATATACGAGTCCCGGGACAATGTTGCAGGATCCAATCTGGGTCGGTCACCGTTATCAGAAGTTTTTGTCTTCTGAGCTTTCGGATTTTTGGAGCGAGGGAGGACATTAACCACCCAGATTGCAAGAACACAAGCAAGGAGACGAGGAGACCCAAACTCACTGGTAGCCTCACATTGCAATGAACAAGGAAACACATTCAATTTCGCAGCAACTAAGATTGTGGGCAGAGCAGGTACAAAAACAGCCGGGGAAATGATTGAAACCTGGGGAATGAGCCCCTTGTCAATCAACAGAAGGAAACAACATCCAATGACTTAACAGCCATCCATCCACACCCCAATCAACAACTAAAGACCCCCACACACAAATGCACAAATTCAATGCACAGAATAGCTCAAAGCACACATTCTGGTGAGAGAGAGCTTCCCTGAGGCTGGAAGGCAATTTTATTTTTATTGACTGATGGAACACCACGAAGAGAGAACACCTCTCGTGCTTTTCGTTTTGCTGCCAAAGAGACCCCAGTGAAATTAAAAAGTGAATATTGCTAAAAATGGAAGCAAAGAAAATCAGATGTCCACCAGGGGGCGCCGTGCTCTCTTTTGGCCTCAATCTGGGTGGAGCAATTTCCGTAACCCACAAACCATGTCTTGTGCTGGTTTTGCAAAACAAAAACAAACAAAAACCAAAACACAATGACCTCCCCTTCACCCAAAGCGTCAAATTTAAAACAACAACAGCAACAACATAAAGTCGGAGGACGGAGGCGACAAAAAACGCCAACATTAAATTGTGGCTTGCAATAAAAAGGGAGAAGGAGAACCTACGTCTAAATAATCCTTCATGGCCGTGTCCAGCATCACTAGGTCGGTCAGAAAGGTGCCCAGGTAAGGGATGGTGCCTTGCATTACACCCTGGAATGAAAAAAATTAAAATTAGGAACGTGAAAGGAGGCAGAGAAGCAGGAGAAAAGGATGTCTAGGGAGATTCTCAGTCATCCAGGTGAGGGTGTCAGGGGAAGATGCCACTCCCTCCTAGCACTGGTGATGTTACCTAGCTGGGTCATGAAACGTCTGCAAGAAAACCACCCCAAGGATCCCACAGTTGAACCCTGAGCAACAAAGATCCTCTGTTTAATAAAGAAAGGTGCCCCAATTTTTCTCCTCTGAGTCTCCCCCTCCTCCCTCTTGATCCCCAGCACCATCTCCTCCATCCTGGGAGCCTGGCTCGGCCAATTCTTTTTGTTTTATTGCACTGACACACCCTCACCATTTCCCGTTGCTGCTGCTGGCGCTTCTGAGCTCTTTTGGGGTTGATTTCCAGCGTGGCAAACTTGGAGGTCCCTTCCTGGATGTTCAGGGAAGAGAAAGGGAGGGAGGGGAGAAGCAAAGATGAGTTCAACCTGCTCTGAAGAAAAAGTCGAAGGCAAAACCATTAGCCAGGTGAATAGATTGAGGGGGTCGAGCTGTTCCCCAAAGCACTTGAGGGCAGGACAAGAAGCAACGGATGGAAACTAAGCAAGGAGAGAAGCAACCTGGAACTAAGGAGGAATTTCCTGACAGTGAGAACAATTAATCAGTGGGTGCTCCATCACTGGAGGTTTTAAAGATCAGACTGGGCAGCCACCTGTCTGGAATGGGGTAGGGTCTCCTGCTTGAGCAGGAGGCTGGACTAGAAGACCTCCGAGGTCCCTTCCAGCTCTGGTTATTCTGCACGTCGAAATCTAGAGGGAGAATCTTAACCCCACTTGGAGACCCTCCAGGTGTGTGGGCTCCAGAATGCTGAGAAATCTGGAAGACTCGAGTCCGGCACACCTGGAAGGCATCCCCCATCTGGAAAGGAAGGCCGGCCTCTCCAATTTCAAACATAGGTCCAAACTTTTCCCAGTCGGCCGAGAAAGTGAGAAAATCTTCAAAGCGGATCCAAACAGAATTCTGCAGCTTTCTCGTTTCGGCCGTGCCAAATCAGAAAGCCGGGGCACCTGTTCTTCCAAAGCAGATCTCTCTTTTTGGAAAATTGCACAACGCAACTGGGTCAGGGAAGGAGGTCTGCCCTTGCGTGGCTTCGATGCAACCCCCCTCCTCGTGGTTTGGACAGCCTGAGTGGCAGGCAGCTGCTTTATTTACACGGGGAAGTCCTCGCAAGTATGAAAAAGGGTCCTTTTTTCAGTGGCACTGTAACCTCGGTCACTAAATGAACTATTGTTGTAAGTGGAGGATAGGCTGGGAGGCAAACGTGAGCAAGGCATAGTAGCTAATCCACTCGTCCTGAGCTGTCTGTGCTTTCAGAAAGAGATAAGAGGCAGGGAAGCCCAGAGGTGAGACGTCAAATGTTTTTCTGGGCTTCTTATCTTCCGCCCCACCTACCAGGGGATTCCTCGGCTGCCAACTTTGGGAGTTTCCTCTGAAATTAAGCAGACAACCCAGATACCGGCTGCAAACAGCAGCTCCGTCCTTCTGCTTCGTGCAAAGAGCGAGCAAAGAACACTTGAGCAACTAGCGAACTTCGCCAGCCTTCCACGCCCCATATTACAACTCGGCCCCTGTCCCTTGAGAGTCGAGCTTTTAAAATAGGAAGGAGTCCAGCTATTGTGGCTTTTAGCACTCCTGCTGAACACACACACACACACACACACACACACACACACACACACAAAAATGTTATTTGCTATGCTCTCGTTCAAAGTTTCCTCCCAGGCGGGCTCAGGCCGATGAGTCACCGGCATGTTTATATATTCAGAAGGCATTTGGGCTGCAGCACGTTCCTGCGAGAGGGAAGCCTTTACTTCTTGCAGCACAGGGAAAAAAAGTGCCTTTTCGGCCCCCCACCCCTCCCTCTGAGAATGCAGAGGCTGTTTCACATTGCAGTTCTTCCCACCGGGGAGAAGGCGAGGATGCTTCCCAACCCGCATGTCCAAGAGACATGTTTGCTGTGGGTTTTCTGCAGGCAGGGTTTCAATGTTGCCGGCTTATTTATTTATCGGATTGATAAGGCAGCCCGACTCCACAGGAACTTTGCCCAGTGGGGAATAAGGGAGGCATTGTGGGAAAAGACAAATGAAGCCCCAGGCATCCAGAGGAGTGAATGGAAGGAAGGAAAATTCCAAGGAAGGAAGGAGGGAGGGAGGGAAGGAAGGGACTCCAAGGGTGAGTAAGAAAGAGGGATGGAGGGAAGGGAGCGAGAAAGGATATCTTCCTTCTCTCCTTTTCTCACTTCTTTCTTTCTTCCTTCCTCTCTCATTCCCTCTCAAAATTCCTTCCTTCCTTTGCATTCATACTTGAAATTTCCTTCCCGCCCTCTTTCAAGACAGCGAGAAAGAAAGAAAGAAAGAAAGAAAGAAAGAAAGAAAGAAAGAAAGAAAGAAAGAAAGAAAGAAAGACAAAATAGAAGGAAAGAGAAGGAAGGAAGGAAGGAAGGAAGAGGGAGGGAGGGAGGGAGGGAGGGAGGGAGGAAAGGAGGAATGAATGAATGAATGAATGAATTCTGGGATAAATGGAGGAAGGAAGCCCATCCATTCTAAAAATAATAAAACCAACAGCCACCGTCCCGTCTAACTCAAGACCCCAGGAAAAGCCAGATTTTAAGTCCCCTGTCACACCCCATCAGGGTGGGTTCCAGAAAAGCTTTAAGAGGAACATTCCCAAAAGGAAAGGAGGCCACAAAGGAGGCCAAATTGCTCCCCCCCCCCAAAAAAAGAGAGCTGAAGGACCACAGACATTGAAGGAAACAGAGGAGTTCCTGTTCTGTTCATTATGGGCCTTTCCTAACTTCCCTCCCAGTCTCCAGCCAAGCGGGGGGGGGGCGCTGCCCTTTTATTTGCCCCCCCCCCCCAGCAAACAGCCGCTTCTCCCCCTTACCTTAATGAGCAGCTCCCGACTCAAGGAGTGGTTGTTCTCATCCGAGAAGATTTCGGATAACTCATGGAACATGCGGCAGCTCTCCCTGTAAACGAAGGAACAAAAAAAAAAAAACACAACAAAATCCAGTGTGAAAAATATCCTCGGCCACGTCTTCATTCCATCCAGCTCTCTCTCTTTCCCCTGAATTCATTTAGCGACTGTTCAAAGTTACAACGGCACTGAAAAAAAAGGGATTTGGGACCCATTTTTACGCTTGCGACCGTCACGGCGTCCCGCAGGGTCACGTGATCAAAATTCAGACCATGTGACTTAACAACTGCAGTGATTGACTTAACCAGTGTGGTCAAAAAGGTCTTAAAATGGGGTAAAAACCACTTAGCAACGGAAATTTTGGACTCATAAGTCGAAGACTATCTGTATAGATTTGCTGGCTGCACTGAGATCTGACTGCGGTTAAAACTCAACCAACCAACAACATCATCATCCCTGGCCTGAAACAGGAATAGTAATGAAGCTCAGGAGCATCAGAGTCTTGTAAAAAAAACGTCTGCAAATATGCAAACATAACTCTCTTTTTTTCTGTAAGCAGAGCTACGATTGCAGCAGAAAATACAGAGAACCTAAATTGCAAAAAAATAAAATAAAAATAAAAAATGAATAGAAGGCAAATGTTTTGGTGGGCTGGATATTGAAACATTTAATTGCAAAGGGGAAGTCAACATTGTTGTTTTTTTAAATGTTGATTTCCCTTTTGCAATTAAATGTTTCACTATCCAGCCCACCAAATCCTTTGGAAACATTGTCTCAGGAAAAGGATTTTAATTTGACAAATAACTCTGCAGGCTTCCCATTTTGAGACTGGTTAGCTTTGTTTCCAAAACATTTCCCTGTAGGTGAAAGTCAGCTCAAGAAGAAAGGCTTACAATTGATCTGAAAGCACTCCGGTTCTCGAACTAAAATCTCCATTAAAATTAAAGTTTCCATCCCGTTATAAATTCTATTTGGCTGCCAAGCCAGCAAAGCGGATAAGAAAGGAAGTTTTAGGGGAACTTAAATGCAATTTTCCTTTTATACTCTTTGGTGCAGTTTTCATTTATTTATTCATCCGTTCATTTGTTCATTCATTCATTCTAAATGGTTAAAGAAGCCTCAGTGGGATCTTCCGGCTAATTCAACCGTTCTGAAAATGTCAACATTAAACCAGCGGGTTTTTTTTTTCCCCTCCTCTGACTCACCGTGACACCTCGTCCCACGTCTTTTTCAGCCTGTGAACTACGTTGCACTGGAGAGCAGAAAGGATGGCTCGGAGGGAGGAGAAATTCTTGAGGATGCGACATTCCTGTCGCCAAAGGGAGAAAGACAGATGTCAGCAGCTGCTCAGATCTCTCTGTTATGGAAGTCCTTGTGCTGTAAGTAAAACGCTTATCTGTGTCTCTAATCTATCTTCTCTATGCTCTTTATCATCTGTCTGTTTTCTCTGTCTATAATCTTGACCTACCCATTTACCTACCCACCTGTCTTGTCTTTCTTTTCTTCGTTCCTTGTCTATCATCTGTCTGTATCTATCTATAATCTTTCTCATATCTCTAATCCATCTTCTCTCTTTAATCTTTCTTTTTCCCTCCCTATCATTTTTTTTCTATCATCTGTATCTGTCTTCTCTATATTTCTCTATATCTCTAATCCATCTTCTCTATCTATATGTTCTTTTTCTCTCCCTCCATTCCTTCCTTCCTCGCTCCCTCCCTTTCTTCCTTTCCTTCCCTATCATTTTTCTTCCTTTCTTCTATCATCTGATTATATCGGTCTTCTCTATAATTTTACTCTGTATCTCTAATCCATCTTCTCTCTATATATTTTTCCCTCCCTCCCTCCATTCCTTCCTTCCTTTTCTTTCTTTCCTTCCTTCTTTCCCTTCCTCTGTCCAATCCACCTATCCATTCCTTTCTTTCATCCATCTTTCTACCACTTCTATCCACCCATCATCTATCTCCATCTATCCATCTGGACTTCTGACATTCAGTTCTGATCCCTGCACAGCTATAATTGCTTTCTGGTGTTGTTTTTTTTTAAAAGAGCTAAGCCGATCGGATCCTTCACGTACCCGGGCGACTTCGATCCATCGCTCCACCACTCTGGCCCTCAGCTGGGGCTTCAGCGTCCTGTCCCCGAGGCAGGTGGCAATGACGCAGTTGGTGACCCTGTTGAACTGGGAGACGGTGGCCCGGATGCTGGGCGCCAGGTGCTCCTTCCCCTTCTTGTCCCGCTGAGACCAGATGCAACCGAGGCAGTGATAAGGCACCACTTTCTTGAAGAGCTCCTGGGGTTGAAAAAGGTCAGGGGAATCAGCTCAGAGGAGACGGGCGGGAAGCCGACGGAAGGGCCAGCAGGCCTAGTGAGACTTACAGCATCCATTAGGGTGAACTGCTCAGCCGCCATCTCTGGAGGAAAAGAGAGGAACTCCGACCTGCCTTCGCTCAGTCCATTCTCCGGCTCTAACCTCAGCGTGCAGGTGGGATGATCCACAGCTGGAAGGGAGGAAAGCCAGGCATTAAGCAATGCCCGTTCTCACAACCGTCTGAAACCTTTTCTAGGTTCAGGCACGGGAGAGATGGCAAAGCAAACCAGGATGGGGTCATACAGCTGTAGGAAAACTAACTCAGGTTTCGGAGGTTGTTGACCCAGGATTTGCTAACCAAGCACGACAGCTACTTCATTCTTTTCTTCTCCTTTTTTTTTTTTGACTTTTCAACCAAAGTTCCAAGTCGAGAACAGGCAGCCTGAATGTGGGGTATCCGAGGGGTACGGGAGCAGCCCACTCACCTTCTGTTTCAGCCTCGGCACGCTCCTGTTGCTGGAACTGGGTGAAGAGGATTCGCGCTCGCCTCTCCAAATCCGAGCCGGGGATATTAAGCCGGACGTAAATGATCAGCTGCTTAAGGCAGGCATAGTCGGGAGGCTTCCGGAAGTCTTCGGAGTATTGATCAAGCCAGGCTCCCAGGATGGAGGAGATGGTGCTGGGGATCAAGAGGGAGGAGTAGGAGGAGACTAAGAGGAGAAAACATGCGACCCCTTTCTTTATTAAACAGAGGGTGTTTGTTTCTCAGGGGTCCTTGGTGCTCTCTGAGCTGGGGTGGTTTTCTTGCAGACGTTTCGTGACCCAACTAGGTAACATCATCAGTGCTAGAGGGAAGTGGGGGCTGGATCTGTTTATATAGGGTTAACCATATTTTCACCTGGGAAACTTGGGAGTGTCGTAGACCAAGCTAAGTGCAAAGGTGTTAGGGAATTCCTGGAAGTTCGGCACTCGGACCATTCAGCCATCCACCAACACACAAACAACATCTACACGCCATTGAAAAGAGACAATCAACAAGCCAAAAGGGAAACAAAAGGACCATGCAGAAAAGCAGAGTTTGACACTAAGATTAATACCAGACAAATAATCAAGCGTCATTTTTTTTTGTGGGGGAGGGGGTTTACAAAAAATCTTGATGGCTAGAAACTTGAAAGAGAGGCAATACGAACTGGCGCTTACTTTTTCAACTCCAGCTTCTCGTCCACCGCGTGCCTGGGGTGGTCTCCGTTGGCTTGGAGGTTGAACTTCCCATACCTAAAGAGAAAAAAGGAGAAAAAGGATGTGCAGGCAAAACTTTATTTATTTTTTTAACAGCACACAGTAGCTTTTTGTTACCAAATTGAAGCTTCCTGCTACTTTATATGGGCACCTCTGGGAGATAAGCTTGGGTTGAGATGTGGGGACTGGGCCAGATTGGGAAGGGGTTAAGATCCGACACCAGAAGTAAGCAAACATTTGGGGGGGCCTGGAGCTAAAGCAATAACCAGTTGGACAAGTTTGGGGATAAACTGTTTCCGAGGAACCGAATCGGCTCCCTTGTCGAGGAGGAGGAAGTGGTTTATGCCAACATATTTCTGACGTTTACATACATTTCATGAAAGGATGGCTGGATGGGCAGATGGGTAAAGGAGAAGGAGGGAGAGGAGAAGTAGTAGTAGGAAGGAAGAAGAGAGAGAAAGGAAAGAAGGCAAGAGAGAGAAAGAAAAAGAAAGGAAGGAAAGAAAAGAGAGAAAGGAGGGAGGAAGGAAGGAAGGAAGGAAGAAAAGAAGAAAGAAAGAAAGAAAGAAAGAAAGAAAGAAAGAAAGAAAGAATGAAAGAAAGAAAGGAAAGAAGGAAGCAAGGAAGGCTTCAAAGGTTCCTTCCTTCCTTCTCTCCCTCCCTCTTTCTCATTCATTTTTGGAATTTCCATCCATCCATCCATCCATCCATCCTCTCTTGGAATTAATAGGAAGGAAGGAAGGAAGGAAGGAAGGAAGGAAGGAAGGAAGGAGAGAGGAAGGAAGGAAAATGACAGAAGGGAAAATGACAGAAGGAAGGAAAGAAGGCTCAATGATGGATGGATGAATGGATGGATGGATGGACAGATGGATGGACAGACAAACAGTCTTGCGTATTTTCTACCCTTTTCCCAAACTCAAATCCTTCCAAGATCCAACTGTCCAATCCACACACACACACACACACACACCAGGTGCTGGAGGCCAACTGCCTCTCCCGGGTCAATGAAGCCCCGAAGAACACCAACCCCTTCAGGCAGGCCACAGGAGAGAAGACCCATCATCTCCCTGCTGCTTTTTGTCACCATGGCTCCGAGGTTCAAAGCAGAGCCCGTCTCCCGTCAGGAGGGAGGAAGGATTACCGGTTGAGGAGCAGATCCAGGACCTGTTTGGTGGTGGCAAAGGCCCGGTACGTGCAGAGGAAGATGGTCACGTAGGTGGAATCGTTGCCTTTGAACGCCGAGACCAGGTATTCCACTAGCTTCTCCAGGGTGCCGGCTTTGATCGTCCGCACTTTGCACGTCTCGTAGAGGTTTAAGGCTGACTCGTTCTCAAACTGCAAAGGGGACAATCATGAGGAGGGGGGTTCCAAGGGCCGCGAGACGGAAGCCTTAAAACCAACAATGTTACACAGGAACTCCTCAAATTACAACCGTTTGAAGTTACAATCACGCTGAAAGAATTGACTTGGGACTTGTCCTCGCACTTACGGCCATCACAGCATCCCCATGTGAACGCCATTTATAACCGTCCCCCCACCGGCTTCCAACAAGCAAAGTCAACGCGGGAAGCTGGACTTGCTTTCAACATCTGCACGATTCGCTTAAGAACGGCAGGGGTTTTCTTCACGACCGTGGCAAAAGAGAGGAAGAAAAAAAGGGTCGTAAAATCACAGCTCTCTTAACAATCGCCTTGCTCAGCGATGGAAATTCCGCTTCCGGTTGTAAGTTGAGGACTACATGCAAGGCACACTTTGGTCCTACTCTGCAGGGCGGGGAGCGTGTTTAAACTGCTGGAGAGCCGTGCCAAAATCAAAGCCACGCCTTCGTTCTCTCTGCCAAGCATATATTTTCTCAGCTGTGCTTGCATAGTTTGAGAAGAGAAAAACAACAAGCTCTTAATCTTTTCGGTCTTGTCAATATTCAAAATATTTCCCCCGGCTTCGCAGACGCCACACCTCCGTTCCCTTACAAAGGAGAGGCTGAACACCCAGCTCGGATGTTACCCTCCTTCCAGGGCAAAAGCCTCCATGAGGGACGGCCTGTTTTCCGCCGCCACGGGGGTAAGAACAGGAAGAACAGAGTTGGAAGGGACCTTGGAGGTCTTCTAGTCCAACCCTCTGCTCAGGCAGGAAACCCTATAAGCCGTAAGTCCAGCTTATCAGCAGTAAAAGGAACGGGCTTCTAGTCCTCAAGACTGGAGAACGGTGTAGGCGAGGGGGGGGGGAATCCAAGTAAAATCCCTAGGAGCAGTGTTTTATCCATCCTCAATGGGGGCCCCATGGCTCAGCGGTTAAAGAGCTTGTCAGCTGGAAGCCTGGGTTCAAGAACTGAGCGCCGCGCGGTGGGGTGAGCTCCCGTTCCTTGCTCCAGCTTCTGCCCTAGCAGTTTGAAAGGATGCAACTGCGAGTAGATAAATAGGTATCACATTGTTGGGAAGGTCACAGCATTCTACGTGCCTTTGGTGTATAGCCATGCTGGCCACGAGCACGGGAATTGTCTTCGGACAACGCTGGCTATCTTGGCCAAGAAACAGAGGTAGGCACTACTCCTTGGAGTAGGACAACCGGACAAGGAACACTTTTACGTTAACCTTGCTTTCCCATAGCTCCTTTCCACCACGAGTAAAGGGAGCCATTTTTCCTTCTGTATCCATGCAGGGAATTGGGCTTCCCTAGTATATGTGTTTAACTTTATTATTACTAATGGTATTAGCATTAGTACATGCAGTCCTCATTTAGCAACCACAAAGGGGACCAGCAACTTGGTCATTAAGCGAAGTGATCACTAAGTGAAACCACAAAGTAATTTTTCCTTTGCTTTACAGACCTCTGAAGGTGGTAAATGCGAAGACTCGTGGCCAAGTGACTTTGTCATCGCTGCGAACGGCTGCTAAATGAGGCCGTCGCGAACCAAGGACCTCCTGTATGATTACTACTGACTTCCATCCAAGGGGGCCAATCCCAGCCTTATGGAAATACACAGAATAATCAAAGGGCAGGGGATAATGGTATTCCGTGTCTGTGGAAAGATCCAATTTCCCCCCACACGTTTCTTACCACACCTCTGTAAGGTAGGCTGGTGTTCTGAAACACCAGATAAGGAACTTACCCCCAGCCACCGCTGGCCTTTGTTAGCTGTGTGATGGAGCTGAACTTTGCGGAGAGAAATACTGTAAATCACACCATCTTCGAACTCTTCTCCGATCTCCTGAGTTGAGCTCTGGAACGAGAAATGGCAGAAAAATTGTAAGTCAAGGACTATCTGTGTGATTTCCAGGTTTGGGTTAAGATGGTGTGTCCCAAATTGCACAAATATGCCAACCCAAACATGGAGCAAAAGCGATTAAAAGCTCAACAGAGTCTCCTTTCTCCCTGGTGGTTTTTGAAATTGTGCAATTGTGTTTTTTTTTTCTTCCTTTCTTTTTTTCCCCCCCTCCTTCTTCCAAGCATTTACTGTATCTCGTTTCTCTTTCTTCCTCAATAGGGGCATTCTGCTTATTAAGCAGTTAAAACTCAGCTCTGGATTTCACGGAAAACTCACACACACAAAGAGTTTGTTTCGTTTATTAAACTTATACGCTGCTCATCTCGCCTAGAGACCGTGTTATTTATCTCGGGGACATCAGGGGCAGCCTGCAACTCTACCTTTGCTGCAGGGGGAGGAGGATGGGAACTGTAGTCCCCAGTAACGAGAGAAAACACAACTGATCCTGAACAGGATTAGCTCCCGATCGGACGTTGCCATCCGGACTCTGCCACAGCTAGTGCCCTCTGTAGATGGGTTGGGACTACAACCCCCATCATCCTCAACAGGGCAGACTGGTTCTAGGAATGCTTGTCCAGCCGGGCTTTGAAAGTTGCCGTTCTAACCGAAGGCAGACCGAACTGAAAGATAAAATTATTGAAACCCTTGCAAATTTAACTGGGTTCCTTGTGATTCAAATCTTCCTTAAGCTGTTTAGGGCAAAAAAAAAAAAAAAAAGAGTCGAAATGGCCTCCCTTTTGGTTAAATTCAGCTTTGGAAGCTTGTCGTGTCCTCCTGTTTACCGGGAAGTGGAATTGGGGTGGCCCAGCTCAGATGGCCGAGCAATCGAGTGGGACACACACACACACACACACACACACACACACACACACACACACACACGGTCATGCCATGCCAAACAGGGACAATGACGGACAAAAACACCAGCCCCACAACAAAGGAGAAAGAATCTAGTGTGAATATGTCAGGGCTGTCAGCATCACGAGGATGCTTCTCATTCCTTTGTTGATCTAACTTGAGTCATGCCTCCTTTGGTGATGGGGAGCAGACTAGGTATGATCTGAAATGGGCCCTGAAATTACAGATTTAGCCAAATTTCTGGATCACTGTGAGTCCCCCCCCCCCAAAAAATCATCTTTTTATCCTAGCTTATTAGGATAATACGTTTCTTTCTTTCTTTCTTTTTCTCTTTCTCTTTCTCTTCTTTCTTTCTTTCTTTCTCTTTCCCTGCCTTCATGTTTCTCCCTCCCTCCCTTTCAAATTACTCAGAATATTTTCTACACCTTCCTTCCTTCCCTCCTTCCCTTCCTTTCTTCCCTCCTTCTCTTTTGCCTTTTCACTCCCTCTTTCTTGTTTCTCCCTCCCTCCCTTTCCTCAAATTACTCAGAATATTTTCTATACCTTCCTTCCTTCCTTCCCTTCCTTTCTTCCCTCCTCCTCTTTTGCCTTTTCACTCCCTCCCCTTTCCCCTTTTTCTTCTTCCTTCCTTTCCTTCCATTTTTTCTTTCTTTCTTCCAATACGGAATTTGGGGCAGGGAAAACACACCATTTTGCTTAACGGCCTGGAAACCTCTGAAGAGCTTTCCACATCCCTGAACCAAGTCTGCCTGTGCTTTTCAGAGGCACCAGTCCACAAGAAAAGCCATCCGCATTCTTTGCCTCACAATCAAAAGCCAGGATCTCATATTACTTTCCCTCCCAATGTCCCTGTTGCTACTAGATAACGCTGGAAAGCACTGCATAAAAGTACAATTTCCACCGACTAAAGGATTGGTTCGACATACTAATTCCTGTTTGAAAGCCGCTGAAATTCCTTTCGGATGATTAAAAGCCTGACACTGTGTTGCAGAAGAAATCCTGTTTTCTAAACCGCTGGAATTAAACATTCCTGCAAAGATCACATTCCAACACAAGCTGCCTCAAGTACAGAAAAAGATAACCCTGAGTTATTCCTTCCTTCCTTCCTTCCTTCTTTTCCTTCCTTCCTTCCTTCCTTCCCTTCCTTCCTTCCTTCCTTCCTTCCTTCCTTCCTTCCTTCCTTCCTTCCTTCCTTCCTTCCTTCCCTTCCTTCCTTCCTTCCTTCCTTCCTTCCTTCCCTCCCAACTGCAGCAAGACCAGGTGAACTTTATCCTTTATCCTGCTTTGGTAAGACCATACTTGGAATACTCTGTCCAGTTCTGGTCACCGCGATTTAAAAAAGATGTTGAGACTCTGGAAAGAATGCAGAGAAGAGCAACAAAGATGATCAGGAGGCTGGAGGCTAAAACATACAAAGAACGATTATGTCTACTCTGGTGAAAACATGGACTAGGGTTGACATGATGGTGGTCTGGCAATCGTTGAGGGGCTGCCACAAAGAAGAAGGGGTCCACCTCTTCTCCAAAGCACCCGAAGGCAGCAGTGGATGGAAACTAATGAAGGAGAGAAGCAATCTAGAACTAAGGAGGAATTTCCTGACAGTGAGGACAATTCATCAGTGGAAGGGCTTGCCTCCAGAAGTTGTGGATGCTCCATCACTTGAGGCTTTTAAGAAGAGACTGGACAGCCACTTGTCTCAAATGATATAGGGTGTCCTGCTTGAACAGGAGGACTAGATGACCTCCAACGACTCTTCCCACCGTGGGATTCTGTGTAATTCTACGCCATTCCTTTGTGGGCAAAAACCTCAGCAGCTCTTTCTTAGGCACCCCTTCGCACAAATCTGTCTGCAATCTCCTTCAGCCAGAACATCCCAACACGATCAAACCTCAGGGAACGTCTGCGGATCCCCACGTAGATCACGACTCAAGCCAACACCCAAGAATCAGCCCAGTGACAGTAAAATAAAGTCATCATTTTGGCTTCTCTACGTTCATCGGGTTTTCTCTTTCTGCCTCTAATTCAATTGCTCCCACGTTTTCAGCCCTTTCCTGGAAATTGTTGCCTACAAAGACGCCAACTCTGCAGAAGTGTAGTTTTTTTCTACAGAAACAAAGTGCCAACTCCTAGAACAAGAGTTGGGGGGGGGGAACGTTTGCACCCAGCAGACGGGAAAAAGATGATGATTTACGCCTTGGTGATTTGAAAAGGACACCGCAAGCCTTATCAAGAAAGGATGAATCAGGAATGGAAACCTAACATCGCAGATTCGGCTAGAGGCTCACGAGGCTGTGACAGCCGGAAGGAGGAATGCCCCAGTTTGCTGAGTGCGTGCCCTCAATTTCCTTCCCTTTTTTTCCCCCCCAAAAAAGCTGATTCAGTTTCACGGCGAAGGGTATGTTGGGAGAGAGTTCTCGGCGTCGGCACCCCAGGCTGAAGAAGGAGTTTGGAGAAGCTGACACAGATTCAGGGCCTGGCACATGACGGGGCCGACCTCTGGATCACACTGGGCACGCTGGTTTTGGCGCCCGCTCAAGTGGCTTCTTTTCCTGTTTCTGCCAAGTTGGTCTGTGCCGCCGTTGTAACTTTGGACAGTCACTAAATGAAACAGAGACTAACTGTACATCTTTCCGGGGCGCTTTGAGGCAGGCTCTGCAGATCGCCTTGCAGCGCAGAAGCCATCGATATATAAAAATAATTTTTCTTAAGTGCTTCTTTGGCCCCGGAGAGCCACCGCATTTTGTAATGTGTTTCTGATGACTCAGGCCTACGATGACACAGGCTAATGGACGGAGGGGCCCGCAATTCTGCCCAGAAGTTATTTAAAACCACCCCCACCACCTCGTCTCTTACCTGCTTAATATCTAAATTTTGGCAGGACGGACGGATGGATGGATGGATGCTGAGATCTGCAGCCAAAAATCCCTGATTGACATAATGAAGCACGAGAGGCCGGCAGCTGTGCCGAGGGGATGATGGGGCTGGCTTTTGCCGCATAAAGCCGGAGGCTCAGCTTTCTCACCTCGCCGCAAAATTTGCTGGGCCACTTCGGGCACGCTCCGTGGGGTCCTGCCGAGCCTACCTGGCAGGGCGGTTGTTAGCGCGGAAGGAGAAAAAGGAGAACGTCCTGTAAATGCCAACGAGTCAGTTGCCAAGTGTCCGAATGTAAATCACGTGACCCTGGGGAAGGCTGCGACGGTCGTTAAGTAGGAGAATGAGTTGCAAGTCCCTTTATTCAGTGCCCTTGGAACGGTTGCTCAAACGAAAGTTGAGGACTTATTTTCCTCCCGTTTTCGAACTCAGAGCTTGCAGTAAGATCGCACCACCTCCTTGTGCACGCACAGAAAACGCAAGCAAAACATGTCTCAGTATTTTGGAAGAGAAAAAGAGAGAGAAGAGCGGCAGCGGCGGGGGGGGGGGTTTAGATTTGCCTAAAGAGAAGTCTTCAAATGAATCACAGTTTCCTCTTATTCAACCACCTTCCGTTCCTGTTATATAATTGTGCTCTTTTGTTTGGTGTTACTCCGGCTACGGTATTTTTAGGTCCCTTCACAAACGCTCGAGGCACACAAACTCATCGTAAGAGTAGCGGAAACTGTGCAAGGGGCTTATTTGTAAGCTTCTGCAGCTGCTCATTTCCCTACAATTTCAAACATTCAGATCTTCAGCCTTGAGGGCTAGAAGCTTTGTTTTTTCTTTTAAAAGCAACAACAACAACACCCAACACCAGGCGGGCAGGGTCATATCCATGTCTAATTGCACGAAAGAGAGAAGAGGATTCTCACGAGGTTAGAAACCATCGCAGCAAGCGCTCGACATGATGGGCATTGCACTCCCACATGCCTACGATTGCAAAACTAAACAAAACAGAAAACAACAACCCATACCTTATATTTCAAATTATTATTATTATTATGGCTGGTCACAAAGTCAGTGAGATGTTTTAGCTGGATATAGCATTTTGTGTTCCTCTACTGAGTCCTTCCCAAGGACCTGGGACCGACCGATGTTGTTTAATAAAGTTAAAGCCCTTTGTATTATTTATTATTATTACTCAGTGGCCTTTAAGATCGTTTCAGTCTTTTGCATTTGCTTCTGGGAAAGATTGAAGGAAGAAACAGAGTTTCCTGCCTGGAACAAAATGAAAATAAAAAGAAATATATTTGTCCAGCTGTTCAACGCAACTCTTTTGGTTTACTTTAGCAACTCGTTTTTGTTTTTCTTTAAAGAAAGTTAGCAGTCCTGGACGTTAACAAAAGCGTTTTAAGTTTCGCAAAAGAACCACCTTAACTTTGGCATGGGTTTAATTCACCTCCCACCAACCTATCTTGGTTTCTTCTCACAAAGAAAGGAAAAAAAAACCTCAGTGAACATCTGCAGCTCTGCTACATCAGCTAAAAAGTCCATGAGTCAACAAAGCAGAATGGAAAAGGGAAAAAAAAAAAAACCTTCAAAACTCCAATTCACAGAATCTAGTTTTGTTCTCTCTGGATGAAAGCTTTAAAGGAACAAACAACAAATACAGGCGGTCCTCGGCTTATGACCACCAGGAGCCTCAAATTTCCATTGCTAAGTGAGACATTTGGGGGGGGGAGAAATGAAGGAAATGTTATTATATATAATCTGGGAAGGCGGAAATAGAATTAACTATATTTGACAGAAGATTGGGAATCCATATTTTTTCTTCTTCTTCATCATCTTTTTCTTCCTCCTCCTCCTCCTCCTCCTCCTCCTCCTCCTCCTCTTCTTCTTCTTCTTCTTCTTCTTCTTCTTCTTCTTCTTCTTCTTCTCCTCCTCCTCTTCCTCCTCTCCTTTGTGCACTTTTCCCTTCTACTTTCTTATTTTCTCTCTTTTGGTCTTCTCTTTTTCATGTTTTCCTTTGTACCTTTTTGGTGGCCTTTAACATACTAAAAAGAAAAAACCCTCTGCAATAACCCATCGTCTCCCATCTTGTGCTGGCAAGTCAAAATACATTTTCTGGAGTCTTAGATAAGGAAGACGAAAAGGAAGGAAGGAAGGAAGGAAGGAAGGAAGGAAGGAAGGAAGGAAGGAAGGAAGGAAGGAAAAGTTGAAATCAGGTATCCCATTTTTGGAATGCCAGACAGGGAGGAAAAAATTCACAAATTCACTCACAAATTCCAGAACTTCCAAGCCTGGCTCCCCAAACATCAGCATGGCCCTAAAACAGGTTTTAAACCCAGACCTAGTAGGAAATCCTTTGCCTGTGACTCTATTTCCGAAGCAAAAACCCCAAAGAAATGGAATTCTAAAAGAAATGGAATTCTAACTCTTAGTTGCCAAAGGGACAGTTGCTAGGGCAAAAAAAATCTGCTGAAATTCTTGTCCTCTTCAGATCCCCGTATGCAGTGATTGGATGATTTTTTGGGGGTTCACAATTCGGCCTTTTGCCCCCTCCCAAAGTTCCCCGCTGCTGGTTTTAGCAGTGAAAGATCCCTGAGGAGCTGTAAGTTCTTTATCTGATGACTCTGAAGTCCTTTATTAATCATCTACGCCCCTCCGATCAAAGGGGAAAAGGAGAAAAGCAACTCTCATGAAATGAAGCCATGCAGAATTCTCACTTGAAGTAGCCGTGATCTCACTTTGAGCACGTTAAGGGATGATCTAAGTTTCTGGAGAAAGCTCTAATTCTGGGAAAAAGTGGAAGGAAAGAGAAGAAGAAGAGGGTGACCATGAGCAAGGGTGATGGAGTCAAGGGCCATGAGTGCATCTTGGCAAGAGCTGAAGGACCAGGTTAGATCATCTGGAGAAGATCTACGTGGTGGTTAAGAGTTGACACCAGCCTGATGACACACACCCAGTTAATCAACACGAAGACCCAGCTCTCTTGAAAAGTCTGTAATGCTGAGAAAGATGGAAGGAAAGAGAAGAAGAGGGATGCTCTTCCTGAAATCCTCCCGTGTTGGAGCATCCACAACTTCTGGAGGCAAGGAGTTCCACTGATTAATTGTTCTCCCTGCCAGGAAATTTCTCCTTAGTTCTAGGTTGCTCCTCTCTTTAAACAAGCTTCCATCCACTGCTTCTTGTCCGGCCTTCTGGTGCTTTGCTAAATAGGTTGACCGCAGCCAGGATTAAAACAAGCCAAGTGTTTAGCAACTGACTTGATCAAGACTTGCAGTAGGAGCCAACTGTTTGTCAGGGTGGAGGGCTGGACTAGAGGATCTCTAAGAGCCCTTCTGTAGCCCGAATCTGGCCAATGGCCAGATTACCCTGGGACAGTCAAGGTGGGCACCAGATTCCAGAAATCAACGCCATACCCTCGGATTTCCAGCAGCTGATAATTTCCAGCATAAAAGAACAACAAATTCTCTCCCGTATATTCATGCATTTATTACATTCAAATTTATTTTTCATTTTTTTATCACGGTATTTTTATCATGATACGCAAAGACACAATCCCTCTTGGCTAGGTTACAGCCTGATGGGTTATGTGATTGCAGGAAATGTTTTGCACTAACAAAATTAAGGGCATCATTCCTTCCAGACAGATTAGCCTTTTAGTTCATTTATGCAGTCACTCAGGACTTGATAAAACACAGTTTACGGAACCCGCTAATTGTGACCACTAAGGACTAGCACCTTGATGAAACACCATTTGTGGAACCTATTCATTGTGACCACTAAAGACTAGAAACAAGATGACATATTGCCTGGGGAACCTAGCAATTGTGTAAACTATGGACTAGAAACCTCGATGACATTTGGCACGTGGAAGCTAGTAATTGCAAAAACTAAGGGCTAGAACCTTGATGGAAAAAGTTTATGGAACTGAGCAAATGCAATAACTAAGGACTAGAAACCTGAACTTAGTAATTGTAAACACTGAGGGCTAGAATTGTGATGAGCCCCAATTTGTGAAACCCAGTCATTGTAACTAAGGAGTAAAAACTTAAGAATTTCCTGAAATGCACAGTCAGAAGAGGAATGCCCAAATATTTGCATGCAAGCACGGCCCAGGAACTTAGTTCCCGCTCCCCTTAAGGACTAGGGCCTTGAAATATAGACTTGTAAAGCAACCTAGGGAAGTTGTACCTGGAACACAAAGCTATCCTACCTATGAATTTTAACGCGCAATCAAAGTCAATATGGGAAGCCAAATTCGTTTCACAATGGCAGCAATTCGCAAAAAAAAAAAAAGCTGTAAAATCAGTCGCGACTCACTTAACAACCCCCTGGCTTAGCAAGGGAAATTCCTATCCCAATTGTGGTCATAAGCCGAGAACTTCCCATAAAGGGAAACCTGTTTTTATGCAATCCACTTCCCCTTTGTCTCGTCTTTTCTTACACTCACCAATCACCCCGGACATAAACCTCAAACATTGTCTGAAATGGTATAGGGTTTCCTGCCTAAGCAGGGGGTTGGGCTAGATGACCTCCAAGGTCCCTTCCAACTTTACTATTATTATTATTACGATTATCCATTAAGACCATATTACTGTGGGACTACAAGTCCCATATCTCTAGAGGCAGAGGATGCTGGAGCCTGGAATCCAACAGGATCTATAGATCTAGGTGCCCCATATCCTGCACAGAAGAGTTGACTCAAATCTGGAACTTAACTAAGTGCCAATCCAGCCAGATTTTTTTTAACCTCTCTCTCTGCTTTTATCACTTCCACTTAATTCCCTCTCATACGTTTTAATTTAGCCTTTTTAGTTTTTACCATTTTTACAACTGCTGCTATTTTGGAACATTTCCAACAAGGAAGCAAATACTTGCAAATACTTCAGATCCTCAATCAAAACTAATAAAGCCACCAATCAATAAACAATCAAGGGTGGATTAATTTATAACCGTAAAAGGGCTGGGCGTCAAAAGAGACACAATTGCTGACTTTGTTAAGAGGCGCAATTAAAAACACACATGCTTGGAAATTTCTCTGAATATCTTACAACACCTTTCTTGGAAGGTTTGAAACAAAAGGTTTACGGGAAGCTTGGACTTCTCTTTTCGCCTATTACGGCCACTGAAGTTGGACACAAGTCCTAACTTTGAATGTAGATAAAAAAACCCGATTAATCATTGAAAACTGAAATAACCAATTCGGAGAATTGACTTCCTGCCTTGTCTGTTCCAGAATCTCATCCCTTTGGGGTGATTTAGAAAATTCCAACTCCTTTTAACAAATCTTTGGCTGAGCTCAGATCTTCGTGTTCCCTCGAAGACGTTTCGCTTCTCATCCAAGAAGCTTCAGTCCGAACTGAAGAAGCTTCTTGGACAAGAAGTGAAACGTCTTCACAGGGAAAGCCCAAGTCCAGTTGCCTTTTGAAAAAGCCTCTTTGGGTTCCATCTGCATGTTTCTCTTTCTTATTTCATCCTAATCACGACTGTGAAGAGACTTAGAACATAATCCTAGGGCTGGGAGGGACCTCAGAGGTCTTCTAGTCCAACCTCCTGCTCAAGACCGGAGACCCATCCCACTAGCTCTCTACTACTACCTATATCCCACTCAAAGCGTTGTCCAATCTCTTCTTCAAAACCTCCAGTGATGGAGCAGTGGTGGCAAGCCGTTCCACTGGTTAATTGTTCTCATTGTCAAGAAATTTCTCCTTAGTTCTAGGTTGCTTCTCTCCTTGATGAGTTTCCATCCGCTGCTTCTTGTCCTGCCTTCAGGGGCTTTGGAGAATAGGTGGATCCCTTCTTCTCTGTGCCAGCCCCTCAAATATTGCAAGAGAGTTATCATATCCACCCTCAACCGTCTCTTCGTTAGACTAGAATACCTAGCTTCCTCAACCGTTCATAGTATGCTTTAGCCTCCAAGATAAGGAATGGAAAAGAAATAAAATATAAATAATGATATAAAAAGAGGGGCAGTGGGATCATTGCAGCCATCTAAGTACAATACATTTCAGGGGATATTCAGAATTGCTCGAAAAGGTCTCTACCTTGATGTTCTAGATCCTGGGGCTCTATTTACCAGTTAACGGGACAGGAGCAAAGTATTCCATTCAGCCACTGGCTTCATTCACCCATAATCCCCCTACATTTTCCCCCAGAATGCCTGGCGCTGCCCACTTAATTACGCACAATGGCCCAAAAGGGCTTTATCCATCGCAAGGAACGTTTTAAATAATGGCTGTGCTGTTTGCTGGAACACCTGGCCCTTCGCACCCCCCAAAAGGAGCCCTCCGATTGTGTCACGCCCGGCTTCGAACTTGGCACCTGTGCCTGGCTGCAAGGCAGGCACTCGGAGCGCCCATCCATCGCTGGATGAGTCAGAGGAACAGAAGCCTATTGTGGCCCCGTCCGCTCATTCCGGATTGCAAACTGGGAAAACACAGGGGGGTCAGTGAACTAGGGTAACCTCGTTCAACGTCGTTCCGGCATCAAATCCACAACACAGCCAATCTCCTCCCAATTGCTGAAGCATTGTGAACCATGGAGCAGTGAAGGCAGGGGAGAAAAAAACAACAATCCACAAGATCGCCACTCATCGGGGCAGGTGGCACGAGGCCGTTTGAAAAAGGAGAAGGCGTGAGAAGGGAATTGTGGCATCCTGGCAATGCCACCCACCCACTCACCCAGGCTGCCGATGAACCACGGGCCTTGCATTTCTCCAACCAGCGGTGGCGCAGTGGGGCGTGGTGGGTCTGGCAGCTGCCTAGCAGGCCCAGCGTTGGGCGTGAAACATTTGCTGCAAAGGAACTTAAATTCCA